TTCTCCTCCCCAATCCCATCGGCATCTATTCCAAATCTCAAAATTCCCAAATTCTATATAAGCAACCCCTAAAACCCCCCTCTTGGGTTGCACAGACCACCTTCGCCCCTTCCGGAAACACATAAAATGGCCTGGCCGGGCCCGTGTGCGAAATACGCATCAGTCGGAAAGCGCACGTTAAATCTCCAAAGTAAGTAAGTAAGTAACTCTGTAAATCACTTACTTGATAACGGTGTCAGAACCTACGTCGAAACGTCGCTCTTAATTGTTATAAAGAAGTTGTTCATCCATAAATTCTTATCCTTACTGGGTACTGAGAAGTACAGCACCAATCATCTGATGATCTGAGTAGTAGACTGGAGTCTGGAATGCTACAGCACTGGCAAGATCAGTAAACAACAAGTCCAGTGTAGCTCCAAGACAGTGAGTTGGAGAGTGAATGAGTTGAGTCATTTTCCGCACATAAAAGAAATCTTCAAGTTTCAGCTTTTCACTCAGATCACAGTTGAAATCCCCAGTAACTAGAACATGTTCACATTCAATCTGCTTTGAGAAATCCTGAAGGTTCTGCATGAAATGAGTAAGTGAATGTGACAACCGTGTCCATGACACTTTTGGAGGAACATACACACAAGCAATGCAGAACTTGCCAACAAGAAAGGAAATGTATTCAATACTGCGAGATGACATTACATCACATAGCTGGACACTGTCCTTGAAACTTGTTGAAACATACACAGCAATACTTTGTGCTTTGTGTAGTGTCTCCTTGATAGACTTGATATCCTGGCAGGCATCTTTCACTGTAGTCATTGATGTGTGTTTCTGTGAAACACAAAACATCAAGCACACCAACTGCGAGGAGGTAGGCTGGTTCGGGTGCCCCTGTTCATGTTACCACCATGCACTGAGAGGAAGTAGGCTGGTTCGGGTGCCCCTGTTCATGTTACCACCATGCACTGAGAGGAAGTAGGCTGGTTCGGGTGCCCCTGTTCATGTTACCACCATGCACTGAGAGGAAGTAGGCTGGTTCGGGTGCCCCTGTTCATGTTACCACCATGCACTGAGAGGAAGTAGGCTGGTTCGGGTGCCCCTGTTCATGTTACCACCATGCACTGAGAGGAAGTAGGCTGGTTCGGGTGCACTGTTCATGTTACCACCATGCACTGAGAGGAAGTAGGCTGGTTCGGGTGCCCCTGTTCATGTTACCACCATGCACTGAGAGGAAGTAGGCTGGTTCGGGTGCACTGTTCGTGTTACCACCATGCACTGCGATGAACTAGGCTGGTTCGGGTGCCACTTGTGTTTTTTGTGTGTTTTTACAATAATTCACCATATACCTTGACCAAGTTCCTTTGTATACATCTCAGTTATGTAATTACGGTAACGGTTCTCAGACAACCCTGCGTAGATGTTTTTGTAGAATATGTAAACGGTTTCCGAGTTATGATCTTGCTAAGGAAACATTCGCAGAATAAATTTTCGGACAACCCTTAGCAGTGTCTTTTTTTCGAACCGATTTAATATTTGCAGTTAAATTCACACCATCAGGTAGGAAATTTGATATAATTCTACATCTCCGCGTAATTTTATAGCTTTTTTTTATAACTTTTCAGATCTTAGGAAAATGTGCGTCAGAAAAAAAGACCTCGGCATCCAGAGGGTTAACGCCGCACTCAGTAATATTCCACCTATATGACGGCAATATTGATTTCAAGAATTCGAATATGTTATAAAACTATTTATTGATATCACAAATTCGAATGCTAGATATCATAAAATGATTTATTGATATCAAGAATTCGAATATTAGATATAAAATGATTTATTGATATCAAGAATTAGATTTTTAGATTTCATAAGACCCGTGAAGATCCGGGGTAGAATAAGTCTTCGGCAACTTATGCTTGCCGTAAAAGGCGACTATGCTTGTCGTAAGAGGCGACTAACGGGATCGGGTGGTCAGGCTGTGACTTGGTTGATGTCATCGTATCCAAATTGCATGGATCGATGCGTATGGTTTCAATCACTGGATTGTCTGGTCCAGACACGATTATTTACAGACCGCCGCCATATAGCTGGAATATTGCTGAGTGCGACGTTAAACAACAAACAAACAAAGATATCATAAAATGAATTTTTATATCAAGAATTCGAATTTTAGACATAAAATGATTTAGTGATATCAAGATTAAGATGTTTCGAAATAATAAAATGACTAATTGATATCCCAAATTCGATTTTTAATGATAAGATTAAGTTTTTGTGTCATAAATTAGTAGGTATTCAATTTAAACTTTGCAGAGCTCAAATGGATTTTAACGTACTGTCTCTCCAGAGATGTTTGGGCTTGATTTCAATCTGCTCTTTTAATGCTGCCATGGTGAAAACAATGTCATTAAAATGTTGAAGCCTGAGTTGGTCTTTAATGACACTGAGTGACAGTGATCAATATCCTATTGCAGTCTGCATCATGGCTTGTCAGACATCGACTACCGTCAATGATGCTTCTTTTGACTTTGGAGGAATAATCTAGCGTGTTTACCGTCATGATGAGACTTCGTGCTTCCTGTCTGAGGGTTGTAGGTAACTTATTTATTTACATCGGTATCACCATAAGGGAGAATTAATTATTAATTATTGATATCACAAATTGGATTTTGCGATATCAATAATTCATTTCGAATTTGGGATATCTGAAATTCATTTTGTGATAACTAAAACAAGAACTTGTATTAATTCGATTCAGTGAAATATACATAGATTTTATTGATATCTTAAAATCGAATTTGTGATATCAATACATATGTTTACCGTTATCTAACAATACAATATCATAAAATCTGGAATAAATAATAAAACTGCACCTCATAGTATTTAGAGTTATGATGGCTGTGTTTGTCAGTGTCATCTGTTATATTAGTACAATATATCTTGTCTTCAACTTCTTTCAAAACTTGGTAAGGTGTAATAAACATTTCTCGTCACGAGGAATGACGGATTATCTGTTCCTCGTGAAGTTTCGGGACTTACAACATGAATTTCACGCGGGACAGATAATCCGTAATTCCTCGTCACTCATAATAAATTATTGTCTATGTATAATGCATTTCTAATGTTGACATCTGGCAGTAAATCTCTGTTGCTCTGAAATATGTGGAAGAAAGTTATAACATCAGTAAAACTAAATATAATGTGCAATTCTAATGAAAACATGTAGGGTATATCTGTTTTCTCTGAAATATGTGGAGGTAGTTTTAACAGCAATAACACAACATCTGATGGAAAGTTCTGAAGATGTTTTCAGTGCAATATGCGCGGGTAGTTTTGATAACTAATGGGCAATACTTCTGAAGACAAGAAGGGCGTATTTGTTTGCTCTGAAATATGTGGAGGTTAATTTTAACAGCAATGACAACATCTGATGGGAAGTTCTGAAGACGTTGGGCATTTATGTTTTCAGTGCAATATGTTGAGGCCGTTTTAACATCGGTAACGCCATATCAATAGACAATTCTTATGAAGACATGCTGGGTATATGTTTGTGTGAAATATGATGTAAATTTTAACATCGGTAACACTATATCTGATATATAAAATCTTACACGACCACTCAAAATCAGAGATCTGGTGGTAGTGGACAAACTTCGTTCAAACGTCAATGAAACAAAAAACTTCTTCTATAAGTTACCAGTAAACTATATACCCCTCTATGGAAACATGGACTGTCGTGTAATTTCCCTATCTTAGTATTGAGGGCTTATAAAGATTACTTACAGATTGTCATTGGAGCAGGGTGCGTATATCGATGAAAACTTATTTTTTCTGTGGTAACAGGAGCGACGTGACATGCTAATCAAGGTGTATAAAAAGCACCAATAAGAAATTCAGGTATGTTTTTAAGTCTCAAATATTAATATTTTAATGAATTTACAAAGAATTTGCTTTCAGATTTTGTGTTTGGTCATCTTCTGAGAATGATTACTGTATACACAAGTAGTTACTATTGAGAATGGATGTTTTTTAGTGTCAAGAAGGAAAACAGTGAACCTGACAATTGATTTAAATGCAATTTGCTTTAACTGGTGAAACTTGTAATTCAAGAAAGCAAGAGTGCAGAGGCGGAACTTTTCAGCAAAATCTTCAAGATCTACTCGGTAGCCATTGCACCAAATTCAGTTTTGACCACATTGAAGTTTTTAGGGGTTGGATCATCTGAATAACCCTTGCGGTAATGTCACCATTTACTGTGATAAACGTCATGTAGTTTGTCATGTGTGTTTACAAACACAGACGTTCAGTTTTTGCTACAACCTTATTGTGAAAAATGTGTTATGTGAACAAAGACAAGTAGGTGACACAAATAAAACTTTGTATTTAAATACTGTGTCTTTATAAAACTCACAATATTGTTTCTATTATAGTTCTTGTGAGATGATGGAATGTAAAAGTCATGAATGAACTCAAGAATAAAAAAAAATAAAAATAGTGAACAAAACGCAACCATGTGGTAGATAGTACAATATCTGTCAACTACGAAATGGAGTTAATAGATACTAGTGTGGCAGAATGTGTTTTTAAGTAATATAGTTTTATATGTGCTGGTGTGTATGGTTGTAGGTAAGGTATTTTAAGCCAGTATTGATAAAACAGCTTTCAAGCTAAGCTGTTGTGCTCAAGCTGTTTATTTGAGCCTCAGTCGCAAGCAAGATTATGTAATCTGACTGGCCATTCTCTAAACTTTCTTACCAACAACTCACTCAGTTACACTCATTCATATAGGGAAGACACCCTTAATTTGAACACCAAGCCAACATCTTTTAAAGAAGTTTATCCATATTTAATCACCGTATTAAGTAAAGGAGTTCAGGCATCTTATAAAATGATATCTTCTTTCAACAGATCAATCAGCTTCAAGAATCACTAAAATGCTCAAGTGCACATATTAATACACTTTATCTTCCAACCTGTACGGGAAATAATGATCTCACACTTGTAAGTTATATAATGGTAAGTTTATTATCTGTTTTGTAGGCCATTGGCCCATGTACACAGTTGATACAAAAATATCATACATATATGGCAATTAGGTGGTAGATAACACAATATTTTTACAATCAAGTGTATATTTACATTTCAGAGCTTCTTTAACGAACTTAGCACATTTGTTAAGGATTGACACATCTTTAGAAGTCAGTAATTTATTAAATTTACAAATGTTTGATGAAATATGCCACTTCGGTATGTACTTATTTCTCAACAATACATATGCCTCGAAATCAAATATGAAATGGAGTTCATCTTCAATGCTGTTAGTATTACACATCCTACAAATTTGGTTAACAGTTATAGATTCTTTACATCTGATATTACAACGCAACAGCAGTTCATGCAATCTCAACAAACACATATATCTTCTTAATTCCCTGACATTGATGTTTGTAACATAATATTCAACAGTCAGCAATGACTTAATATTCTTATAATGTGCAAGTCATTTTGAATCATTGATAATACTAAAAATGTTTTGTTTTCCACAATCTTCTAATCTCTGTCTGAACATCGACAGAAAATATGAAATATCTTTAATATCTTGACTAACCCATGCATATCCAAAACCATACGTGTATAACAACAATCTTACACAGGATGCCCATGTCTTCCTTCCTGTTGAATCTAACTTCTTAATAAGTAGGTAACATTGTCCTGAATAATGATCATCTGACATTCTTAACAATTTACACCAGTACTTTACACATTTTTGGTAGTAATCTATATAAAGTCCATGTCTACCGCAGTCGGCTAAAGCTGCACTACTCGTACATGTTTACCAACACTCAATACATATTTACAAAAGTAATTATGAAATCTTTCAATAACAGCTCTTTCATGGAAGCCCCACACCTCCGCCCAATATAACAAAATAGGTTTTATTTTACAATCAAACAACTTAATTAACATATCTACAGGAATATTTGGGTATTTATGCTGTAATTGCTTAATAACAAACAGAGCTTTACTGGCTTTTGAAACATGAGTTTTTGTACACACTGTCCATGACAACCTGGTAGAAAATATAATACCTAAATAATAATGATAAGTTGCTGTCTTTAGTAGCTCGCCATCAAAATACCACTTCTCCACAAGTTATATCTCATTTTGAAGTCTGAATTGGATAAACCATTGTGGCCCTACGGATATTGCTTTGTGTGATACAAGGTTTCAACATGTGTATGAAGAATATTGATCATTGCTTGGAAGACATATGCACGTTACGGACTAATAATTGCACCTGTTTTCATGCAGTCAGCTGGAGAATTTCACAGGGTTGAGAGAAGCTGTGATTGAGTACCTGCACAAAATGGCAATGTCCCCAAAGGAAACATGTGACGATGTGAAATGCATACTTGAGATGGCTGCTCTTTGACATGTTCAACTGTTAAGAAATGGGATGCTGAAAAATGGGAATTACAGTGAGGCTGAAGTAGTACAGAAGATGACCCTAGGTCTGGTCATTTTAAAGATGCTAGGTCTGAAACTCAAGTGGAGGCTTTCCATTACACATTCAGGAACAGCTTTGGATCCATACAGTCCATCTAATTATAACTAACACACAGAAAGGTCCCCAGAATGTTGACACCAGATGAGAGCAGACTGAACATCTCCAGGGACCTTTTGACCATTCACAGAATCATCCCAAAAAGACTTCTATGAGAAACGTGAACCTTGCAAGATATCCACACATTGGAAACATCTGGCCTCACCCCTACAAGCGGATGGAGTCAACTGGCAAGTCATGGCTTTGGGATAATCATTATTGCCAAGGTGAGACTAACAATGGGTTCTACTATGCCACAGAATTATGTCAGTTGAGAGATGCTATCATTGAAAAAGTAAATCTCTGTTCAGGGGTGCTACTGCTTCAGTACATAGCCCCTGTATACACTTCATAAGTGGCAGTGGCTGCAGCTCGTGGCTTTGAATTTCCTCAATCCCCTTACGTAAATTATCAGTTACAGATCATTAGAAAATGAGTTTGACCTCATTTATTTCAGCAATATTCAAGAAATCACACGATGGGGGACACCAGAAACGGATCTAACAAACTGTACCAATTGTAGGCTTATGAACCCAGGACGTTGGTGTGACGAGCAAACTTGTCTACCCCACTTCCCCTTCAGTCATGTAAGTGAGCACCAACTATGATGTAGGAGGGAAATGACATGTCATAAATATTGTAAACAGAGTATGACATCAACCATGAATCATATTAAAAAAGGAATCAAACTAATATTTATTTCAGCTAGTGAAAGCAATTCTTCACAACAAAATGACCTAGTTTTGATTCCTGTGTAGAAACAGTCATGAGTAGCCCATACTTTTCCAAAGTACATACTTGGTCTGCCTGACCAAGAGTCGATTACTTGCAGGTCATTCTGATGGAAAACTGCTGCCTGCGGCATGAAACAAGATTCATGTAGTCACTAACTGACTGCTTAGACCACTCTTTTCTCTAAGAGGATATTAATAATCTGAACCGATACTGTCATTTGAAATTCTGGTACCCAGTATATATTAAACACCCAGAGGCAAAGGTAACTAATTGTCATATTCATTCACTGAAAATCAATAATAATTATGATATTGACTTTATTGATTTTCAGATTGATAAATGTTCTGTGACCAACAAGTCACATGTCAAATGCCAATCAAATGCATATTGCTGTAAAAATAATGTACATCCCACCTCAAATGATGTTTCCCTTTCAAGCTGCTGTATACTGGTATCTTTATGTTTAAATTTAATAATAAATTAATAATTATAAAATGATAAAAGAATTATAATGATTATAAAATAATTGCAATTTGTTTTTTCCATTCCATTATGTCGAGTCTTTTTATGACGGGGAAACATCCATCATTTCATAGCCTGTCTCATCTCCAGTATTCTGTCTGTTATCATTAAGTTCAGCATATATGTTGGCCTGGTCTGGGCCTCTGGACGGGTGGTCATAGTTTTCCTCAGCTTTCTGTTTCCTCATCCTGAAAAAATGTTGAGTATTAGTGAGTGAGTGAGTGAGTATGGTTTTACGCCGCTTTTAGCAATATTCCAGCAATATCACGACGGGGGACACCAGAAATGGGCTTCACACATTGTACCCATGTCGGGAATCGAACACGGGTCTTCGGCGTGACGAGCGAACGCTTTAACCAGTAGGCTACCCGACCGCCCCTGTTGAGTATTAAGCATAATCACATACAATATAGTTCAGAGTTGAGATCACAATTATAATCTACTGTCAAATATAGTTTTTATCATAAAATAAATATCAAGCTAAAATGAACCAAATAATTCCAGAGGCATCTCACTTTTAAATGTACTAGGTAAAATATTCACAACAATTCTACAAAAAAAGATTGAGAATTAAGATGGATGTAAGTTGTAAAATACTAGATTTTTTAATATTTGTATACTTATCCTGCATTACTCCTTAATGCATCTACTGCTTGTTCTTGACCGAAAGAAGAACTATTTGAAGTCTTGCTGAAGAAGATAGGGTTGTCCTCTCATTGAGTTGAAACAATTCTTCTTCAGCAAGACTTCAAATAGTTCTTCTTTCGGTCAAGAACAAGCAGTAGATGCATAAAGGAGTAATGCAGGATAAGGTAAAAAATATGAATTAATATCTGAATGTCAAGTTGGTTTCCATCCTAACTACTCAACAACTGGTAACATTTTCATACTCAAGGCTTTGGGCACAAAATATCTATGTAAAACAAAAGGAAAATTCTCCTATGTTCAATATTTTAAGAAACATGTATTTTGCTGTATAGCTGTATATAAAGGACGGAAACTGTAAAACAGAGTTGATTGTTTCATCATGTGCTCTACGCCAAGGATGAAGTCCAGTACTGTTTACTTTCTTTAGTAATGAATTAGCTGATGTCATGTATGAAGCTTGTGATCATGGTATATTTATTGGTCCAAAATGTATGCTGACCAATTACTGACCTTGGTTGGTTCTTGTCACTTATTCTTACTTCAGGAGTATTGAAACTCATGGTATGAATAAACAAATACCTGCGAACAATAAATACTGCCATCACGATGATCACAACAAGAAACAGCAAGGCAACACATCCCAGAATTATGGCTTGTATGTTCACAGTCTCAGGTGGAGGGGAAGGCGTTGAAGAATCTATGTGAAATTTAAAGCATAAATATATTGCATTTCTAGACATCACTGTGGTTAGTATAATCTGACTGATCAGATGCTGTATTGTGAAAACCAATAAAAATCTTAGCCGGCTTGTATAGAAAAATTTATTTCATAATGTTTGATGTGACATCATTTTCTCTTGTAACATTCCTAAGTGACCACTTGGATGTTTCACACTCAGAGATTGCTGGCGGGCAGGTGATAATCGATTTTCACACAGAAATATTTCACTGAAAAAAAGAATTTGTTTGGTCAAGGTTTGTAATGATGTTTCAGTATTTTGAATTCACCCTTGACATTTGCCTGGAGTGAGCAAGGGTGTGTTATTACACATTGTGACTACCCAGTCATAATTTTTGTCAACTCTTTTTCAACCAATTAGAAATAAGTATGTCACGTATGTGGCAGACACATGTGTTGGTAAACAGTTTTGTTGTAAGTATATTTTTACCCATTTGAGGACCTTTAATTTCTGTAATTTTATTTTAAGTTGTTAGTAAAGTAGTTACTTACCGGGTAGTTTAATATCTATTGGGGGCCTCTAGATTAGTTTACTTATAAAGTATCGGATGGTTTGGTTAGTCCATGTTTGTGTCATTGTTACTTCTCTAACCCAAGCCTTGTTTTCATTGACTTGTTCAAACTGTGCACTTTTCATCCATCTTGCACTTGACTCAACACCACTTTGGAAGTCAGCCAATTAATAAGGCTAAGTAAACATTTTAAATGCTTCTCATCATTCTTCTATATTTCTCCTTTTGATTGTTTATTGAGTGAATGCGTCATTTTTGGGGTTACTTATCAATATCAAAATAATTGTCAAATAAATGTATGTTCGAAAATAAAATTAAAGAAGAATGTTTTATAACATATTGTGAGCTGTTATATTGCAGCTTAATAAGTTCATCAAGGCAGTGAGGGCAAAACAAATAGTTGACAGTTAAGAAAAAGAAAGCTAGTTCACAAAAGAAAGCTAGTTCACATCTGAGGCATCAGGCAGAGTGTTACAAATAATTTACACTTCTGGGAACATTATCTGTAGCTAGCAATACATGGTATTTTTTTAACAAGTTTGACTGACAAAGATGCAACAAACATTGAGCCTGCTGGCAGACAGATATTTCACATACTAATCTTAACCTGACCTGCAGTGTTTGGTACTCCATTAAATTTGTAATAAAAAGGGAAAGAGAATGTTAAATGAAAGGTTTAAATTCCAATGTTCTTTACGTTCTTGAACAATTGTGATCATTTTACAGTAAAATTGAAGGTTCACGGTAATACTGAACAGGCTACGAAACTAATTATCAATACACTGATTATTGCTTATATCTACCATCATAACAACAGTTTCAATAGAATAAACTGTTTGCTACCTGTTCATAGATATGACTATGAATCAATTTCTTAACATAAGGCCACGAAAAACAATGTTAATAATAACTGAACAAGGAGGTACTTACACTCGTTGCAGGCATTCACTGACGGGGCCCCCACATTCGAGGTCTTGAGGCCAGCGGGGCATGGTTGACAGGTCCAGGTGGTCTTGTTTCTGTAGGAGTCTGCAGGACAGTCTGTACAGGCATCCCCGATTTGTGTCTTGCCTGCTTCACAGTCACCTAGATAGAACAATTAAATTACCTCTAGACATAAACAAAGGAAATCACAGCAAATTGTCATATATAAGATATATGTGATGTAATAGGTATTTAGAATATTTATACATTGATTGTATATATATTTGTAATGTACAATACATAAGTACTTTTCATATAAATATTATTTCATGTAATATTCAGGATGAGCTTCACACTGTCAACATAAAAGTGTGAAATCGTATGACAACCCCATGTATTGAAAATGCCTAATTTAAAAAGAAATGAAATTTATGTAGGTCACATCTAATTCCTTGAGTGATCATGCAAGTGGAAAATGTGTTTATTCTAGGTTCAGATGGACCAGTGTGTTTGTCATATTGTTCAACAAATATGCTGGTCCATAAGAAAACTTCGAGCACAAAATGTCAGAATTGTTTTAAATTGTGGTGGTCTGATAGACTAGTGGAAAAATATCTTTTGCCAAACTGCTGTAGTTTGCTCTTATCGAATGAACAGGGTGACACAAGTGGGATATTTGCTGTTTAGAGGTGAGAAAAACTGATAGTGATTTTTCTGGGGTACCGGACCTTTTGGTTACTTGACAAACTGTATTTGTTGAACCCTGTATTGTGTTTCAAGAGATTCGTGGCTACACTTACGAAGACAGCTTGCCGAACTTGGACTTTTCGTGTTGCGTGTGGTGTAACCTGTTGCACATGTCTTGCAAGAATCCTGCCATTTCGTGTCCTGGTAGGTTCTGACAGGGCAGTCTTCACAGAGGTTGGTAGTACTATTTCGGTACTGTCCAGGGGTTGTGCAGTTTTCTTGAAAGAGAAAATGAACAGAGAAAATTAATTTGTATTTCTTTGCGCAAATGAGTAGGCAATGATGACTTTTTAAAATGAAGACATGCAGAGAGAAGGATCTCTTTAGCATCCGCTCCAAAATAATGACTGAGAGTGAGCGATTGAGTGAGTGAGTTTGGTTTAACGCCACTTTGAACAGTACTTCATTATAGCATAGTGTGTCAGCTTGATAAAGAGAAAAGCCCATAATGATGCTGGAGTTAGATGTTTACCAAATTGTGGAATGCAAACGCATGGCCTGCCTTAGAGACAAAACTCTGGTAAGCAAATTGAAGGGACTTAGATAACTGGGCAAAGTGTCTAAGAAGAGAAGACTTAGGCATGATCAAAGGCTGTATATATTATAGTGATTTGCTAAAAATTGTTTGTGAGAAGAAGAATTGTATGAGACACAGACTTATTAAGATCCAAATTACTTACTGACAGTACAGCTGGCAGCAGATGTGGCTCCAGGTCCAGCAGTGATAACATTGGTGTCAAAACACATGATACACTGCGACAGTTCGGGATTGAGCTTGTTCTGATAGTAGCCTTGGGGACATTGTTCACATTTACCTGTGCCAGCGTTGAACTGCTGTCCCGTACTACAATCCACTGTAACAGAGGTATGATTGATGGTGTCAGGGTACAAGATACATGGTACAAAATGTTACTCAAGATCTGTGATGAATGATTCTAGATTAATATGACTAAACAAATGCACCTTGACAAACTCCAGGTATAAACTCCACTGTGACATCTTTAATGAGCCAGAACATGCCAGAATTGAAAGCAGAACTACTTACCGACACAGTCTGTTACAGCCATTGCTCCCAGACTATATGTTGTACTTCCGGTATCACATTTATCGCAATTTGACTGCCACTTTTTAGGTTGGTAGAATCCGTAAGTACATGGTTGGCAGGAAGTAGAGGAGTCTTGAAAATACCCGGCTGGACAACCAACTGAAAACACAAAATATTTGTCATAACTGTTGCTATTTTCTTGGATTCAATTATACCTGGCAGACATAAAAAATAGATATCATTTTCTTAAATTTTTCACTCTTTCAACAATTTTGAAACTTATCTTCATTTAATATTTTCTTTTGAATAAACAACAATCTTGAATATGGTAAACTTGATAAATAAGCAAATTAATCAACAAATTTAAACATTTAGTGGTCTAACCATTTGGAAGATTCTTACTTTGGTTACAGTCTGTTGAAGCGGTGGCTCCACTGCCTGATGTTGTTTTGTTTGTAGGACATTCCATACACAGAGAGGCCTTCTGTTCACTCTTGTAGAATCCCTGCTTACATGATACACAGACCCCAGCAATGTCTTCCTTGCCTGGAGGACAGCTCACTGGAACACAGGAGAAGTTCAGCTGAATGTTTTTTACCACATGACTCATGTTTTTGGTCCAAAATCATGTACTCCTATTTATGTCCTTGAAATACTTATTCCAATAGTGTCTTCATTGAGTGAAACTCAGGCCTAAACACTGTCAACAATAGTCAAAATCAATATGGACTTGGGGGAGACCCCATCAGGGCTAAATGTCCTTCAATCTAGGTTTGACAGTTCTGCTACTTGTCTGCTTGGAGGAACGTTTCTCTTGAGAGTGATGACCATAAAATAGCTGGCTAAATGTCCTTCAATCTAGGTTTGACAGTTCTGCTACTTGTCTGCTAGGAGGAACATTTCTCTTGAGAGTGATGACCATAAAATAGCTGGTTAATTATTTGATAACCTTACAAATCAGTTGAAACATAACAACTGAATTCTGTCTATTCCTTCAATGTTTGATAAAAATTATCTTGATGCTTCTTAATGATAGCATATGTCAGTTTTGGTGACTAAGTTCTATATTTGTAACCCATAATCTTTCAGGCCTCATAAGATGCTTTGATGTTTTGACTTGGTTATAATGTAACTTCCCTTCACCTTCATGTTTATTTCATTTTAAAATTAGCCTGTTGTGAAATTGTGTTCCTAAGATATTGTGCTCCTAATATATAGCTTTGGCTTCAACAAAAACAGACCGCCTCCATCCTCTAGTGGTAGAGCATCCACCCGGATGGTCCAGGGTTTGTATCCCGGCCGTGTCCAACCAAAAGATGTTAAAAGATTGTACATGTTGTTACTCTGCCTGGTGCTCAGGATTAAGGGGTTGAAACAAGGACTGGTCGGCTCGGATTCAGTATACTATTTTCATGCTAAACTGTGATGCATGCATGCATCCACCCACACCCATCCTCATCCCCCACCGCACGTGAATGCACGTCGCTATGTAACTGCAACTTGGACGTGACGTTTTTAGACCCCATTTCACCTCAACAAATACAAAGGAGTCAGAATAGTTAAACCTACACACAACCTGCCAAAAGACCAAGATACTCACAGATACAGTCAGTGGCTGATGTGGCCCCACTGGTGGATGTGGTCTTGTCTGTGGCACACATGGCGCAGTTTGTCTGCCACTTCTGTGACTGGTACGATCCTTTGGGACAGTCCACACATCCTGTGCTTGTTGTTTTCTGGCCGGCAGTGCAGTTGTCTGGGAAACCAAGGCTCAATTTAAACACTGATGTCAAAGACAAGTGTGTAGTCAGTTTCAAAGGAGACCAAACTTCCTGAGATATTCTATGGGCAAATATGATGTGGAACCTGCTGCAGTCACAAGATGAATGTGACATGATCAAGCAGCATATTCTCCCATCCTGGCAACATGTTTGAAGAGTTGAATCAAACTTCTTATTTCCAAACAACTTATCCAACAATTAAATTGAGGATGAGTTCGTCATATCAAAATAAATTGTATATCAATAACAAAAAACAAGTCATACATACAAGATACTTCTTATTTTAATAATGATAGTTCTTATATGCAACTGATATGATACTACTACTGCTGATAAATAAGTCCAACTTACGAACTGAACAGTCACTACTAGATGTAGATCCTGTTGATACAGTGATGAAGGTAGATGAACACATAACACATTCGCTGAACACACCAGCACTGTTTGCCTTATAGAAACCCCTCGCACATGGTTTACATTGGCCTGTGGTCATATCCTTCTCAGAACCAGATGGACAATGTGCTGAAAATATCACACAAGTGTATTAGAGGACATACATCTGAGAACTGATATGCATGATTTAATGCTGAACTCACTATAAACTACCCATGTTTACTTCTATCTCCACTCACACTGGTATTCACAAACATTACATTTTACTCTCGATAATGTTTGATGTATCTTCGTAGAACATAGAACATATCTTGAAAACATAGCATTTCAAACCCTGACTTACTAGTACCTGAGAAACTGTTGGGAAAGATGGAGAGTGAAAAGAGATTGGAAAGAGGAAGAAGAGACAGAAAGAAGAGAATCCAAAAAGGTGGAATTTGGATAAGACAAGACAAAGGAGAGAGATTGAACGACCCTATAACAAAACAAGAGCAACAGATGAGATGGTGAAGAACTATGGGGATAAGATGAGAAAGAGAGGAAATAAACCATTTCAAGATAGATGCTAAGAGATTACACTTAAAACATACAAAATATCTAAACTGAATTCTGCCCGTGTAAAAACTCACTGACCTTCACATTGTGTGACATTAACAGTGGCATTCTGTCGGGTGGAGGTATTACCGGGACACATCTTACAGGAACTCTTATATGGTTCTGGTTGATAATAGCCCACAGGACATGCCTCACATCCATTGCCCACAATCTTGTAACCAGCTTGGCACTGGTCTGGAAACAGAAAAGAGTTAGCACTGAACAACTGAGTCAACTGTTGCAGGAGCCCTTCCCTGAGAGTACTGTAACCTTAGGTTCCGGGTACTTTACCCTTCTACCTATGGTCACTTGTCCTTATCAACTACTCCTTGGTTCTAGGGATGATGTAGCTCTCTCAAAATCACAAGTCAGATGGTTTGCTCCAGTCCTTTTTATTTATGATAGAATTAATCATAAATATGCACACATGGTCCTCAGATATGTTCTTGTTGTTGCCTGATATAAATACAACACATACCTAGATGATGCTTTGAAAGGCCTGATGGTTTTTCTGTTGAACATTTAACTGTGTTTCATTTCTGACTCGGGATCCCAAAACCACAGTGAACCTTTCTATTCAGCTGTATGCTCCCGACTCCCCGCACCACTCTCGGACAACTAACAAAATACTATCGATGATAATTTTAGCTCCTCCCTCCAAAATCACATTTGACATCATGAGAAAAGAGTCATAATGGTCATTCCCCAACTTCCATAGTAATTAGTTTTACCATCAAGCTTTTCGAACTAACCAATTTGATTACTTCTTTAAGTCATTGGTCAACTTGGACATACTCATATTATCAAATTCCCTCAACTACTTCTGCCAGACTGGAAGGCAGCGAAAAAATACTTAATCCTGTTATTTAGACATACCAGTCAAGCAGTAGTATTCATAAATATTTGATCACCACTAATCTAACAATTTTGTTCCATCCATCTATCTCTCTTCTGACATTTCTATTGCAAGACCGTATTCTACTAATCTCACACTAATGACTAATAAAAGCAAAATCCATAATCATTTGCCCTGTACGGTCACTTCTCTCATATGCATCCATATTTTTACCCAAAAGCTTAATTTAGTAATCTATATTTTAAGTAAATATTAAAAACCCCTTTTTCCAAAATACCCTGGTTATAGTACATTCATAATGTGTATGTGGGTGTGGTATTGTTCTTGAAGGCGGGAGCAATATTGTAACTCCATCAAGGCAGCCTGTCAATAACTGAGTCTGGAACAGGTAAACCAGTGACTGAAAGCATGAGCAACAATTGCATAACTACACACTATCAGCCAAGTCACTAAGTCTGATCACTTGACCTGCCTTCATTGCTAGAAATTAAGAGATTTCACTGTCATAGTAATTGAATCTAGGAACCCCCTTAATTATCAGTTTTTACAATAGGATTTTTGACAAGAAACCCTTCACTTTCAATCTTGAATATTGTTCCTTAGTCAGCGCTTACGACGAGTATGATACTGTGTGGACCTCTTCTGCTTTGGAATCTCCACTGGGGCATACTTTCGTAGAAATGAAGTACATTCATACATAGAAATCATTATGAACATGTAAAATTAATTTAGAGATCAAAGTACTTGTGACAAATTTGTTTTTAAGATGTGTAAATTGACTTTACTTACATATATTGCACTTTGCAGCTGAGTCAGCTCCAGGTGCAGATGTCACGAAATTGATTGGACACTTTTCACATGACATGAACTTATAGACACTATTGTCCTTGTAGTAGCCTATAGGACATGTCCGACATGAACCATCTGCAAGCTTCTCTTGACCTCCATTACAATAAGCTGCAGTAGAAAACAATATATTCCATACAGACTGGTTGTGACAATTGTATGGGTCAGCAGATATTCTGATGATGCATGAATGAGGTATCAGTTTCAGGAGAAAGAACATAAAAATTAATTCTAGGTCAAACATTCAAAAGATATTGTAGGTCAGTCTGAAATCATGAATCTTTGTTTAAAATTTAAGTTTATCAAACTTTGTTCAATGATTATTATTTCCCTGAAAAACTAGAGGAAATACAAAATAAACGCAATAAAATAACTAAAGTAATACAGACTTATAAGAATACTGGCGGCATGGTTGGCCCAGCCGTCTTAGGCGCCGCGATTCACTGTGCAGAGTTGCGTCCCTTGGGCACGCCAAAAACCTATGATTGTGGGTTCGAATCCTGGTTCGCCTCGATTATGTTTCTAGGTTGTCAGCACCATACCCGTGCTCGTGGGTTTCACAGACGTGGTAAATGTCTGAGACCTGCGTTACTTTGGGCTTTCCTCCCACAATAAGCTGACACACCACGATATAACTGGAATACTGTTAAAAGCGGTGTTAAAACCAAGTCACTCACTCACTCACTCACTATAAGAATACTCCACCAATCAGAGGCTGTGAATGAAAACATGTGAGATATCTGCTGAAAGCAGGCAATGAGTTAGAGATATTTATTTGAGGTGGTGAATGTCTGTGGTACTGACCTTCACATTGTGTCCTGCTTTGCGAGCCATTCTGGCGAGTGCTGGTTTGGCCAGTACAGGGCATACAGTTTGGCTGGTTTGACTGATTTTGATATGTCCCGAATGGACAGTTAACACAGTTTGCATTGGTTGAGTCTGGTTGCTGTCCAACTGGGCATTTCACTGAAAAAACATAAACAAAAATACCCTTTAAAATGTTATCACTTCAGAGAATAAGAAAATATGTATGGACAGAACAGTTAATCTAATTCTAGAAGAGAAAAGTCTTAAAGACAAAACATAAAAAATAGATTAAAACATGTATCAACATGTTCTCATATATTTCAGAATTTTTGTTTTGGTTTTCAATGTGGGTACTCACAGATGGAACAATCACTGAATGACTTGGAGTGGGTTGATGCAGTGCTGCGGTCAGGGCCACATGATGCACACACATCATATGGTAGGAGGGTTTTATTCCGATAGAATCCGACCGGGCAAGGGATGCATGTGTCCACATTTTGTTGCACAAACCTTTGAAATCCATCTTCACAAACAACTAAAAAAACGATCTGATATTAAAGCTGAGATGCAGATTTAACTATGCAGGAATAAACATTCATAATCAATAAAACAAAAAAACATTTCTCATCAAAGTTTACACAACAGATATGTGTACAAATATGACATTTGTGGTTGCAGGAATCAAATTGACAGGGCTGCTGTATTTAAGTGAAGCAAAATACTGATTGAAGATTAATCATTCATATTTGCTAACTAATGACTATCCATTATCACGCTATGTGCAGTAATGACTTCTAGTGACTTATACAAGTCAAGAGAAGAATGAAATCAATGTCAATTTTCAAAAGAATAACCAAATATGGTATCTGTCTACCAGCAATTTAAGTGCTACGCCTACATTTTATCGACAGATGGATTACCAACTAGCACACACCAAGTGTGGACCTGGATACCTACATCTACACTCTGCTGCAGATGTTGAGCCATCTCCCACTGTGATGTACTGAGGGCTGCTGCCACACGCCTTGCAGCTGTACTGCTGCTTCAGATCCTGGTAGGTTCCACGTGGACATTTCAGGCACTCAGTCTGCTTCACGTTGTTCCGGAAAAACCCAGCTTGACAGTCCCCTGAAGGAATGGAAGGACATAATGGTGAGTGAGCCATGTTTATGCTTTTCGCCATAGTTTCCAAATTGTTGTTTTGTATTCATACATATTCAGACTTCTACCCCTAGCCTTGGATAAATTAATAAAAAAATAAAAAAATATACTGCACAGAATGTCCAGCACTTACCAACATTGCACAAACTCATAGCATCCGCTCCAGTTGAATTAGTTGTCAGGCCAGTAGCACAGTCTTCACACTTGGACATAACAGCACTGCGGTACTTGCCCAGGGGGCATTCTTGGCAGGTTCCATTTGGGGCCAGCTGATGCCCCTTACCGCACTCAACTGGAAAATAGGTCAATGTTCACTAAGGTCATAAGTCAACATTATTTAATCAAAGAGTCAATCCAGTGTCTGTTAATTCCCAAGGTGTTAAAGTTGTTGTTCATGAGATAAGTACAATTGAACTATTACAAACAAATTAGCTTTATAGTTATACAGTTTGACAGTCAACAAGTATGACAATCTTACTGTATACATGTCTACAGAGATAATACAAATACAAATGACAATCCTACCACGGAATACGGTGTGACTGAGGTATAACAAACGTGAGTGATTATCTTACCGTAGCACTGGCCTTCAGAGATGGAGGCTGTGGTTCTGGTTGTTTTCTCCACAGAGCAAGGGTAGCAGAAGAACTGGCCTGTCATGTTTTGATAGAACCCGATTGGACAAGGAAGACAAGTGTTGCCAGCATTGTCAAACTTATGACCAGTTGTGCAAGTAACTGTAAGAACAGGTTAAGATACATAAATACAAATAAAGCTTATCTTACATCATGGTTATGACTTCTAGTATATTTTTAAAGTTATTTCTAAAAAACAACTAATCCAAAATATACTTACAGCTTGTTTGAAAACCAACATGTATTGCTGAATTTGTGGATAAATCAAAATGATTTCCCATACCAGAATTAATAATTGTTAAGTCTGACACATAACAACATATTTCCTTGCACTCCATCTTTGTTCCCTCAATATGGCATCTATTACTGCAACTGCAAGTTACGCAGTAAGGTAGTCATCTCTCAATTTAAATCTGAGGACATAGTGTTTACTGCTGCTTTGAGCAGATTTTCAGTCACACGAAAGCACTTGTTTCATACTGTAGGAGACTAACGTTTTGTCCCAGAAATAAAGTTGTCATGTTTATTTTGTAGATCTATCTTTTTAAATATGACAACTCTATTTCTGGGACCAATTGTTAGTCTACTACAGTATGAAACAAGTGCTTTCGTGTGACTGAAAATCTGCTCAAAGCAGCAGTAAACACTATGTCCTCAGATTCATATTTAGAGATGACTACCTTACTGCGTAACTTGCAGTTGCAGTAATAGATGCAATAAATATATATCTACAAAATAAACAAGCCCAACAATGCTTAATTTCAGCCTGAGACCTGAAAAATTCTGGTCTTGAGTTGAAATCCTTTTTTAGTTTACTCTCTAGGGGCTGGGACACAGACCAAACCAAACATAGAAATTAAATTCAGCTTTACGATGGGTGAAGAATGAGAGAGTTGAGAATTTAGCCACTTTTGGCAATATCATGACAGGACATCAAGAGGGAACTTCACACTGTGTCCGATGTTTGAAACGATGGCTGAGCTAATGGAGGAATGACAACCCATCAAATACTCACCTTTGCAGTCACTTGCACTAGATGACCCAGCAAGTTCTGTTGTCTTGCTTCCACAGGGCAGACAGCTAGACTGAGCCTCATTCGGCTGATACTGACCGACTGGACACAGGTCACATGTCATTGTGGCAGCAATGTAGTAGGTACCGGGAGCACATTTTACTGTAACAAATATTCATTTTTGTCACTAATAGTTAAGCAAATACTAAGAGTCAATTTGTGGATGAGCTATGGGATTTCCTGGGTAGCACACGCTACACGCAATCTTACATTAGGGATTGACCATTTGATGTTCGGGGGCTGGGGGGAGCTGGGATTTTATTGAATATACACATCCAGCCAAAGCTCATTTGATTATAAAAATGCAGTCAATGTGTAAGGATTGATCATGTTGCCTCTATCATAATGTCCATTGATAACCCTCATAGTTATTAAATCAGAATAGATTTTTTTGTTTACAAAAGTGATGTGTTAATAGATTCTAATTTCTCACACCTATTTTCAACTGAATACATAGAATATGTTGTCTGATTCTACTACATACCACATTTTCCGTTAACAACTGCCTGTCCTGTGGCACATGAGATGGAAAGTAGTATCTTAAGGAGGTCCCTTATAGGAACTGCATTTGGGATGTTCCGCTGTTCCGGAAAACAAAGACAATTTGTAACAGAGATGACAGAAAGAAGCACATCAAAACAAGCACACCATATTGAACATCAGCCTGTACACTTCCTGAGACTGGAAACTTCTCTAGTTTAATTTATTATGATAATGTTCATTGCAGGGAAAACTTCATTTCGTGCTAAAGACTGAATATGAATAGATGACATATTGCTTCCATTTTTATGACAGTAGGAAAAGAGCACACTCCAGTTGTTCAACTGTCAAAATGAATTTGGGCGGTTTAATATTGTCTGAATAGAAACCAGTAGTTTTTACTAGTTTATTGAAAATTTTGGTGGTTCAGTTGTCAAGTGGTTAAATTATCACAACAGATTCCAGTGGTTCAAATGTCTGAATGAAATTGTTCAATTACTTGTATGGTCAATAATAGTCAAGAAAAACCCATGGGAAACAAAATCAACTGAATATTTTTTTCACAAAGAACAAATTGAGGTTACTTACTGAGAAGTCAAACTTGCCCTGGTTTAGCACAGCCAGACGGAGTATGTCATCAGGGGTGAGACGTAAAGACCCAAGGCTTGAAGACGCTCTGGGGAGTGAATACTTCCTTATTAGCTGAGTTGATCAGAGTTCATTGAATGTTACAACACAATAATTATACTTATTTACTGATGACAATGATAGAGTATGTTGTCGCTGGGTCATATTTGTCTGATTCTTCAAGAAAGTTTTACTTTGCCATTGGGAGGGTGATGTTGACGCTGGTGTCCAGAGTTGCCTGCCTCTTCCTCCGTCCAGCTGTTAATCCACTCTGAATGTTGATGACGGCATCAGAGCAGTCGGTTTTATCGCATAGTCCATTACTCCACTCGGCATTGAGTGTTCTCAGTGCACTGAGTATCTCAGTCCTCATGCTGGTTTCAATGCCAGAAGGGTTGGTGGAGGTTACAGTGTAGAACAGCTGTACTATCACTTGGTATAGATTGTTGTTAACAATTACTGGAAAACAATAAATTTAATTATTTTTAAAACCCACATAAAGCAGTATATAAGCATGATGGATTTATTCAAACTAAAAATTTGCATACCAACCCAATTCCATGCCAACCAAGATACATAAACGTTTCACCACATCATCCTGATTATTAAGTTGTCTAAGTTGATGACGATAAATCAGTTTTCATATTTTCATATTAACATGTGCTCTTAAAACTATAAAAGGCTTCATAAAATGCTAAAAGGCTCATCCATTACTTAGTAATAATTTTTTAATTTGAAGTTTACACGATATACGGCTTTTCCATTGGACGAGAGGTCGGTCACATGACCGCGAAATTGATGTTCATACAGTTTGGCCCTCACTCTATGATGGTTCATACTCCAATGAACTCACACAAAGTGAAGGTCAATTCTTAATTAACTTACAAGATGTAAATATAGAATAAAAGGATAATTTTCATATTTATAAAAATACTCTCAACTGCATGTATATGAGATAGTGGTGCACCATATTATATTTACTGAGTTAATTAATAAGAGAAGTGCAAAGTGATCACCTCCACATGGTGGTAGTCGGAATGAGTTGTACTTCATTGGTGGGTTGTAACTTCCGATCCTGGGACACGTGTAGAGTTTCGGGACTGGGTGTACAATGGAATAGCCAGAATCACAATTGATACTAGTTTTAATCAGAGGGTCACTGATAACACTCCTTTGTGCATTTCCACGGATAGGATTCTGTAGCGGCGTGCAGCTGGAATCTAGGTAAAAATAGATCATTTAGATGATGTAGTGACAATGAAGACAGGATTGACTTATAACTGGATAAACAACAGTACCAGTAACAGTTCCAGAATATTGCAGTGAGAAGAAATTGAAATCAATTATTGTATTTTCTTGAGTATAGTGCACATGGGTAAACAAAACATCAAGCATGTATACAGGAAATCGAGTGTCAACGAACGGAATAAACTACCGATACATTCGTCTGTACCATTTATATATTTATATGAACATTATTAGATTAAATGAACATTGAATACTATTATATGAATTGTTACATATGTATATTTACCTATGTCATTTTAATATAGGCTATAAAGTCATTCAAACATGTCATTTTAGGCGAAATCCTGCGTATGATTTTACTTGGCCATCCTTTGCATAACCCAATTCCATCTTCTCGAGGTTAGAGAGTTAACTGACTATAAAAGTCCAGTTTCCACCCTTGCCGAACCTGGCTGGTATTATGGAGTTACATTTTGGCTGGACTAGCAAGTCTATGCATTGTCCAATCAAAATTGCAAAATCCGGTTCGTAAACTGTCATGCAGATTTCAGTCAATTGCAAGATTTGCAAAGCATGTGCACCGCCAACTCATTGTCAACAGATATTTTCTAAATCTGTTCATGTTTTTACATGATTTGACTCACTTCGCGATGTAAGACTCATTTTACCACAATATAGATCTTGATTATTGATCAGATTGTCTTGACTGGGCGCCTCCATTTACATAAGGCAACGTATAGAAAGGTGAGGTGAACTGAGGTTTAACACTGCATTATTGCACTTATAGCAACGTGCATATGTGCCTCAGTTTAACATGGATACCCCACTCACATACAGTATACTGACTCCAAGCCGACCAGTCCTTGTTTTAACCCCTTTATGCCGAGCGCTAGGCAGTGTGACAACACATATACTATCTTTTTACGTTGTTTGGTATGACGTGGCCAGAGGATTGAACTATCGACCTTTGTCTATTCAGGCAGATGCTCTATCCACTAGATCACGGAGGTGGTCACATATAGAATGAGCATGATAGCATGTATATAATCAGAAGATAACCTGGTGATATTGATGCATAACTAACAATTCAAACAGTATCTTATCATGACACTGCTTTTAGGGCTCGGATGGGTAACTCGGAAACTCGGGTTGGGTGGGTCCTGAGTAGTACCCGGGTACCCACAGGACTACCCAGACCTGTGGTTAGTCACGTGATATATTGTTTACCGACAAAAGAAATCACAATAGCTCAGTGGTTACACTACAATGTTCGCATTTCTTTCTGACAATGCACACATTCTTTTGACTGGTTTATGTTTGAGTAAAGATAATGCTTCCGTCAACTTCAGTGTACCCATGATCTGATTGTTTGATACATGTATCTAAATAATTTTGGCCAGGGCTGCTGTAAAATAATTCCCAATCAGACATCTTGTCTTGAGACCTGCAGTGGGTACCCAGGTAGTAAATTTGGACTCGTCCCAGCCCTAATTGCTTTACACTGAATCAACAATTGTCTTCTCTTATGTTCCTTTCTTTTCCCATCAGCCTAGTTTTACACTTACATTGGATGAAGATCTTGAAGGTGCAGAGTCCCTTGTTTCCTGCTGAGTTGCTGGCAAGATATACGACCTGATAGCGGCCCCACAGAAACACATCACCTGGAAGTACATGTGTTCAACGCTACAAGGTGTGAGCACGAACAATCTTGTTCACATGACTAAATCTGGTCTTCTACTAGTAGAGTAGTTTGATATTTTCATCAAGTTACATGTCATTAAATTAATTTAGCTCTCAAAAGTTTTTGAAGTTTTTATGACCTCAACAATAAAGAATTGATATATATCAAAACAACAGGTACTTGTTAACAAAACTAACAAACTGAAATATATTGATTGTATTACCTGACTTGTGAGTGGAAATGATGGTTGAATCTTTCCCCACAAATACAGGATCATCCCAGGTCACTTCAGTGATGCGAGTTGTTCCCAATTGGACTATGTCGCCAGGACACTTTGTGGGGGACACAAGGAGCTTTTCTGAAATTATCATGCAACAATGAAATAAGGTGTCATAAAACCTATCAAGCTGGATATACCTTATCCAAGGTGAAGATCAGTGTGATCCAAACAGTAAAGCATTCAGTTTGTCAGTCTTTGTTTGATTTATGTGTTTAGGGAACAAACCTTTTGATGTCACCATATTTTGTTATGGATGATAAGATCCAATAAAAGTAATGCTGGTTCGAGTTTTGGGTAAGACATGATGGCATGAAATGAGAATATTGAAACAAGGTATAGATAACAACCACATACCAATTTTAAGATCGAGAGGGACTTTCTCTCTTCAAGGTAATGGAATTATGGATCTTAACTTCAAAAGGCCAAATGGAGACAAATTATTGAAACAAACTAGAAAACAAAGTATATTTTAAAAGTGTAATATTGATGCCCCCATCATGCATATTACAAGATGACTTCTACTTACTCTCATCTGCCACTTCACAGTTCCCTCCTGAGTACCCCCTGGGGCAGGATGTGGACGAAGCAGTTGACGGGATGACAAGAGACACACCCTGGGATCTGCGGAACTCATTCCATGCAAAGATTTCATCAGTGAAGACCTGTTGTGGGTTCTCCAGCTTCAGAGGTATTTCTGATGTAAATGTGAGATCTCTGTTGTAGAGTGACACCTGACTCAACCAGCCATTGAAACCTTCATTCAGCACAGGCATCTCTGTCACAGGGTCATACTTGCTCCCAAGAACCATCCATACACTGGAGACAAAAAAGGAGTCCGTTGAGGTTTTACTGCACTTTTAGCCATATTCCAGCTATATCATGGTGGGGACACAAATCACATTCAACACATTTATCACATTCAACTTATGGTCCTCTATGTTGCAGTTTGACAAAAAATAATCTTAAGATATATCAGAAGAAAATTCAAAGGATTTATGATGTACTACAAAGCTGAATAGATCAATGTATCACTCACTATTTATCAATCATCATGCCCTTCGCATAGTTTTGAACATCCTCGGCAATAGTGTTGACTACAAAGTTGAGGAGTCCAGTCTCGCCATTCCATGTAACTGCAATCTGGTTCCATTTACCATCATTATACTTAAAGTATGGCAGTTTAACACTGCTAGTGGTACCATTCACAGAAATGGTCAGTCCGGAATGGTCAATGCGTATCAGTTGCTTCTTGCCAGCCAGGCTGTTGGGACCACTGAAAGTGAAAACAGGTTTCAAGGTCATTTGACTGGAGCTTCTGACAAATGAAGACACCTTTATCTAGATTGTTACAACAAATAATCATATACACCAACCTATGAAACAAACTAGAACAAGCAAATATACTGACTCGACTGAATACAGAGTGAAGAATGTCCCGGTTCCATCTTTCTCCCAGAATCTGACCCACAGACTGACACTGAGCTTGTTAGCTGTGAGTTGGATCGGGTAGGGGAGGTAAGCATGGCTTGTCTTCTGTGGCAGTTTAAACAGCATGTCATAGTTGCGGTCCAGATCTGTGGAATAAAAAAATTCATCTATATCGACATGTTTACAAAAGTTCGAACCAGGGCACATTACCACTATAAATGGTAACTTGATGTCAACCATTACACTAGCCAACTAAAATCAACTGGATATTTTATATATTTGCATATTTATCCTGCGTTACTCCTTATTACCCGGTACATATTACTTGCTTGTTCTTGACAGAGAAAAGAGCTGTGTGAAGATCTTGCTTGAAGTAGTTGTTTCAACCAGCTGAGAGGCCAACCCTGTCACACAGCTCCCAAATGATGTCACAGATCATCACATTACTCTGAAGTCTGGAGCATCGGAAGGCATCGTGGGGAGGCAGCTCTGCGTTGGGTAGGTCTCTTTAAATGGAGCAATGCAGGATAAGTATACAAATATAAGTTATCTAGTTGATTTTACCACATTTTTTACTTATCATGCATTACTCCTTAATGCATCTTTTTCCGACGGAATCGGTGGAGGGCATACCTTCAGATGTGCGCTTTCATCTCAGAACTCTGTTTCCTTCAGCCAGTCATCGGCTCAGTGGTTGCCAGCAAATAACCAATCTGTTGATGGGAACCAAGACTTAGGTATGCGGAGTGTCCAGGTACAACACAGCCATAGACAATAACCAAGTTAAAGTTGTAGACTGACGGAGCATGCATGGAGCATTAACCTTCTATTCCAGGGCACTTAAGCCTGGAGAGGTCGAGAGGCTGGCTCTGGACTGGAGGCAAGGTCACTGGCATCTAGTAGTGGTGACCTGTTGGCCCACAAAAAATGGACCAAAGTGTGCATACCTTGCCTGTCCTCCACAGTGACATCTCGCTGGTAGTGACTGGCAAAGACCGTGTTTGATCGCCAGAAACACCCCTCTATGATGGTACGTATGGAACAGTTACTGTGTAGCGCCATGGTGGAGGCATCCTCATTGGGTTGTTGGAGCTTGCGGGTTCCAATCCCGCGGCTTTGTAGGACTGGAGAATAATGGCCATCATGTTGCGTCTCACTTAGCAAGGCTGCTGATACATTTGTACCAGTACAATGAGGTGGCGTCGTTGTTTGCGGTGTTCCTTGGACCGATGGATGTAAAATTGCAACACCCTCACCGGACACAGGAGGAGCTCTTGTTCGCGCCCACAATCAATGATGGGGGGGGTTGGGGGGATGAGGAACGATCTATCAGGCTGTCCTGGGAGCTGATTCTTAAGTCCCAGCACAGTTTGAGATGAACAGCTCCATGAGCTCAATGCTAAAAGCAGACGTGTGTGATGTCTAGGGTGTGTAGCTCACTGACACGTGCTGCTGTAGCAGGCACCAGGAGGAAGACTGTGTAAAACAAGCCCAGTCAAGGGGCTTGAAAGGCATGTCTCTCAGCAAAGTAAGAATGATGTTCAAGTCCCAAGGTGGTGGATGAAATTTTGTCTTCTGGTCTTCCAACCTGAATGAGCGGAGCAGGGCCTGTAGTTCCGGAATTTTCGTCAAGCGCCGATCTTCCAGAACTGCCAGGATGAAGTTGAGCGCCACAAGGTAGGTCATTATGGTACTATACTTGAGCCGATGCTTGTGGCGAAGATAGAGCAGAAACTTGGCCAGGAATTGGGGCGAAGTTGTAGTGGGGTCCTGATGTTTTCCCCTGCAAAAGCTCTCGAAGGATAGCAACTTGTCGTCATATAGGCTTCTGGTGGACAGGTGATGTGCCATTGTGATGGTCTTCACTGCTCTGGCCGAGTATCCTTTAGTGTTTATCATCCTCGGTAAATAGACCAGACGCGTAGACATAACCTGTCTGGTCCCAGATGTGGCTGCCTGCTGTGGGGATGGATCAGCAGGTTTGGCCAATCTGGGAGTGACAGCGGGTTGGTGTCAGCTAGTTCTCTGAGGTTGACGAACCAGGCCCTTGCCAACCACCAGGGCATGACCTAAGTCAGATCGAGGCTCTGTGTCGATTTTATCTTTTGAATGACCCTTGGATGGAGTACATGTGGCGGAAAAGCGTTCACTTTTAGTCCTTCCTAGGGACCGCTGAAGGCCCAAAAACGGAACGTCTGTTTAAGGGGCGAGGGTGAATGAGTTGTTCCTTGGTTCCCAAGACACCAGACAATGGTTATATTGTCCGTCGAGAGCCGGGCGTTTCTGGAGCCTGCTTCCAATGAGTGAGAATAAGTGCCTCCAGTTCTAGATTGTTGATGTGCCACTGGCGCTGATCGGCAGACCACAGCCCCGAGGCAACCTGTCCCTCTAGATGTGCGCCCCATCCCTGAAGGGAGGTATCAACGAATAGATGTAATGAGGTTGTAAGCCCTGTCAAGGAGTTGCTGCCTTAGACATTTGATTCCAACGTCCACCACCGGTGATGCGGTTTGAGGTGATCCGAGAAACCAAGGGATCCTGACGTCTGATGTAGGGAGCCAGGAACTGGGAGCAATTGGAGCCTTCCTATGTACGTCAAGTCCTGTGCTGATGTTAGGAGGCCAAGGAGGACTTGCCATTTACGCAGTGTGTGTGGCTGGTGATCAATAGTGCAGTCTTATGCGCTCCCACCAGTCCCTGAGTACAGAAAGAAACCCCCGATGAACTGAAGGCAGAATGAGGGCATCAACTCTGACTTCCTGAGGTTGATCTTCCAACCAAACTGGTGGAGGCGATGGAGGGTGAAGTCCCTGTGACGAAGTAGAGTGTCCCAATAATTCAGGAGGCAATTGTTGATGTTGGTCTCTAATTGAATGTCCCGCAGATGGAGGTATGATGCTATCTGCTTGGTAAGCCGTGTGAATAGCCACAGGGCCGAAGAAATTCCAAATGGGAGGACCGTCCATTGGTAATGAAGCGGAGGAATTTTTCGGTCGTCTGGAAGGATTGGGACATGTAGATATGCGTCCTTGCTGTCCAGGCCGATGAGCACATTGTGCGCCTGGATTGGGGACCGCAGGAGCCTGAGCGTGGTCATCTTGAAGTAAGGGAGATGCGCCACGTAGCGTTTGTTGAAGACGGTGTCAACTGAGTCCTTCTTGGAAGATGGGTGAGTAGAAGCCCGGTGTTATGACGGGGGTTTGTACAACCTCTATGGCCTCTGATGTATTAGCTGCTGTTGAGATGGAGGGGGGGTATAAGTCCGCTATGGGGGACGATGTGAGAGACGGGTCGTTTGTAAGTGTCAGCTTGTATCCCTGTCGGGTGATGTTGGTGAACTAAGTGTCCCCTAGGATCTCCAAATTTTTCCAGAATCAACCCAGTCTCCTACCTACTGGAGAGTCGACAACTTGGATGGCTGGAGGTTGGAGGTCCAAGTCGTGTGTGTCTGGCAATTCATTTGGAGTCCTTGCAGTGGCCGCAACCTTGAAAGGTTGAGGAGAAGCCGTGACCCAGGGGCTGAACTGAGCTAAGTTGCGGGTGGAAGGATCCAGACTGCGACGGCTTATAGGAAGCTGGCTGTGATACCCTAGCTAGGGCCTTGAGGGCAGTCTCGTCCCGGGCTTAAACTGAGACTTGGAGGAGACTTGTCCGTTAAAGAGATCAGAGGATGACCAGGGTTGACGGAGTAGGTCGCTCTTAAACTATGGGTCCCAATCGAACAAGGAGTGGTAGCCTAGGCGATATGTGGTCATGAGTTCCAACAGAGCGGCTCGCATATGGGAGCTCATATGATCGACCTGTTGTTGAAGGTAACAGAAGACAGTGGTAAGATGGTCTATATGATGCAGATTATCCTCCGACAGGTCCTGGAGAATTGCTCTGGAGGTCAATGCCATAAAGGTGATTGGCTTAAGAGAACTGCGAATCTCGGTCTCCACATAGGCGAATTTGGTGGGACGGTTGGACACAGGCATACAGTTCATGGGCGTGGTCCGCAACCTGGATAGAGTGGATCGGGTAGTCACTCCTTCTGTAGCGTGGAGCTTTTGAAGGACGGAGACAGTGAGAGTTTAATAAGATCCTCATCAAGGGCCAAAATCATATCTTTGATCATAGGATCTGGTGGTATAGAGGTAGGGTCCGATCTAATGGTGTCCTTGCTATCAACCTCCTAGCAAACTGGTTGATAGCAACTGCCTTATGTCTGTCAGCCAACCAGTCTACCGGGTACTAGTCTAGTCTAGCTTATAGTGAGATTCTTCAACAGTGGAGGTATCATCGTAGACAAAATCCTCCTCTGAGGAATCAGAACGATACCCGCTATAGCGTCAAAAGATGGTGGAGTGGTTCCTAGATCGGGGTGTCCGGCGAGATGACCGACTGTCTGTCTGACGGGAGGAAGTAGTAGACAAAGCAGAGTCCAAGGAATAACGAGAGGTAGTCGATGGATCCACAGCTGGTGGAAGAGAGGGCGTCTGCTGTATAGGCGTACTTCAGAGGAGCCCTGGAGGAGGTGCAGGTGTCTGTATAGGTGCTATCGGGTAGAGGTATCTGGTATAGGCGCTTGGAGAGACGCATGTATAGGCGCTGTGAGCGGCACTTGTAGGGACATCTGCATAGGCGCTGGGCCGTGGCTGATCAGGAGGGCGCCGTCGTCTGTTGCACGGCCTGTAAGTACTAAATATAGAGGAGGAGAGAGGCGTCCTTCATGCGGGGCTCGAATGTAGGCGAGGGCACCTGTTGGAAGCTATTGACCGAGGACGTCTGTCTGGTTGCCTGGATAGGCGCCATCTGGTAGGTGGGCGCCATGCCGGGTGTCATGGTGCAATGAAGCAGTGTAAAATCACAATGCATCCCTGCCGGATTATGTATGCTATAATTTGTTTTCCCAACTACATGGTTTCATGAAAATGTAAGAAAACATACAATGACAAACAATATACCATCTTCCTGAGGCAAGAGAGTAAACTGACTTTAAAAGTCCAGCTTCCACCCTCGCCGAACTAGGCTGGAATTACTGGGGTCAATCGTAGCGCCACCAGTGGCTATTACCAGTTATGTCCCTTCTAATCCTCTCCCAAGGACCAATCAGATTCCACTTCTCATATCACTTGCGTTTGCTTCACACAAAATGGTGGCGCCCAGTCAGGACGATCTGATCAATAATCAAGATCTATATTGTGATAAAACGGATCTTACATCTCGAAATGCATCAAATCACGTGAGCACCTTGATTAAAAACATGAAAAGATTTGGAAATTATCTGCTGACTGCTTATCTGGTGCACATGTTTTGCAAAACCTTCAATCGATCGAAATCTGCACGACAGTTTACGAACCAGATTTGGATTTTGGTGCGCGATTTTGATTGGACTATGCATAGACTCGTTAGTCCAGCCAAAATATGTAACTCCATAATACCAGCCTAGTTCGGCAAGGGTGGGAACTGGACTTTTAAAACAGTCAGTTTACTCTCTTGCCTTGGGAAGATGACAATATACTTGCAAGGGTGCAACAATGATGAGGTCCAAGCCAAGAAAGAATATAGCACATGAACCACGTTCATCAACCGTGTGGCCAAGTAAAATATTCAAGATGTCCACTATACCATTGTGTTCTTGTGTACTAGATAAAAACCGTATGCACAACACAAGCACAAGAAACATTAACTCAATAAGCAAAACATGTGAGTGTTTGAACAAGCTTTATTAGCAGATAAACAATAGCTCTTCACTCAGCATGTGACGAGTAATGTGATGATCCGTAACGTCACTTCCCCTGGGGAGCTATGTGATAGGGTTGGCCTCTCAGCTGGTTGAAACAACTTCTTCAAGTGAGATTTTCACACAGCTCTTTTCTGTCAAGAACAAGCAAGTAATATGTACTGGGTAATAAGGAGTTACGCAGGATAAATATACAAATATTAAAAAAAAAGAACAAGCAAGTAATATGCATTAAGGAGTAATGCAGGATAAGTAAAAAATCAAGTGTCATCAAAAGATGAAAACCCCACTTGCTCCCTCTAATTTGAAAGAAAATCTGTCCAACTTGATGAGAGTACTTCTATCTAATCTGTCTGTCCGTATACAAGCATAGTTACAGGGCTATCAAACAACAGGTCCTTTTTTTAAAAGATATGAGTTAGTGGATGTCACACAATTGGTACATGGTAACTGTAGTTATCAATAGTTGCTGAAGATCACCTTTCACATTAAACTTATGAAACCTTATATATTGCAGCTTAAAAGAAATAAAAATATAAATGTTTACACTTCTGTTACTTTGGTTACCTTCACTGGCGAATAGTTATCCAGACAATTTTGTGGTTTGATCAGAGTCAAAGTCAAACTTGTTGCCGTGGAAAAGGAAAAAATCCCTAATTAGCTAAAGTCACCAGTTGACAACCTGGTCTTTGTGTGTGCAAGTCCATGAAAAAATGCCTATCAGTTTTAGAGATACTATCGAGACAAAACATAATTACCGATGGACATACAAGCTGATGAAGAGGACAAAAAATGTATATCTGAATCTGACCAATTCAATCTTAAGGTTAACCAAAAAAGAATTGTGCAACTGCAAGACCGATAAGACTGCTTACTGTACACATGGAAATATATTCAGATATCTTAACAAGGTCATTTTGTCCCACCAACCAATTGGAATATATAACTAAAATATATGTAGACTAAGAAACTAAGAAGGCTAGCCTAATGGAAGATTCAGAAGACTAGGAAATGTTTTCTTTAAAAGACTTTGTCAAAGGCTAATGTGTTACATTTTTCATCTTGACTTGAATTACTGTTATGGATTCATCTAAAGAAATAGCAAGAAAACAACATGTATCATTGTTAAATAATTTCTTCATAAAATAAATAAAGTACCCTAGGAAAATATCGACACACAAACAACCCGTATGATATGATAGAGAAAAGATAGGAAAACAAGTTTGTTTTCTACGTACCTTGACTACAGTCTATTCCACTTTTGCCAACGGGGCAACGACAGAAATATTGGTCCACTCCATCAATGCATCTCGATGTTCCTGGGCACAACACTCCCACACAGTTGTTGATGTTGGTGTGACAGTTTGTGCCAGTGAAACCTGTAAATAAAAACAGCCACAAAGCATTAGGTTGAAACCCTTTTGTTTACAAAAATGAGCATTTCTGATTAAATGCAATGTTTTTATACTTACCCAATGCTACACAGTGCTTTAGCTTCCCTACCTTACACAAACGGACAGTACTGGAATGAAGAGACAGTTTAAACAGACTACAGCCCGTGCCTAGGCATCCACGAGTTATCCCCCTTGGCCCCCACTCTTCACTGGATGACATCAGACGTAGATTACACAGTGGCGCCAACGGTAAAGCGGAGGAGGAGGACGTAGTCCGGGTGGGCCTATAGGTGTAGTGTCAGGTAAGTATAAAAACATTGCATTTAATCAGAAATGCTCATGTTTTACCTCACCTGACGCTACACAGTCCTTTCTTCGACTGATGGAAGGCGGGCTTACCGTGAGAAGCGCCAGGCACACTGAAGAAGCACAACCAAATCCGTCCGGCATAATACCCAGCAGGCGACAGCAAGGTAGCAGCTCCCGGAACGGCAGGCAAGGGGATAAGATGCAGGTGAAGCCCCCTCGGAACAGAATGGTGATCTGAAGGTAGACAGAACAATGCTTGACAGAGGGTAAAAGCAAGGTATTCCGACATAACCTAGCATCCCAAGGGGAACAGCACAAGGGATGGTCCTAACTTGGGATGGTCCTACCTTGGCAATAGGCATTGGCAGGGCCAGTGGGGCCACAGACAGCCACACTCCTTGGAATCGGCAGGGTCAACGGCGTCGGGGATTGGTCAGCTGCTGGCCCAGGACAAGTGGACCAAAGCTATGCGTACCCACGACGTCCTCCACCGAAATGATGCGAAGGTAATGGCTGGCAAAGACAGTAGTAGATGACCAGAAGCATCCCCCCATGATGGATCAGATCGGTATTAAGAGAGATCTCTGCAGAGCCACCCCTGGAAAGAGGGATGAACAGCCTCTTGTGCTGCTTGCGATGCTGCTGAGACACCTGAAGATAATGTCGGAGGGCCCGAACTGGGTAGTGGGCGAGCTCCAGGTCATCATCAGGGCCGACGATCTCCAAAAGAGAAAGGACATGGAACTGCTGGTCTAGTTGGCCGGTCAGTTGATTTTGGGGGATTAAGGCCAAGGTGAACAAAACCGTGAGGGCGCTGATCGAACTGAACCCAGGTCACATCCAGGGCATGAAGCTCGCTAACCCTGGCAGCTGTTGTAAGGGCCAGGAGAAAGCAAGTCTTCAGAGTGAAATCTTCAAACGAAGCAGACGCAAGTGGTTCATACGGAGCCCGGCGTAAATCCTGCAAAACAACACTGAGATCCCAAGCTTGGGGGCAGAACTTCTTAGTCTGGTCCTCCAGCCAAAAACATCGGACCATGGCAAAAACATCCGAGACTGATGATAGCCTAGAACCTCTAGGGATCTTGAGGTTAGAATTGAGCGCAGCAAAATAGGTCACAATCGTGGGACCAGCCAGGTGAAGGGATTGGTGAAGGAAAACCAAAAAGTCAGCCATGTGTGGAACGGTGGCCTCCACTGGAACAATGTGCCTGGACAAGCAGAAGGCCTGGAACGACCGCCACTTGTCATCATGTAGGAAATGGGTGGAGGGACGATGAGCTCTGGAAACGGCCGCCGCAGCAGGAGCTGAAAATCCTTCTGGAGACAAGCCAAACGTGCAGACTGTAACCATCGGGGTCTGGATACGGTTGCGTGATGTGAAGATTGAGCAGCAGACTTGGCCACACCGGGAGACGTAACACGGGTTCGCCTGCAAGCTTAAGGAGCCTGGGTAACCAAATCCGGGATGGCCAGAAAGGCGCGACCAAAAGCAGATCCAGTGGACAGGTCTGGGCCGCCTTCTGAATGACCTGGGGGAGAAGAACTGGGGGTGAAAAAGCGTACACACTTAGGCTGACCCAGGACAGAGCGAGGCCATCTACCTCCCAAGCAGCTGGGTCCGGGACAGGAGACATGTGGTAGTTGCACGCAATTGCGAAGAGGTCTACATTGGGAGTCCCTAGGTGTGATCACACAAGAACCGGAAGGCTTCTGGGTGGAGCATCCACTCTGTGGGGTACGGACGATTGGGTCTTGACAGGGCGTTGGCTAAGACATTGCGACAGCCTGGAATGTGACAGGCTTGTATCAGAAGGGGGAGACTGTCGGCCAAATGAAACAGGCGAAAGGTCTGCTTCAGGAAAGAAGCTGAGTTGATCCTTGCCTGTTGATGTAATACACCACCATGAGACAGCTGCTGCGGAGGATCTGACGCCAGTGACGAATCACCCGAATGACCGTCTCCAACTCCAGATTGTTGATGTGCCACGCACGTTCTGAAGGAGTCCAAAGACCTGAAGCCGTTTCCTGGAGAAGGTGGGCACCCCATCCTTGTAGAGATGCGTCCACGAAGAGATGGTGGTCTCGAAGCTTGTCATAGAGGAACCACTCAAGACGTTTGAGGGGACTAGCCACCACTCCAGGAACAGATGTAATTCCCTTGGCAGAGGGGACCCAACAGATCTGCGCACAGAAATGGCATACGAAACCGGTGAAGGGGACGCAGCTGAAGATGACCATGGACGTCAGATCCTGAGCTGAGGTCAACAGCTCGAGAAGGCTCTGCCACTGGCGGAGATCGAGAGGTTGAGAGAGGGCTCTCCTGACTCAGAAACCACGATGTGTTGTCTGGATGGGAAAGTGCAGGTAGGCATCCTGGAGATCTAGACTGATGAGGTAGTCCATCGGTTGAAGGAGGTGGCGCAGAGACCGGATGGAGATCATCTGGAAATGTGGCAGAGGCGCGAAATAATGGAGGTTGAATAGCGCCAGATTGTGGATCATTCGTAGTTTGGACGAACCCTTCTTAGGCACCAGGAAGACTGGAGAATAAAACCCTGGAGAGATGGAGTTGGTGTCTTGGCGATCAGTAGATCGATACTGGCCTGAAGATCCGGCACATTGCAAGGCCGATATTGAGGTTCCAAGGGAGTGGTGGTTAGAGAAGGAACGGAACTGCAAGTGGTAACCATGGCGGAAGATCCGGGTAATGAACGGATCTTGGAGCAGCTGCCAATTTCTCCAGTAGGTCTGAAGTCTCCCTCCTACTGGAGACGGATGAACTGGGACAACTGGCGGAGGGAGTTGCCAGTTATCAGGCGACTGAAGAAAGCCGGAAAAGCAACCTCGGCGGGAAGGCTTGGAGGTCAGATCTTTTCGTGGGGACTGGCGATGGATCCAAGGCAGTATTGTAGGTAAGTCGACATGTGTACAAGTTGATGCTGTTGCCAATCCAAGACAGAAAGGAGCTTATCATTAGCCTCAGATGGATTCTTGTCTTAGCAGTCCTGTATGGCCAACATGGGGGGAAGCCACCGCCAACAGTGGATAAAGAGAGTGACGGACAGGAGGGCAGATGGTGGCAAATTCCATGGAGAGAAAAGGGTAGTGTTCCTTCCGAAATCTTGGAACTTGAATCGTTGGCTGGACAGGCAGTGTCGTAAAAGCAGGCTGATGACCTGACCATATAAGCTACCAACTGGTCATGTGGGAGTAGAGCTTCTCCAGACTCCAAAACTTTGTGCTCCACCTCAGGAGGCACCTTGCCCAGGTGTGAGGAGTGAGAGACTTGGCTGGTGACGCTTCGTTATAGTCTGGCACAAAATGTTGCTCATCATCCGAAGGGTGGCGAGGTGACGTAAGGGAGTCAAGACGTCTGGCACCCAGTGCCGGGACGCCAGATAATGAAGCACGTTGAGTAGGTGATGGTCGGCATGATGAAAAAACGTCCTGGCGACAGTACGGCGATCTATGGAGCTGGCGAGGGTCAGACGAAAACTGGCGAGGGTCAGACGAAAGCTGGCGACGATCCGGCGAACGCTGGCGATAACTGGCGATCCCGCATCTGGCGATGGTCTGGCGATAGCTGACGGCCTGGCGAATGCTGGCGACGGCCTGGCGAAAGCTGATGAAGATTCGGCAAGCGCTGGCGATGGCCTGGTGAAAGCTGACGACAATTCGGCGATCGCTGGTTATAGCCCGACAATAGCTGACGATGATTTGATGGTGACAGGGACCGGAAGAACGGCGGGACGAAGTATCTGACAGGGCACGGGATTACCGACCCGGAGTGTGGTGGGAGCTGGAAAGATCGGAGCTGACGGGAGGAAAAAGTAGGTCATCTGGGCGGTGCTGAAGCGATGCTCCCAAAAGGCATGAATCACTGTAGGATTCATAAAATCAAGCGGCGCAGATGGCATAGATTGAGGAAGAGCACCCAAAGGAACCATCGTTTGTGTAGTCGGATTCGACAGAGAGGGAGAGGTTGGCGGCGGCGAAGTATCAGGCATCTTCCTCCTATAAGCAAGTTGTTTCTGGTGATGAAGAAGAGCCTTTCTGTAATAATTAAACTCTGTAATTGACATGACAGCACAAACAGAGAAGATATGATCAAACGAGCATGCAGGCTTGCAGTAGGGGCAAAGCTGATGTGGGTCTTTCCCCGACTTGGGCCTTTTACATAAAGCACAACGCATAGAATACATTCTGCAAAATATGTAAACAGTGCATAAGTGTAACGAGCAGAATCACATATGAAGCAAAACATGTTATTGGACAATATGTGAACAAACACACAAGCATAACACAGTGTGAAGCGTGACTGGAAGCAATTCAAAAACATAATACGCCTAATTAATAGGAATTATGTCAATAGAAAGCCATAATCAACAAAATAAATGAGAGATTCACCAAAAGTTTAAGAAAACTATAGCAAAAGGTACATAAGCGCAACCTCGTAAACATGAGACGCACGAAAGTTAAAATGGCGACCAAGGCGCGAAACGCGCAAAGTTTCGCAGCCACAAATAAAAATCGAATTACAACCTTTAAACCGCAAACGAACGGATGTATCAAGCATGGAAAGGATATATAGGGTAACACCACCTGAAGTCAAAATTGGAAGACAATAACAAGGTAGGTAGAACTCTGTTCCGTGTACAGGTCTGTCCGTGAGGCAGACAGAAAAGAATATGAGGAATGGGGGCCAAGGGGGATAACTCGTGGATGCCTAGGCACGGGCTGTAGTCTGTTTAAACTGTCTCTTTGTTCCAGAACTGTCTGTTTGTATAAGGTAAGGAAGCTAAAGCACTGTGTAGCGTCAGGTCAGGTAAAACTAGTGCCATGACACTGTAGCTCACCTGTATATATAGTTAACAGTTCAAAATTTCAAGAAAAACAGCTACTTATTTTTTAAGTACTCCAAAACAAATGAATGTTTCAGTTGAATCCCAGAAAAACCCCAGACAAGTACAATATTTCGTTACATTTTGTACCAATATGACAGTGTAACAGCCAAAAATATTCTTTTCAATATTTTTGCCACGGATAAATGATAGTTACAGATACAATTTTAATCACTGCATCTAAATACCTTTAAGTTATATTATTGGGTATTTTCTAACCGAGTCAAAGGCAGATCTGGGGGAAAATTTATGTATAGCTGATTGCCTATTTAAGGTTTAGTTTATGAGACAAAAACACTGTAATCTTAACATAGGCTACAATGCCTCGCAGAACAGGAAATACAATTACAATGGTAAATCATCATGTCTAGTGTTGTTAAATCACAAATTTCACATCTTCATTGACCAAGTATGTTATCTTTTGTTTGTTCCACTGAAGCGATACGATTAGTTTTTGACTGTGGTTAATACTTTGAAATATCGGTGTTGCTGCCAGGAGAAAAGCAGCAGGCGTCCCAATGTATCAATTACAACCAAAAGCGTGGCACTGACCATTAACGGTACTCTACTGATGAGGCCTGTCTCTCGATATATGGTCTCTGATTGGGTGGAACAATAATTTGAAGTTTCAGCTTAAATGCTACAGTTTCTGAAGAAATGATGTATTCAGTGCGATGAAATGGAATTTCAAAGATCTTAGAAGCATGGTCAATGTGCAAATGTCATATACAAAGGTTTAAATTTTAAATATTACGAAAAACAGAAAATATGTGCTAAACTTCACTACTAACTACACACATATGAAATATCATCACATTTTAAATGAAATTGGCTGAAATTGGCCATAGTGAGTGAGTTAAGATTTATAGTCACATCGGCAGCATTTCTGCCATATCATGGCTACAACAATTTAGACATTAATAAGAAATATATTTTAGACTTTTTAAAAACCTGTCAACAAAGGACAGTAAAATAACTAGAGTATCACAGACATATGTAAAGCTAGCATGCAACCATAAATAGATACTACTACACAGAACAATACATCATAAAACTGGAAACTGAAAGAAGTTTCAGCCTTCAATATTGTCAGAATGCAAAGCTCTTATCAAGGTCAAATCAGGGTCAAAATTCAAAATATTGCAAAAGTGGAACATGTATGTTTAGTTTCACTTATAACAAAATATGACCGAGTAATGGCCATAAATAGCTTTTTAAAATGGTTGACACTTCTGACATATTGAGAATCAGATTCAAGACTCTTGAACAAACTCAGGTGTCATCATTGGTTTCGAACAAGTATGTCAAGTTTCAGTTTAATGGTCCAGTGGTTTCTGAGGAGAAGATGTCTATGCCAGTTGCCGGATGCCAGACAAGAAGGCTGTGTCATAACCTCACTTGACTTTCAGTTAGGTGAGCTAAATACTGTTTCTTAAAACAACCATGTCAGTGAAGGATACTCTGATACTCTGCATTATTTTTTAACAACCCCACTGGTTTGGAATAGATCCCCAGCACTCTATTGCTTACTGAAGAAGGTGGCTCAATTGAATTGGGTGGTCACACTCGGTGATGTGTGTTATTGCAGCTGAAGGCGTTTGATTATAACAACCACTGGTTCACCTTGAATAGACCTGATTATTTACAGGCTGCTGTATAAACAGCTAAAATATTAATATTAACTAACAAACACAACATAAGAAAACATTATTTTTTGTAAGCTACATTCCATGTTTTAAATATCATCAAGCAATTATACAGTACATATAAAAGTAACTGGAACCCAATGGTCAAAATAGCTTCTGAAAGGTTGCCATACCATTCTTTGGATGGAGACATATGAAAATATACTTTATCCGGTTTTAAAAATGATCATTGTAAAACCTAATATGGATATTGGATGGTGTTTTCAAAACCTAAGTATTATAATGATAAACCCATAAGTTTTCTTGATCTTGTAAGGAACCTACTTTATCAAAGGCTAAATTGGTAATAGGTTTATAAGAAAGCGAGCTTTAAAATGCTGAAAATAAAACAATCCAAATTTCAGTATTCCAAACAATTTGAACAATACATTTCAAACATCTTGGTCTGTAAGTGGAGTTCCAAAATGGATATTAAAATTATACAACCTACTGTCTAGATTTTCTTGATGCTTGTGACAATTGTTACAAAAAGCTATTTTGGGTCAAAAACATACCCACATCAGTGGACATTCAGTAGAGTTATTGCTTTCTATCAGGCATACGTTGAACATCTGACAATCTCATCCAAAACTATTCTTTCTCCTTTACCGGTACATCAAAACTAACTAAAATCACCCTTTTGTTTGCCGTGAACATCTGAGGGTTAAGATTATGTCCATCAAAGGGCAGAATGGTACAAAAAGTGCTTAAGGCCCTATTTCCTAATCACATTATCTACACAGCTACAGGATCTATCTCAAAATGGCTGATATAGAAAGAAAACTTAAATTTGGAAGGAGATGACTTGAACAATCCTAAAATTGCATCCTTGGGATCATCAATGCCATTTTAATCTTTACATCTTCTTTTGTGCTGGAGGTGAAGCTTTTATAACAAATCCACCAACTGATGAACACTACTGATGATAATGTTTCACCAGACAAGCTTTTAATTATTATGTTTGGAAGAATGTACCATGAATTAAACCAGGGGGAACATGAGAATGCATTACTAAACATCCATGTATACAATATATCCAATAATGCTTCCACAAAAAGAATAAGAAAACATGTCAGACATAAAATTGCAATACAATTACAGTACAGTAAAATAGTCATTAAACATATTGACATTGATCATTCAGCAAAATGAAATGTCAGAAAAAGGGGAAAATATTATCCAGACAAACAAATTGTAACAAGTTAATCATATGACTCACAGAACACAGGACACAAGCACTAATGGCAGAAGTGTGCTGTCATTGTCTACAAGGGATGAAGCTGTTTGCTGGTCATGGTGTATTGAACAAACTTTGAACGTATAATCACATGTCACTTATTGTCACTTGTCAAAGTTCATAGCCTTTGAAATTGAAGATTCTCAAAAAAACATGAAACTTTATAAAGCAATAGCATATTGTTACCCACCCGTGGGGCAAGAGCAATTGTAGTTATTGAGTGAGGGAGCACTGCACTCAGCCTTGTTCTTGCATGTACCCGCCTTACAGTGGTGCACCTGCACTTCACAGCCCTTGCCCGTGTAGTCTGAAAGTAGATTAGTTTAGGATAAAAGTATATTCAAAGGTTCAAATATCAACCTTGTTTTTATATCTATCCCAAACGAAATAACTTTAACCTGCAAAACACCAAAATATCATCCTGTCAGTCTCTCAGAAGGCCATGGTGTAACAAAACATAGTGGCAAGGGAAATGTTATCAATGCATATAAAACTATCACATCTATCAAAACTTGTTGGAAGGTTCTGTAGCTCAGTTGCAAGCCATGTGAAATAATTTCATTTAGTGCTTCTCACTAAATGGGTTTATTGAAACCATAATGCACCTCTTTGTTTACCTCCTAACATCATTTCCTCTTACAATCTCCCGCCACTTATGTCATAATTCTACTTCTTATGACGTCATCAAACTTTCTCTTGCGTCATCACCATCATCCGTTAGTTCTGTCAAAATTTTCTGTACCCAGTTTTGTACAGCAATTCTCAACTTTTGGCTCCCACCCACCCTACCCCTAGCCTGCCACATTCATATTCTCTCTAATCAATCTTGTGTACATATATGGCTCAGGGCAAACTATACTAGCCACATAAAGAAACTGTGCACGGAGAAAATATAGATATAAGGGCACACCGTCCATATGTGAAAGATAGGTTTGAACACAGCAATTATTGGAGACATTCAAACGCTCATGCACGTGCCATGCGATATGACGTCATTGATGGGGGCCTATGGACGTGCAATGTGTTACTGCACACGCATCCTGTGCAGCTGTACACAGCATGTGCAACTCAAAATTCGCTGTCACTTTGGAAAGCATGATCTGTGGTCATTCAAAAATTCAAAACTTCTTAGGCGCAGACACAAGCATATCACAAGCAAATCATGCCAAGATTGACAGCTGCACAGCGTCATGAAGCCATTGGAATGATCCGAGCAGGAATGAGGCAACAACAGGTGGCAACACATTTCCAATGCCATAGTAACACGATATCGGCATTGGTGAGGCGTTATCAGAACACAAATGACGTTGCCGACCACCCACGTTCAGGACGTCCCCGAGTAACGACGCCAAGACAGGACAGATGGATTCGAGTTACACATCTCTGACACAGGTTCCAAACGGCAGTAACGACGTCCCAGACAATTCCTGGACTGCGCCGTATCCATCCCAACACTGTCAGGAATCGTTTATGTCAGTACGGGATTCGACCACGACGCCCTGCCATACGTCCCATCCTGACACACCGTCATCGAGTCAACCGTCTAAGATGGTGTCGAAATCATGTTTGCCAACCTCGAATATGGTGGAGAAATGTTGTCTTTACAGATGAATCGAGGTTCAACATTTCCCACAGTGACGGGCGCCAACGTGTCTACCGGCGTTTGGGAGAACGTTATGCACGCAACTGTATAGTGGAGAGGAATCGTTTTGGAGGTGGCTCTGTGATGATTTGGGGTGGGATAACAGCACGGCACCGAACCCCTTTGGTGGTTGTTCAGGGCAATCTCACCGGTGTTGGCTCCAGAGATCAGATTCTGAGGCCTGTGGTCATTCCTTTCCTGCAACGTCATGGCCCGGGATTGACATTTCAACAGGACAACACTAGTCCTCACACGGCTAGGGTCGCAATTGATTCCTTCACCATAACAATGTCATGTTACTGCAATGGCCTGCAAATTCTCCAGACCTCTTCCCAATAGAGCATGTGTGGGATGAAATGGAGCGCCGTCTGCGTCGTCTTCCACATCCTCCAGATAACGTCCGTGACTTGGCACAGGATTTGAGGAGGATATGGCAGGCCATTCCCCAGGCCTTCCATGCCCATTTGGTGGACTCCATGCCTCGCCGATGCACTGCTGTGATTCACGCACAGGGTGGTCATACCCGTTATTGACTTTGTGACTTTGTCGTTTGACCCCTTACTCCATTTTGATCTTCTGACGTCATCGTAACAGATGTTGTTCAGGTCCCGTTGACATTTTCTTATGGTCCGATCATTCAGCTGCTACAGCGTCTGCATCATTTTGTTCTTGCTGTGTTGTATTTCAATCCAGAATATATTTTCTCCGTGCACAGTTTCTTTATGTGGCTAGTATATGTATATTGCTTATTTATTCAATAAATGTTATAGGTGGGCATGGTTCTTGTGGGCTACAAATGTAAATACTTACTTAATCACCAAGTAATCATCAAAATTATCAGGCCCCTGCTCTTCAGCGGGAATCTGTTCAGTCCCTCTGCTTCTCGGCAGATGGGAACCTTTAGGGTTAACTTAATTTATGTCTGCTTTTCAGCAGAAACTTTAATAGTATTTTGCTGCTGGCAAAATAGTTGCCCATTGCTGCTGCTGCTGCTGCTGCTGCTGCTGCTGCTTGCTGGTAACTCAAGTTGCCAAATATAAGTCCTGCACACCTATGACCTTGAACCCAACATATGCCTTTCTTATTTCTCTTGCCTTGTCAACTTTGACAAGGCAGGTTACTTTGCATGGGGTGTTTCAATAATATTATTTATATTTAAAGAATTTTCATAATTTTTCATGAGAAGCATGAGTAATATCTGTTTATACTTACTCTGTCCACAGGCACAGGTGGTGACCCCGGCTGATTCGGAGCACATTCCATTGACACATGGGTTGGCATTAGCGCATATGCTGGGAGCAAACTGACATTTCTGACCATAGGTGTTGGCCTTGCATCTGGAAGGGATAACAATGTCAAAAACATCTACAACTGTCCAAAAACAATTCTGTCCCCAGAAATACTTTTGTAATTATTTGGTTAACAGATACTTCAGTGGTGAAAATAAAAATAAGAATATAATTTTAAGGACTTCTGAAAAGAACTATGAAGTGATCTTAATGTCACTAGTGTTGTAATTCCTATGCTAGGGCACATGCCACAGGGTTATCCCTGACCCATCAATGTATCCATTGAAATACATATTGAACAGTTTTGAAGGTATCCTATGAAACAAAACAGTTAACAGGCAAAATTGTCAGACCATGGCTTAAACCTGCACGATATGACATTGACAAGTTATACAATTACCTATTTTGAATACCCACAAAATATTTTAAACTTGACATAAGAACATCTCTGAACAGCCCTAGTGTTTTACTTTTATCAAGAGACAAAAGTTTCACAAATGACACAAACTAGTGCATGATGTACCTGCAGAAGTAGTTGGAGAAGATGTCAAAGCAGTTTGCATTGTTTATACAAGGGGAGGAACTGCAGGGGGTAACGAGCCTCTCGCAGCGTTTTCCTGTCCACCCGGGCTTACATCCGCAAGTGAAGTCGTTGATGCCATCAGTGCAGACGCCATTGTGGAGACAGGGGCTGCTGGCACACTCATCAATGTTGTTCTGAGAACATGTTATTATTGGAAGATAATATAGGCTAAAAAAAATATATTCTTGGTTCTCAGGCACTACCGCATCATCACAAAGTCCGCCGCATGTTTTGTTTGTATTTCCATTTTCAACAAAAAAAATCCTTAAATATTCCGCGTCTCGAACACACGACCCCGAAAGTGAAACGCTACAATACTTTAAAACAATGCGATACAATATAATATGCAGTTACTTCCCTTTTCATGTGCACTGCTTTACTACGCATCTCGTGTGTTATCATGGTTATAGTCATGGCGGCATGGGGTTTGCTTTGCTGTTGGCAAATTTGGTCAATGAAAACATTAAATTTGCGATAAAACATCACAAGACATGATAAATTATAAATTCAATGGTATTTGTGCAGTGTATGCCGGACAAAGTTTCACACGCAGAGGCTAAGACTTACAATTACATGTGTATTTGTCATAGCTGTCAACCCCTGGATGTCTAAATGAGTGAGAAACCAGGGTGCAGAGGCTGCAAGCCCCGCTGGGGCCAGGGCTAAGCCCTGGTGGGGGGACGCAGGGGGCAAACCCCACTGGCGAAAACTGGGTTTGAATGATTTTAAGACCATTTTAATGGCCTTAGAGAGCATGTATTCTGAAAAATTATATTTTTATCTACATGTTATATGAATGCAGGAGAATTTCCCAACCTTGCGTGTGAGCGTGACATAGGTGATAAATGCGTGAGACTCACGCGAGATGCGTGAGAGTTGACAGGTATGATTTGTCTCGTAAAATAAGCGGGCAATGCTACTTTATATACCCCGTCTATAAAGCGAATCGGAATGAGGCACATCACCAGTGCATACAAAGTCCCTACATTTGCATTAAAAACGTGTTTGTCTTCCACATAAAAAATTACTACGTATCCCTTCAGCGAATACAGGAAAACGAACAGATTATAACAATTAAACTTGGCCAATACAAATATAAAATTTGAGATAAAACATCACTACACATGATGATTTACCGATTAAATTGTATTTCCTGTTCTGATTGGCATTGTTTCATATGCAGAGATTAAGAATACTGTGTGTCTTGTCTCATAAACCAAGCCGGAAACTACCGGTGATTCGGTCAAAAATTACCCAATAATAAAACTATAAAGAATTTTGATACAATGAGCGGAAGTATTGTATCTGAAACTATTATTATATCACAAATAATTTATTCCAATATCATGGTAGTTGCAGCTTTACTATATACATGTGAAATAAATTAATAACCATAAGCGTAGCACTTTGGTTCTGCTGATCACAATTGCCGCATATTCTTTTGTGTGGAAGAATTTGACCAATCACCGTTGATGCTCCAGCGCCAAAAAAACTTTATGTTGACATAATAGTCAAACTACAACAAATATGACTTTCTGGATTTAATATATGGCATTTATGATATATATATATCCATTCTCTATCCACTAAAGTTCGATTCAAGGCGTCAATAGCCGCTAGCGGTAATATGACCGTGTTTGCTGAAAATAATGGTGAGTTGTGCGACTTTCCGATCACTTCACATACGATTTCGCCTAAATGAATTGAAACAATATTGAATGAAATGTTGAATAAAAATTAATAAAATAGATTACAAATATAAATCCAGAAATATTATGAACTCTTTTTACAACAAGACAGTGTAATTACATGATTAAATTGAGTACTTCAGCACAAATACATGGTATTTCCGGTGTTACTTGCTCACACTTGTCACATTCTTTTTTTTTCAGACATATATACTAGCCACATAAAGAAACTGTGCACGGAGAAAATATATTCTGGATTGAAATACAACACAGCAAGAACAAAATGATGCAGACGCTGTAGCAGCTGAATGATCAGACCATAAGAAAATGTCAACGGGACCTGAACAACATCTGTTACGATGACGTCAGAAGATCAAAATGGAGTAGGGGGTCAAACGACAAAGTCACAAAGTCAATAACGGGTATGACCACCCTGTGCGTGAATCACAGCAGTGCATCGGCGAGGCATGGAGTCCACCAAATTGGCATGGAAGGCCTAGGGAATGGCCTGCCATATCCTCCTCAAATCCTGTGCCAAGTCACGGACGTTATCTGGAGGATGTGGAAGACGACGCAGACGGCGCTCCATTTCATCCCACACATGCTCTATTGGGGAGAGGTCTGGAGAATTTGCAGGCCATTGCAGTAACATGACATTGTTATGGTGAAGGAAATCCATTGCGACCCTAGCCGTGTGAGGACGAGTGTTGTCCTGTTGAAATGTCAATCCCGGGCCATGACGTTGCAGGAAAGGAATGACCACAGGCCTCAGAATCTGATCTCTGTAGCCAACACCGGTGAGATTGCCCTGGACAACCACCAAAGGGGTTCGGTGCCGTGCTGTTATCCCATCTGCAAATCATCACAGAGCCACCTCCAAAACGATTCCTCTCCACAATACAGTTGCGTGCATAACGTTCTCCCAAACGCCGGTAGACACGTTGGCGCCCGTCACTGTGGGAAATGTTGAACCTCGATTCATCTGTAAAGACAACATTTCTCCACCTTATGGTTGGCGAACATGATTTCGACACCATCTTAGACGGTTGACTCGATGACGGTGTGTCAGGATGGGACGTATGGCAGGGCATCGTGGTCGAATCCCGTACTGACGTAAACGATTCCTGACAGTGTTGGGATGGATACGGCGCAGTCCAGGAATTGTCTGGGACGTCGTTACTGCCGTTTGGAACCTGTGTCGGAGATGTGTAACTCGAATCCATCTGTCCTGTCTTGGCGTCGTTACTTGGGGACGTCCTGAACGTGGGTGGTCGGCAACGTCATTTGTGTTCTGATAACGCCTCACCATTGCCGATATCGTGTTACTATGGCATTGGAAATGTGTTGCCACCTGTTGTTGCCTCATTCCCGCTCGGATCATTCCAATGGCTTCATGACGCTGTGCAGCTGTCAATCTTGGCATGATTTGCTTGTGATATGCTTGTGTCTGCGCCTGAGAAGTTTTGAATTTTTGAATGACCACAGATCATGCTTTCCAAAGTGACAGCGAATTTTGAGTTGCACATGCTGTGTACAGCTGCACAGGATGCGCGTGCAGTAACACATTGCACGTCCATAGGCCCCCATCAATGACGTCATATCGCATGGCACGTGCATGAGCGTTTGAATGTCTCCAATAATTGCTGTGTTCAAACCTATATTTCATATATGGACGGTGTGCCCTTATATCTATATTTTCTCCCTGCACAGTTTCTTTATGTGGCTAGTATATGTTCAGTGTTTGAATTTAATATTTTTTTTGTCAAGATAAATATTGCATAAATGTTTTCATTTAATTTGTAATGCAGTTTAAATATCCTTTATTAACAAGTGAGAAAAATGAAAGTACATACACTGCAGACGGGGTTGTCATATCCTGGCTTGCAGTCACAGTATGGACTGGTGTGGATGTTGGCGCACTGCCGGCTGCCGGTACTGTTACAGGGATTTGGGTTACAGAAGTTGATAGTTCCAGCACAAGTAGACCCTGGGTTAGAGAGGAGAAAAACTAGTAAAATCTAGAAAAAATTATATTTGTATACTTTTCCTGCATTACTCGTGGCAGAAATGAAGCTGTGATTGGTCCAGCTGATGAGAAGAAAGATGTTGTTCCATTCCAGAAGCAGGACTGCGAGTCATCAGCTGCCATGTCAAAACAGAAGTGGTGACATCCTGGAACTTTCATATTACTATTGGTCACACGTAAATTGTCTGAAGTTATTGTGGGGAGGCAAATCTGTGATGGGTGGGACCTTAGACATAGTAATGCAGGATAATTATACAAATATAAAAAATATCTAGATTTTACTAGATTTTTTAACTTATCCTGCCTTACATCTAATGCATCTGAATCCGACGGTATGGAGGCGGGGATACAATAAGATGTGTACTCAGTAACAGTCTTACGACTAGTCGTGTCAGACGCACTGCTCCAGTTCTTCTGGGCACATCGGTAACTGATCAACCAATTCTGCCCACAGAAAGGTAACGAGAGCATGAGTACGTCAGGGTAAACAAACAGTAAGAGACAATTGCGTGTGCTAGGGTCTAAAAACGGGATTACCAAGGTGAGGCAAGGCGAGGTGAAATGTGGTTTAACATTGAGTCCAAGATTATTGCACTAATATAGCAACGTGCATGCATGTGTGTGTGTGTGTGTGTGTGTGTGTGTGTGTGGTTCCTTGTACTAGTCTGGTCTGATGCTGCTTCATAATGCTAGCCCATGCCCCTGAGATACCATGCTGCAGTTTTACATGAATATCCCACTCAGACACAGTATACTGACTCCGAGCCAACCAGTCCTTGTTTTAGCCCCTTAATGCCAAGTGCCAGGAAGGGTAACAACAAGTACCATCTTTCAATGTCTTTTGGAACCCCAGACCTTCCACTCTCTGGGCGGACACTCTACCACAAGACTACGGAGGCGGTCCTGGATTTCCAAGCAATGACTGTGTAAAAGCAGGGAAATGTATGTAATTATCATGACTTAAGATTGCGGCGAGTGCGGCGAGTGCGGCGAGTGCGACTCATGCTCATGGTTGTTAACCAGGCGCTTATAACATTCGGGGCCTTTGTGTGGTTTTCAAAAGGTTTTGTGAAAGACGTGTGGATGACATTTTCCATCAGTGACCAAAATGATGTCCAGTGCAATTCCCTATTTTGACTTGTACTGAGAGTTCGCGTGTCTTTTAGGGTGAAGAATTTTGAAGCTTTGCATGTGTTTGTGGCAGGTGGCACCGGTGTGGATTGGTGCGCTGACCTTTTCGCGAGTACTTGGTGTCATCACTGTTTGATGATGATGCATGGACACATGCTTATGATGTGGTCTGAATTGTGCAGTCGACTCTGCTTTTGACAGGGATGTCTTACAATTATGGGAAGGGTTTTGTTGCTTTCTTAACTGCTAAACATGAGAGATAATGTCAGTGTATAGTCATGAAACATCAAATGCATGTCAATTTCTCATTGCCTTATCATGAGGTATCAATGTTTGAACAATCATCAAACAATAGTTCTCATTGTTAATAATTCTAATTACATCTCTATTACATCTCTGCTATGAATCCTGTATTTTTGCTTCAGTCACACTCACTAAAATTTTCAGTTTTTCAACACTTGTCCTCTTCACTGTCAATTACACCTAACTAGATGTCGCCGAGTAGTCTCGTAACTATGTAAGCTATGACGTCGTTATGGTGGCACCCTCACTTTTTCCCCACATCTTACTACTAGAGGTAGATGAATTGGAGAAGTGGGAGGGAGTACATCGGATGTAATAGAGGTAGTATTCTTAGAATTAATAACAATGATAACTTACGAAATCTCTACCTCTATTACATCTCTGCCAGAATATACCAGAGGGACCCTGTGGGATTTGCCTATAGTAACTACCTGTGTAACTGACAGCAATTCTCTTCTGTAAACCATTATTTACTGATTCTAATCCTAACTTGAGACAATTTCCTCTGAAATTCCCCCTGAGGACTTGAAAATCAGAAATGTGTCAAGAATCAGTCAAATATGTGATATCTTCACTAGAATTAACATTATAATTGCTGATCTTGATCGTAATGATGATGTAATTTCTAATCTATTTCTGATTAATGATGTCATTTCTTGTTAAATTTGGATTTGTTACCCTAAAACCAGTGCTGACGGCACTTCCGGTGCTGACATCACTTCTGGTTGTGACGTCACTTCCAGTTATGTTCTCACTTCCAATGCTGACGTCACTTCCGGTCTAATTGAGACAGTTGATACTCAAGGTGCTTCTAATCCATCCTATACCTAATAGACTCACCCTCTGATGCTGCAGGTGTTGGATCCTATTTTTTTGATAGAAGGGGGGGAAAAACTACTGGTGGATGATAGATTGCGCCGCGACAACCGGACCAAGGGAATATATGCCCTCTAAGTCCGGTTGCACATCACGCAAGTAAAAGCTGGTGAAGGTGTTTTGTGAGGCCCATTGACAGCTAGAAACTACTTGTTCTACTGAGACTGATGTCCATGAAGCAAGACTTGTGGCTAGGGCTCTGATTTCATGAGCTGAGCAGAATCCGAAACGTGGTGTGGAATTATGGGCCTGTGTATAATTTGATGCAACAGTGGCTTTTAGCCGGCTATTGTAACCTTCGTGATGTTCTTGTTGGATTTAGTCTTACAAGATAAAAAGAGTCTCCTTCGATGGCGTCTATGTGGGATGTAATATCCAGTTATGTATGACTGTTTAATAATCTCATACCAACTTTGACTGGAATAGGCCCAATAGTTTTTTAGATATTGTAGTAAACAGCGGTACCTTAAATTATCTTACAGACTATAGCTGATCTTGGTAATCCTGGTGAATAGCCAAGGGCCTATTACAATTCCGAATGGTAAGACTTGGAATTTGTAGCGTCGGCCGTTGATTGCGAGGCGTAGATATTTCCTAGACGATGGGTGTATCGGGACGTAAAGATAGGCATCTTGTAAATCTAGGATGATAAGCCAGTCTCCTGTCTTCAAAGTCGACTGTAACTTCCATATGGATTCAAGCTGAAATTTTGTCGAAGGGACCAGATATCTTTTGTTGAGGGTCTTTAGGTCAATTATCATCCTCATTTCGGTTGTGTTCTCCTTGGGGAATAAGAATCCAGTGGAACTGTTTGTACTTATATGTCATGAACAACTATAAAAAACACTAGAAACAATGAAGCTTATTGTAACAATTAAATTGACACTTATATTTAATGCAGGCCATAATGACACATACAAATGTGAAACGAGCCCGAAATGATATCAACATGGGCCAACAGGCATGCTTCTTTCATACACTGGTTTCAAAACAAGAAGTGTGGAATATCGGATCTTGAATGTCTGCATATAGGGCTTGCACCACTGGTGCCTTGTACTACAGATTTGTTGGACAATTTTAACAAGGTGTCTAGCAAGGTGGGTCGCCCTGGTCTTGGAGCATAGGTAACCATTCCAGTTATCTGATAACGTGGATGAAGTCTCCCAATGACAATTTGTGTAATGGTTATACACAACGTTGACGTCGACTTTGACAGATTTGGGGATTGACAACAGATTTACCACAATTTTCCATGCCCATTCCACAGTTCATCAGGGTACTCTAACTATAAATATGGGGTGCATCACACATGCTTGTACTATGGAATGCAAAATCGAGCAATAGATTGCATTTGCGTCAATACATTTCTCAGCCCATTGTAAACACCTGCACAAGGTGTTGTTAACTATATCCCATTTACATTATGCTACATAAAACCATTCAGTCGTTGTGCTGAAACAAACCAAGAAACATAAAGGCTGGCATGCCACAGGGGTCTGTGCTTGGTGTATTACATTATATTGTTTATATATGTAAATGACATTGCTGACAAAATACCTTTTGCTGATAATACATCGATTTACATGTGTATTTGAAAATTTCATAAGCATGAATTTAGCAATATTGACTGAATAGGCGAAATTCTGGCTCATAACATACAATCCCCCCAAAACTAAATCTGTTTTATTCTCTCGCAGAGAACACATTGGAGGTTCATCTATTTTTCAACGGAAAAGAAATATGCTCTGTAAATAGTCATAAGCACATTGGGTGCTTTATTTGAAGACAGTTGAAAAAAGAAGGCATCCCCATGGGCACCAAATGTGCCCACCTTCTTGCGGATCTGAACTTTTGAGGTACAATTGAACATGCTCTTTCCACCAATATTTCAAAAGTGTCATAAGACTCTTGCTCAAAATTGTTTGATCTAGGGCATAACATTCAAGGCCTCAGGAAAGCTTTCAAAACATTTTATGGAAGACATGGGGAGGATATTTCCAAATTTGACGCATCAGTGGCAGAAATGATGTCCAATGCAGTTCCCAATTTGACTTGTACCATATGTTCTTGTGTTGTTTTAGGTGAATAATTGACTTGCCTTTGCATGTGTTTCTCATGGATGTCACCAGTGGGGCAGGATGTGTCCACTGTTTCACGAACATCATTACTATTTTATAGTGATTCATAAAGACATGCTCATGATATAGTAGGTAATATGCAATCCACACAGCTTTTTCCACACATTCATCTGAACACCCCCCAGCATCTCTATGGTTACAACCAACAACTGAGTCAGAATTATGTGCTCTGTGCAAGATAACCTTCCATGACCTGACCACATGTGTCTCTCTGCCAACTAATTTTCCTTCGTGAAGCTATGAGGCTAGAGGAGCTGAGATGCGGGGAAGGTTGGGTTGGCATATCACGTGTGAGATAGGATAAGTATATAAATATATACAATTTATGCTAAAATTTCCAAATTTTTAAACTTAACCTATCTCTCACTTTGCATTTAACCCCATGGTTGGATGGTGGGCCTGTGTAGACTACAATCGTGAGATGTATACAGGAGGAAGCTGGATGAACTTGTGAATGGGTTAAACACACGGTCAGTCGGTGTTGACAATCCGATACGTTACTCAAACAAAACAGGCTGAAATCGGGAATACATGTGTTTTCACGTATACCATCATTCATAGAACATCGCCTAGCTTTAACGCATAGACAAAACAGCTGACGACTTAAATGGACCCTGGTCTTTTCTCACAGACAATAGGGTGCGACTGGTCGGCATCTCTTTTAATGATAGATCCACATTCCAGTGCATGAGCCAAACCAGGACGTGAAGAGGATTGATCGACAATATCAATAAGAGGATCTTTGAACCAATATTTGAGGCAGAGGTTAGTGGAATAAAGGTTCCGGACACTATTCCAATTTTTGTAACGTATGGGCCAATGGCGAATTTTATGTTGGAGACTAAATAGTCTCTTTAGGTATTAATCCACCCTGAACAATCAACAAAACATTCAACACCAAGGTTAACCTTTAAACATTTATTATGTATATACAATTGTAAGAAAGAGTGAGAATCACATGAACATTTTTATATGCGCTTGTTGGGCTGTGATTGTTGTTGTGCGAAGATCAAAGGGCCGAACTTGTATAGACCTTGTACATCTGTGACTGAGATGTCAGGAAGGTAGTGAGAAGCTGTATCGGACTTCCCACTGTAGGAGAGGAAATGTCACGTGCACAACAGTATTTCTCGAATGCTATCCACATGTGGTTGTAAAGCCGTGTGGTATATGAATGTTGAGCTGCAGTAATAGTCTTCGGTACCCACTCAGAGTAACCTTCAGGGATAAGGGACTTCTGCAAATGTGCCAGACGCATAGAAGGAGTGTTGCAAGGGCCATATGAAGCCTATGAGAGTGCAGCTGAAGTGTGGAGTGGTAGAGGATTCAACTGTCAGTTGGCAAGTATTAGCAAGGTGCCGGGGAACCAGTTGCGTGTTGGCCAATATGGCGTGACCAAAGTCAGAGATAAGGTGACTGGTGAAGAATGCCTGTCTGGGGAAAGACATTTGCATTGAGGCCCTCCAACGGGATCGATAGTGCAGTGATCCCGAGCCTGTGGGTCGGGGATTGGGGACACGAGTCAGGATGAGTCTCGATTTTATTGATATGTTGTCAATGATCCCCAGTGGACCAACAACCTCGTACCTGAAGATCGCAAAAATGTGTTCCCAACACACGGTTTATGCATCTACGAACAGATAAAGTGATGGGACGAACAGCCTCAATGAGACTTCTCCACAAACGCTCGATTCAACTAAGCACCTTTGTATATGTGGGCTGACATGGATCGGTAGGCGAACAGAGTACGTGAAGCCCATGGTTGTTGATAAAGTTTAACCTGACACTGATCTTCCCAAGAGCAATGCTGGAGGATACCACGACAGCAAAAGGCTGTCACAGAACCAGAGTGATGGGCGAGCAAGTCTAGAATGTTTGTAAGTTTATCCTTGACAAGAAGTACAACTCCTCTGACAAAGGCATCATCCTGAGAGTGATGGGAGAGGGAAGTGCCCAAGAATATCGATGACACAAGTGGTAAAATGAAGACGGTCGCTTCTGGGAGACTGTCAATCTCAGGGTAAGTTACCATGGCCGACATCCCATGAGTGCTAGTATCCTCCAGGATGAAATGAGGTCTATGAAGCCTGTCATGTAAACTGCAAAAAGAAGCAAAGGTTGTATCCAGGTTAGGGGAGATATCCAACAATACTGGTAGGGGAGGGAGCGTAATGTTGGTGGAGCTGCCTGATGGCACTGCAAATCCTGTGAGTCAATCCACAGTCAAAGCTGTACACTATAGCTGTAATTTGTCTGCAATCCAATCTGTCCGCAATCCAATGAGGTCTTCAGCTGATGTATCTGGTGAAGTAGGGTCAACTGATGCCAAGACCAAACCAACAAGTCAGGTAGGGGCTATTTGAGAGGAGGCTGGAGCTTGCTCCGAACCTGAGGATTGATGAGAAACCTGAACAGAGCACCTGGTTGAAGGATTGAAAAGAGAGTTCAACATCCTGCTGCTGATCCCGATGATCCAAGCTTTTAGGTAAGATGGGAGTATGAGACTGTGAAGGGATCAAACTGGGACAAATTCAATCTGGTGAATTCCGTGTGACTTCTGGAGTGGTGACGTGCCTGATATAAGTCTGGTGGAGGATTATCATTGTCGAACAGTTTGCAGATGCAAAGCAGGGAGTGAGCTGTAACTTCCCCACTAGTGATGGTAATCTACGACGAGGGACTGATCTCAGTAATAGGAAGAACATCTCAAGGGGAAACGAGCTGAAGAGTGCCCCCTAAGTCGAAATGAAACTTCATTTCGTGAGAGAATTCAAACAATCCCTGTTGCTCTGGAGAGTGCCGACCATAGGAGTGGTGTGATGACTGTGGTCCGAGGTACGTCTAGTGTTTGAGCGAGAGCATCGGTCCGATCCTTAGAGCGGGATCCTGATCTTTAGACACTGATTGTTGATCCAGCGTGGCTTCCTTCTGACGATCCTGAGAGAGACGATTGGGAGCATCTTGATGAGACGTACACCCGTAGAAGGGACGGTCACATTGTCGTTCCTCCAATGATTGTGCAAACATGATGAATCAAAGAGCAGGATCTTGAACGGAGGAGCGTTGTTAGGAGCATTCTCCAAACTTGAAGTCAGGGTTTACTCAGGAATGGTGAGTAACACAGACCAAACGTCGGCTTGAAGAGGAGACTGAGGAGCAATTGTGAGATTGGGAAAGGAAACGTCTGTTAATAACTGTTGGAGACAGTGTCATCTGTCATCGACAGTACAGGCTCTTCTGAATGAGTGGACGGCTTTCATTTTCTAAGACAACGATTTGCAAGAATCTTTAGGTTTACATCTGCATTCTAACATTCATCTGCAGCATCTCTGGATGTAGGCACGGAAAGGAATATCTTCTAAGGAATGACATTTTGCGCATCGAGATTCCAAAGTAGACTGGCCACAACATTTGCAATACATCCACACATGGTGGGAATTAGAAAGAGAATGAGCTTGTAGAGCACGAGAGCACGTAACTGACCCATAGAGATGCTGGGGTGTGTTCGGGCAAATGCTTTTGTTTTAGAAGCTGGAAACCGGATTCAAGCATGTTTCCATATTGGATCTAAGAATATATGCATAGTGTGAGATAGGAAAAGTTTAAAAATTTAGCCTTTTCACACAAAAAAACACCATGTGAGTATTAAGACATCGAGAGCCTACAAATTGATCCTTTAAAATGGCTGCATTCGGTGAGGTAGTGAGTCGACACTGTGATAGCATTAACAGCATATATGTCAGGCCTGTAATAGATGCCGGGTCAATGGCTTGCGCGAAAATTAATAGACACCCGAGCTGCTAATAGGGGAAACATGGTAATTTGATATTGGGTGTTATGGCAATGATGTTCTTGGACGTAACCGTGATTGGTTTGATGATACAACAACACATAACTGTATAACAACGAAGGCATTTCTTTTACATACAAACGGTTACGTTTATAAAACTCTTAGGGACAAGTTCTTAATTTCCTCATTGGAAACAAACAAAAATAAAAGTATAACAAAACATTATATGTTACCTTCATATCCCGTGGCGCATGTGCAGGTGAAGGTGTTAACACCATCTGTGCAGGTACCGCCATTCAAGCAGGGTTGGTTGGCACAGTTGTCCTGGTTTTTCTGGCAGAGAGAACCTCCATAACCAGGGGCACAGTCACACACAAAGGTCAGCCCAACCTCACGACAGCTGGCACCGTTCATGCATGGGGCACTGGCACAGTATGGGGGAATGCTGCATGTTTTCCCCTTGAATACTGAAACAGGGAAGAATGATGTTCATCTGAAGTAAGTGTGGTTGCTGGATTTAATATTGCTTGAATAGTCTCAGTTACATGTTTTGACTTCACAGTGCACTCTAACATAGTATGATGTCTATCCAACTTGGTGACGTCACAATAAGGCAGGCGTACGACACATACAAAAATAAGTCTTGTAGTGGCAGTAAAATGTACAAAACATTTAATTGTATAAAATAATTCAATTATTTCAGGCCATTTAATTTTGGTTTGAAAATAAAATAACTTTTTTTTATCTTTCTCAGTGCATCATTGTCACATTTGTAAAACGGGAATATCACAAAATTTGGTGTTTTATTCCTGGCATACTGATCAATGTGTTGACTGAGTGGGAAACACCGGCAAGAGGGGTTCTTTATTGTTGTCGGTGGACCCTCACTCTTGCTCTTAGGGTGTCACCAGTCCGGGGACGAAGACCCACCCAAACAATCATCACTCAAGACAGATCTTCAAACCAAGGGAGACAGCAGGGCCAAGGTCGCCAAAGAAGTCCAAACCACAATCATCGAGGCCAAGGACAAGCCCGTGATAACAGTTGAGGACATTTCCAAACTCAAAATGAAGATTAAATAAAAAGGACTATATTTTTGTTTTACTGACAGCGAGGTTCCCCCAGAGAGGGGAAACTCAACAATTACTATATATACTAAACAACAAAAGTTCCTGTGACACCAATGTTTTAGTGTATTTTTCAAACCAGTAAAGTTTGTTTTTCAATATTGTAGTACATGTATGGAATCAAGTCACAGAAACGCAACTGCTACAGAAAAGCATGCATTCCATGCAAAAGTTGACTTTTATGCAAGCCCCATGCATTTCACTACCATAGAATGAGTACAAAAACATGTGCGTTAACGGGATTCCCTATGCATTGTTTAGCATCATGCTGACAACAACCACTCAGAAAAACAACAAAATTACGCAATTATTCAACCTTACGAAATGCCATGCCTGTCCGAAAATGAGCGTCTGCGAGCCATTGGTATGCTTGAAGCAGGATCGAGTCAACATGATGTTGCAAGACAATTTAACGTCCACAGAAACACCATTTGGTGTTTATGGCAACGTTGGCAATAGGCGAATGCAGTCAGAGACCCTCCTCAGAGTGCGTAACCAATAATCAACAAGACAACTAGATTCGAACAACACACCTACGAAATCAATCCAGGCCAGCAATACTGACTGCAAGAAGCATCCCTGGCCTTCGACGAATGTCTTCACAAACCGTACGTCGCCGCCTCAGATGTGCAGGGATTGTCGCCAGAAGAAACGGTCTACAGCGTCTACGCTGGACGGCCATGCAGCAGGGAAAAGTTCTATTCACTGACGAGTCTTGTTTTCACCTCAGCCACAGCGATGGATGGATTCGAGTGTACCGATGTCGAGGTGAACGTTACGTTAATCATTGTGTCATGGAAGAAGATCGGTTCTGGGGTGGCAGCGTTATGGTATGGGGTGGGATTACAGCAAGACAGAGGACCCATTTGATAGTGGTAGAGGGAAATCTGAATGGAAAGTGCAAAACGGACGAGATCATCGACCCTGTTGTTCTACCGTTTTCCCGTCGTCATGGCCCAGGCATTACCTTTTAACATGACAACGCCCGGCCTCATATTGCTCGACTTGTTCAGGATTCTCTTCAACAAAACAACGTGATGTCATCCCGTGGCCGGCTTGCTCCCCTGATCTCTCACCAATCAAGCACATGTGGGATGAGATGGATCAGCGCCTTCAATGTCAACCGCGTTTTCCACAGACACTCCAGGAACTTCAAACCATGCTGCAGCAGATATGGACAGATATCCCACAGGACTTTGTGCGACGCCTGGTCCATTCCATGAGACGAAGATGTGTTGCTTGCATCGCAACCAGAGGTGGACACACACGCTATTGATTTGTAAATTTCATGTTATTTTATGAAATCACGCATTTTCTGAAGTCAGTATGGCAAATTAGACCATTTGAAGACTTACAGGAGTCTATTATCTGTTGCATACCTAAATTGTTTCAGATTTGGTAAAAAACATAACTTTGCATTAAATCTTATTCAATGTCACAGGAACTTTTGTTGCTCAGTATAGATAGTGTATTGAACTCAAGGTGTTTTGCTTCTGTGTATATAACAAATGACAGCGACAAAGTTTGATTTGTCTGTCCATTTGCATATTATATGAACAAAAGTTTAAAACGATAGTGCAAAGATATGATCACAACTGCACAAAGGGTAATTTTTTACAAATTCCACCAGAAGCAACGTCTTACCTCGACTTACTCCACATTTGAAACGAATTTCATTTTGGTTACAGGTGGTTCCAGCTGGTTGTTGGGTATTGTCACAGAGGAAGCCTTGGTCAAGTATACACCGACTTCCACCATTGGTTGAGGTCTTCTTGGTGGTGGCGTCCCGACATTGTATATCTATAGGGAAGCTACCTCCACAGATGTCCAGCTGCAGCTGAATGATGGAGAATTAGTATCATCAAAATATTACTTACATTTGTATACTTATCCTGCATTACTCCTTAATAACAAGAAGGAAAGCGCAACGGCGATGGTCCATGGTGATGTAATAAAGTTATTGTTCTGAGGTGCCACTTTTACTGACCAAGGTTGCTGTCATGTGACCTTGGTGAGGTCACCTTCTTCACATCACTGCCTGTCACTCTTGAAGAAAAACATACTTTTGAGGTTTCTGAAGGTTTCTTTTGAGGTTTCTGTGACGGGTGGGTCCTTAAATGTATTAATGCAGGATATATAAGTAAACAAATGTAAAAAATATTTAGATTTTACTAAATTTTTTACTTATCCTGCATTGCTCCATAATGCATCTCTATAGGACAGTTTGGAGACTGGTAAACCTTCAGAATACAGAAGCCTCAACAATTCTCACCCTGAAAAACACGACACAAGTTGGTCGATAAACTGTGAAGCAGAAACGTTCAGAAAAACGCCATTATTGTAGGGTTGTTCAAATATCAAAACGATTGAACATAGGAATTAAAAAGTTATTCCCCAGACATATTTTGTAATAAAGAAATTCATAGCTAATCAGCTAATTCTTTACGTACTACGTCATAGAGCAGAAGTTGACAAATAGAATTGTCTAATATTCTTCCACTAGCGGAATCTCAGCGACTGCACAGGGAAGTAGACTGGCTCTGTATAAGGTGAGTAACCTGCTGGGCTACAACCAGAGGGCCAAAACTTCGCATGCCTTGGATGTTCTCGAATGCCACATTGCGAAGGTAATGACTAGCCAAAACTGTGTCGGACCTTCAAACACTTCCTACCATGATTGTTCTAATAGAAAAGTTGATGTGTAAAGACATGGTAGAGGCTGATCTCATGAGAGTTATTCTCTCTCGGCGGATCCAGTTTGGCAATCTCGTAAGCCTGAAAGATGACTGCTTGTAACCATAGGGATATGGTGTCATGACTAACTTCAGTCATGGACGAACCATGCCTAGTCTTGGAACGACGGATGAAAACTTACAAGAGAAGTTCACCATCATCTTCAGCTCCCACAATAGTCAATATTGGTAGCATAATGAAGGAACGATTGAGTTGGCCTGGTAGTTGATTTTATGCAATAAAATCCCAACACTACCTTAGATGTACCACTACGTGTGTCCAATGCTCAAAGTGGACCTGGGTGATGTCGACGCATGTTGCTCGCTCACCCGTGCCGCTGTGGCTAATGTCAAGAGAAACCATTGTTTTCTTGGTGAGGTCATAAAATGAGGATGCATAGAGGGGCTGGAAGGTGAGCCCTCGCAAACCTTGCAATACCATGTTCAAGTCCCAAGCAGGTGGGCGGAACTTGGCCTTCTGATCCTCAAGCCTGAATGATCGTAGTAGGGCCTGTCATTCTGGAACCTTAGTCATCTTGCGATTTTACGGAACGGCCAACATTGAGTTAAGTGCAACCAAATATGTAGAAATGGTGCTACCTTTCAAGTGTCTTTGGGTACGCAAATGTAGGAGGTGGATTGTGGTGACGCAATCGTAGGGTCTTGATTTTTTGCTTTGCAAAAGTCTCAAATTTTTGCTGCCCGCACTGAGTAGCCCTTCACACTTTACACCTTTTTAAGATGAACCAAGTGTGCAGACGAAACCTGTCTGGGGTTGGATGAGGCAGTTTGCTGTGAGGATGGATGAGTAGGTTGGACCACTGTGGGAGGGGTAGTGGATCGTCTTCTGCCAGATTTCTGTGCTCGACAAATCACCCTCTTGCAGGCCACCAGGGCATGACCAAAGTCAGAGCAAGATATCTTGTCTCCTTGATCTTTTGTATCACCTTGGGAAGTAAGACTGGTGGTGGAAAAGCACACGCTTTTAGCCCTTCCCAAGGGATGCTGAATCCGTCCACCGCCCACGCCTGCGGATCTGGCAACGGGGAGACATACATCATGAGTTGGTGGTTTTGCCAAGTAGCAAACAGGTCGATGTTTGGTTGCCTGAACTTCTGAAGCAGTAACTGGAATGCTTCTGTGTGAAGTTTCCACTCGGTGGGAACTACCCTGTCTTGACGCGCTAAGGCATCAGCCAGTATGTTTCGACATCTGGGGATGTGCTGAACTATGAACTGTATCTGGAGACGATCCACTGGATGAAAAAACCTGAAAGTCTGTTGAAGCAGGGAGTGGGAGTGCGTTGTTCCCTGATTGTGCAGGCACCAGACCACAGTGCTGTTGTCTGAGGATATTGCGAGTTGGGTGGACTGTAGCTGATTCTACCAATGGGATATGGCCAGAATTAACGCTTCCAACTCCAAGTTGTTTATGTGCCACTTTCAATGAGCGCAGGACCATAGCCCTGAGCCTGTCTTGCCTTGCAAAGCCTCGTTCTAATCGTGGCAGATTAATCACTCGTGTGTAGATTTTTAGGTAACAACCGAACACAGTGGTTATTCCTTTTTCTCCCATAACAATACGCCGTAAAAAGTCGAGCTCGTAGTTGAAGATTTCCTGTGTTCAGAAACCACTTGGGATTCCCCCAGCCTCGTTTTCGAATATGCCCAGTAAGAAAACTGCACCATAAACAGATAAAAAGGATCTAGCGAAGACAACCCACACAAGTTTTCCCGTGACAGGTGAGGTGAGGTGAAATTGGGTTTAACGTTGCGTCCAAGATTATTGCACTTATATAGCGACGTGTCCCGTGACAGGCAAGCCACATGTTAGAATTCATGTTATGTTCTTTGTTAACTAATAAAAGTTGATGGGAGTAACGATTAATGTGATTTGATATTTGTTGATGGCTTTGGATTACTCGGCCCATATTTGCATTCGTCTCGCCGTGACTATCATTCTCAATGTGCAACACTAAATAGGCCCAGTTTTAGTGTATGTAAATATGTTATTTGTTTATTTGTCCGTTAGAAACTAATGTTATAAACCCAAATATGAGGAAATTAAATATTGTCTTTTTTTGTAACATGTTGTTAACGAAAAACAAGGGCCATAGGAACTGTCAGCAGGATTGATCAGGCTTGATTCTATTAATACCAACTCAGGCAACTGATCAGCTGATTGCTGCTAGGTAAATCTTCTCAACTCCATCAATGAATTGTAATATTTTTAAACAAATTTTACAGTGAATAATTTAATATGTAAAATGATGATTATTTCATGTCATCTTTTTTAAGTTTTTTGTTTTGTTCCTGAACATGGTGAGCACATGTGTTTGTATTATAGAAAAAAGAAAATATTTACTAATTCAGTGGACATTTTTTCTTTTGACCATAATATTTAACATCATAACACCAAGAATGTTACTAAATGAGTTATCTAATTTTCCCATATCTGTGAATGACACAATGTGAATTTGACAAGCACAATACTTTATTGTGTGTGAAACATAAATACATAGTACATATGTAAATAATATTCCATAGTTATTCAAATATTTACATTATTTTAATACCCTTGTAATATTATGCTGTTATTTTACTGCTACAGTTACATCCAAACTTTATTTTTATTTCATTTTATCAGATTAGAAATTAAGAATTACTGATCATAGGTAATTAAAATTTAACATGTTCTTCTTTTTACCATAATTAAAACAAGACTCATTATAAATATATATTTGAGTGACCTGACATTTGTGAATTGTTTGTAAAAAGTATTAAAATTAAAATTTGACATTGCTTACGTTGAGAAATGAGGTTAATGGTAAATGTCATAAGATGACCTCTTGTTGGTCGTTTCTTCATCATCCATAAATTTGAGTTTTTCTTTACTTACCAAGCTCTGAAAAGTTACACATTACACAATAGAATAATTTAAGGTCTCTGGTTAAAATAGCAACATAGCTTTCCACTCTCAGGCAGCCAATACGAAAAAAATAAACCACTGTAAACCTTGTAATGGGAAAACAATACAGAAAAATTACATTTCTTATTTTTTTCATATGTCCAGTTTATCATCCAAAGAAATGCTGAATAATTATCTTTAACATGAAGCTAGCTATGCATATTGGGGTTCTTTATCTGTTATGATAATACATGATTTCATCCTATCCAAAATACCAAATATATTTTAAGATGCATAAATGTAAATCATTATTGAAAAAAAAAAAAGATGTTTTTTTTTAAAGAAACTACCTAATAAGGTTGATTGGTACCCACCATCTTTATCTTCATCATTTTGTCTGCTCCCTTTAAGAAATCAAAATAGCTAAGAAAAAAGATAAATACATAGATCTAGGTACTTAAACTAAATACATTCAAGTTTAAATGTTTTTGTTTTGTTTTTAAAATAAATGAGTTTCTTAATTGGCCTGAAATAGTATGTTTAAATAATTGAAGTCTTCAAGTTAAAAAACCCAAAAACAAATAATTATAGACCAAAATGAATGAATTATAATGATCTGGATAAACTCCAACTGTTGAAGGGGGAAACAACTGCGGTGGTTGCAAAACATCTTGGTCGTGAGATGTTCGGTCTTGCAAAGGTTGATCGTTTAATGCATTAAAATTGAGTATGTCTTTTGATATAAATTATTTAAGGTGTTTATTTTCTTAAAATATGAAATATAAGCCTCGATTATTTTAATATAACTATAAAATATGTTTTTGACGCTGGGTTACACAAATGGTCAATCGGCTCTAGATCCACGCTTCGAAATATCGTGACATTTTTTATGTGGTTGATGGTTATTTTTAAAAAATACCAAAAACAATATGGTATGTTTAGCTATTTTATCAGTATTTTTACAAGAATTAATTAACTGTTTCATTAACTGTTTTATTTGTCTTGAAAACGCCCAGTAAAGAATCTACCGGAGTGGCTCACCTGGTCCCGTAATATCGAAGCGGTATCTCGCTTGGGTTACCGTCTTCTCATTCTGCAACTGAATCTGGTACACTGGGAAGCCAAAATTCTCTGATACATCTCCACATATCACATCCCTTCCTCCCCGACAAATTTTCTCTTGGTCACCATCTTTCGAAGATGGAAACATCGTCACTACGGTAATGTTTTGACAGCTGGGGATTTCCTGCACTGGACAACCTCGGGTATCCCCGATCCGAAAATAGTGCTGTCAATTATTTTTAGACAGCCAATCAAAACACAATGACACAGCTCTCCACTCTCAGCCAGCCAATCAGATTTCGTAAATAAAAATAAACCACTACGAATTAACCACTGCTGGCGATTGGAGATCAAGCTATGTTATGGGAGAAGGCCAAAATTTCGATGAGCGCAGGACCATAGCCCTGAGGCTGTCTGTCCTTGCCGGTGAGCACCCCACCCCTGAAGGGAGGCATCTACGAACAAGTGTAGACTCAGGGATACCCCGGATAAAGAGACTCAGACATTTGACTCTACTGTCCAGCAATTGAGGTAAGGCCTTAGTTGAGCCGGTAGAGTGATGGCCATGAGTGGATCCTGACGCCTGATGTAAGGGTTCAGGAATTGTTGAACTGGACGCAGTTGTAACCTGCCTCTGCTGGTTAGGTCCTGTGCAGAGGTGAGTAACCCCAGGGACACTTGCCATCGGTGAAGTGTGCATGGTTGGTGTAGCACAGGTGACAAGAGGCCTAGGATTTTGTGCCATCTGTCCCTCAGTACTGATAGGAGATCCTGATCTGTCTGGAACAGGCTTCCTGTGAACTGGAGCCGATAGGATGGAGTTAACTCTGGCCTCGCCTCATTGATTACCCATCCCAGTTGATATAGTAGCCATCTGGTGAATTCCTGGTGGTGTACTAATGTCTGCGTGTGTTGATAACACAGGAGACAGTTGTCTATGTACGCCTCAAACCAAATGTTCCTCCTACGCAGTTATTGGCTTCATTACTCATGTAAATAGCCACAGGGCCACTGAAATGCCAGATGGGAGCACTGCACATTGGTAGTGAACCCCATTGAACTGGAACCTGAGGAACCTGCGGTCGAAGGCATCGATACGTATATGCAGGTAAGCATCCTGCAGGTCAAGACTGATCAAGGAATCAAAGGCCTTAAATGCTGGTTCTGAGCAGTCTCAACGTGGTGAGGCGGAAGTAAGGTTAACGCTTCAGGTAATGTTTGTTGAACACAGGGAGATTGTGAATCATTCTCATCTTGTCTGAGTCCTTCATGGGCACCAGGAAGATGAGAGAATAATAACCCGGTGTTAACGCTGGGGTGCGTACACTCTCTACAGCTCCCTTTACCCACAGATTGTCTATGTTGTCTTTTAATAGCAGATGTTGCTTTCTTGGATAATTCCAAGGAGGTGGAGTCATGGTCCACGGTAGAAGTACCTCTACGTCTAGTTGATAACCGTGACGTAGTAAGTTGAGAATGTAATCGTCCTTGAGGATGCTCCAGTTGTTCCAAAACTGATTCAGTCTCCCTGCCCTGGTATTTACCTCAACGGGATTGATAAGTACCTTGAGGTTTCCCTCTGCCAAAGCCTTTCCTACAAAAGGAATCCTGGTCTTGGCCTTCCTTGAGAGACTCGCGTCTAGGCCTGTAATTGCCTGACTTGCTGGCTCATTGGGATAGACTATGAGAGACATCCTCTAGAGCCTTGAGCACCGTCTCATCCTGAGCGTAACTGAAAACTTTGGCGGGCGTGTATGTGATGTGTTCATTGAACAGAGACGTAGATGACCAGGGTTTGCCAGAGCAGCCTGTGCTTAAGCTCAGAGTCCCAAGTCAGTGATCTCTGTCATTGCAGCTTTTAGGTGATTCCTCCTGTGGTCAATCTGATGCTGTTGGAAATTGACTATTGTTTAGAGATGATCTAGTCGGTTTGGGTTTTCCCAATAGATCCTGCTCTACCTACCGCACGTATTGGCGATGCTAGTGCTGACCCGTCTAATTTCTGTTTCAATAAATGCAAATCTGGTATCTTGAACCATAAGAGTAGTTGGCCTTGATGAGCCTGTCATTCTCTGTATGTCCTCATCCAAACTATGAGCCTGGTCGGCTACCACAAATGCATGAATAGGAAATTCATCCTTCTAAAACTTGGGTCACTTAAATGAAGGCGCATGTGTGAGCTTGGAGAAGTCTTCATCCAATGATCTGATCATATCTGTTAGCAAAGGGTCGGCCAGAATCGATGTAGGATGTGACCATAGGGTGTCCTTTTTATCCACCAGGAGGCACTCATATGAAACAGTCCGCTACCCAATCAGGTACTTGCGCTAAGCCGAGATGCGTATTTCATTCTATCGAAGAATCTCCATCTTCGCCATTTGAATAGTCTCATGAATCAGAACAATGTTGACGTGTTTGTCTAGATGGCAATCGGCATCTGTTCCGACGCGTAGCACTACCTCTGACCGAGGGCTTAGATCGTCCGCCTGGTGAAAGGGAGTCACGCGTTGATGTCCATGTACGTGCAGGCATAATAGCGCTGCACAGCGATTAATGCGCTGTATTATGATGCACAACAGGCGTATTGTAGACGTTAGATGCCGGAGTAGGTGCTAAACCATAGTTGTAGCTGACGCAGACGTCTGGTACATAAGCATAGGCGTGGGTGCAGGATACAGGTCTGCCATAGACTGCTGCCACATTGACCTCATAAGATTTTGCATCCAATTACTGAACGTGCATCTGCTACACTGTATATGTTCAAACAGGGCTAAGTTGATCATGCGTTGCCTGTGTAACATTGTACTCTGTGATTGTAGAGCTTTGTAGAGGCGCTTGGGTGGTAGGCAGGATCTGCGCTTGGCGCAGGTATCTGTGACGCAATGCTCACTGGTGCTGACTGGATCTGGCTTGCGTCTGTGCTACCCCATCAAGGACGCTGGCGTGGGTGTCGCAGATCCAGCAGAGCTGGATGTCTCAGGCGGTTGAGAATTAGGAGTTTCGATACTGACATCCGGTTTTGTTGATTTCGGCGGAGGGTGCACTTCTGCAGTCAGTTATGGGCACCATATTACCCACCGATGATAACGGCAGCGTGGTAATGACCAAACCATGTCGGTCGCTATTCAGTGATTGTGACATCTTTCACGGCTCACGACGGGATTGCTGCAAAATATGTTTGTGAGTAACCTGCCTATACATTGTAAAACTTGTTGGAGAGAGATTTACACAAAAATTACAAATCTGCATGCATGCCAAACAATGTGGATGAGGACCTTTAGAAGATGTTTTTCCATGACAATTAGTACGGGACTGGAAGAATGCTGTAGAATTTAACAATAATCTATCGGCAAAATATTGTAAGTGTACACGATATTTCTATGTATGTAACTCAATGTAACGCCAGAGCTAGTAGTATATATATAAAACACATGAATATGTTATACATATGTAGCTGAGAATTGTAAACAATTTGACTACCTTGGCAGGCAAACAATTGTAACACAATTCAAAATGGCGGACAACAAGTACATGGTGGGAACTTTTTATGCCTAAATAATCTACACAACATGGTGAATGTAATATGAAAGGAATACATAGAATTGTAGTCGAAAACTGAAGGTCTAAATTAATCCAAAAGGACAGCTCCGCTGGGACACGTCCTTGCTGTAGCACAACAGGCAGTGATGTGAAGAAGGTGACCTTACCTGTCATCAAGGCGGTGGTCGGTAACAGTGGGACTTCAGAACAACAACTTTATTTCTTCACCCAGGACTTTCGCCGTTGCGCGGTCCTTCTTGTTGTCGTAAGGTAAGCAGTGAATACATTAAGAAGTAATGCAGGATAAGCAAAGAATATGTTTATTAGGCTTAATAAAATTATTGTCTTGGTTCTCAGGGACCGCCCACATCATCATAAAGTTCGCTGCACATTTCGTATTATTTCGATTTAATAAACAAAGCAAAACAAAATCCTTAAATAATCCAGGTCCAATGATGATCAAAATACTGTATTACAGCATTTTACTCAATAAGGAATACATTTATAAAGGGAGGCCCTTTCAGAGGTAAATTGTACAAAATTGTTTATCTGGTTAAACAACTGCTGTTTATTTGGTTATATGACACCCCTGGTAGTCTAGATGACGTACTTTGTGTACCCCTCTGACATCTGTATTATTTTGTCTTATTACCCTTTTCATTCAGCCGTGTCTGTATGCATAACCTACATCTATCTAATTTTTTACACAACTTTTTCACAACATTGTGACGTCACTGTAAATTGTTTTTGTTGCATTGGTAAAATATTTTGCCTGACATTGGAATGATATTTCTGGTGAAAACATTTTATTGTACACATGTACTTACAGTGTTTCTCATGTCACTGAGTAAGACGAGTTCCCTGTACATACAGTGTTTCTCATGTCACTGAGTAAGACGTAGTTCCCTGTATTTACAGTGTTTCTCTTGTCACTGAATAAGGCGTAGTTCCCTGTACTTACAGTGTTTCTCATGTCACTGAATAAGACGTAGTTCCCTGTACTTATAGTGTTTCTCATATCACTTAGTAAGGCGTAGTTTCTTGTACTTACAGTGTTTCTCATATCACTGAATAAGGCGTAGTTCCCAGTACTTACAGTGTTTCTCATATCACTGAGAAAGGCGTAGTGTCTCGTACTTTCAGTGTTTCTCATATCACTGAATAAGGCGTAGTTCCCAGTACTTACAGTGTTTCTCATATCACTGAGTAAGACAAGTTCCTTGTACTTACAGTGTTTCTCATATCACTGAGTAAGACGTAGTTTCTTGTACTTACAGTGTTTCTCATATCACTGAATAAGGCATAGTTCCCTGTACTTACAGTGTTTCTCATATCACTGAGTAAGACGTAGTTTCTTGTACTTACAGTGTTTCTCATATCACTGAGTAAGATGTAGTTCCCTGTACTTACAGTGTTTCTCATATCATTTAGTAAGACATAGTTCCCTGATGTGCGGTTGTCTGGGGTGTTGTACCACTCAGTGTAGAAATCATCTGCAGCAACAGAACAAAGAAGCCATGGAAGATACACACTTTATCTCTCATTAACTCAAACTGAAATATTTTGGACGAGAGAACAAATAAAGTTACTGTCTTTTCTAAAAGCTAAAAGCATAACTAAGTAGGATGTATTAGGCTTACCATGAACTTCTAGGACCAACCATAAGGACCATCCAAACTGGTTTTCTTCATCAAGATGAAAATGACACATGATAAATTTGTATGTCCTTTTATATATTTTGCCCTTTTTTCCAATCAGGGCAGAACCCAAGTAATGAATGCCAGTCAAAGGAGAAGTCATTGGGTGTCCACAAAGTGAAATCAGGTCATGATTTGTATGGTCTGGACAAGATAACTTACATGCCAGAGTGATATTGCTAAATATTTGCTACAGAAAACATCAATTATTCCCTCAAATGCCTACCTTTGATATAGCTGCACTTCTTGACGTAGTAAGAAGCCCCTTGCTCAGGAACAAGAGGAAGAAGGTTGTCAGCTCTTGTGGAATGAAGCATGCACCTCTGATCAGCTCTGAAGTAGGAGAATGCCCGACAGGAAGATCCTTGACTGTTGCAGGTGTCCCTGCAGTCCATCAATGTCTTCCCTGTTTCATTCCTTGAGAATGTTGGTGTCTCTAACTTTTTGTTCAATGAAAGACTGTACTCACAGTATTCTCCTAAAAAGAAATAAAGTTACAAAACGTTGTACATTTTTCAATAAGTAAATAGTTAAATGAAACACATGTTTGAATATCAATAAAGAACAGACACATAAACACACATTACATGATTAAAATCACTGTGCCCAGAATTTTCATATCTGATTAGAAACAGATTTATATCCATCAACATAATCCTGATCGTTTTAAAGAATACTTTTTCACACAGTTCAACATGAAGTTAAGGTTTCTGATAACTACGAGGGCTGGCTGAAAAGTTCTAAGCCTAAGTGGGATATCTCAATCGGATTGAAACAAACATTTGCCACCAACAAGTACAATCATTTAATGAATCATAGACATAAGAACTGCAACTGTAGTGTTATTATTGTCTTTGTACCAGACCATCTTGTAAACCTACCCATTGAAATCACCAGAAATGGACAAAACTGGCAATGGGGCAGTCATCAAGTACCTGCAACTGAAAAGGCTAACTCCAACACAGATACATGCTGATATGATCTCCACTTTAGAGGATGATGCCCCTTCCTTTTCCACTGTAAAGAAGAGGGCTGCAGAATTCAAGCCTGGCAGAGAGAGCCTTGACGATGACCCGCGTCCAGGAAGGCCTTCAACAGCAACCATTCCGGAAAACATTACCCGGGGGCATGACATGGTGATGGCTGATCGACGATTGACCACTCGACATATGGCCAGTGTTCTGGGCATCTCTCATGAGAGGGTTGAGCACATTATCACCAACGAGTTGGGAATGACAAAAGTTTCTGCAAGATGGGTGCCAAAGCTCTTGACAGCGGATCAGAAACGTGTCAGATTCCTGACGTCCCATGACAAATTATGCCGTTTTGAAGCAGATCCTGATGATTTTTTGGCCCTGGATTCTTCACTTTCAACCAGAAACCAAAATAAAGTCTAAACAATGGAAGCATCCGGAATCACCAGCCCCTCCAAAAGCCAAGTTGGTTCCTCCTGCTGGAAAGGTGATGGCTTCAGTCTTTTGGGATTCCAAGGGTATTCTGCTGATTGACTATCTTGAAAAAGGCCGGACTATCAATAGAAGATATTACGCTGACCTACTAAGACAGTTGCGTGAAGCTATCAAAGCTACGGGGAATGCTCACTAAAGGAGTCCTGTTCCACAAAGACAATGCTCCTGTTCACAAATCGGTGGTTGCCATGTCAGCGATCCATGATTGTGGCTTCGAACTCATTGATCATCCCCCTTATTCACCCGATTTGACCCCGTCAGACTTCCACCTGTTTCCCCAAATGAATAAGGAACTAGCCGCCGCCATTTTCTTAGTAATGATGACGTCATTTCCGCTGGGAATGACTTTTTTAGGGTGGCTGAAGAAAATTTCTTCTTGCCCGGCATCCAGGCCTTGCAGCATCGCTGGCAAAAGTGTGTAAACCTGGAAGGGGACTATGTGGAGAAATAAATGAAAACCATTGACTTGGTACGGGTCTTTCACAGTTAGGCTTAGAACTTTTCAGCCAGCCCTCGTATCATGTACAGATGTGTAACCATAGGGTCGCACTTGAAAAAAAACCTAATTAGTTAGGCTACACCCCAAAAAAACTCCAAATATGGCACTGACTGAAACAACTATTTTGACAGCAATAATTTATTTTCATACCCTGTATTGTTGTATCTTGCAGGGCTCAAAGTTCACTTTTTAACTTACATGTTGATAACTAAGTAAATATTTTTAATCAGTCGCCAAAATGAAATGCAACTGTAATAATGTTAAATGTTTGAGCATGAATATATTAGCTGGCTCTCAAATAGATGTTTGTTTTGAGAACTGTCAAACATAATAGGATGACATGATCAAGGATAGTCACTTTAAAAAGATACTTTTCTTCAATCTCAATTTTGTACACAATAATTTTTTTTTATTTATAATTTTTTTTTTTTTCAATCATTTTACATTTATTTCATAAAATGTGACATTCCAGTACATAGCTAAATAATCATCTAAATAGATGATGGCATGTTGACCAAAATTTATAGAATAGGCCAATGTCACACTCAATAATCGCTGCACATTTAGTAAGGTTGTAGTAGTTTCTTATTTCGTTCTGAAAGACTTGAATTGACGGGAGTCTCTTATTTAACTTACTTTTAAATATAAGGTCTTTTATTATCAAAAAGATGATATTTAGAGGGTCATTGCGCTTTTCTGGAAAGCCAATCATCACATGTTTCTTTGTAATTTCGATTTGGATGTTAGCCTTTTGAAGTAGCCAAACTTCAAGTTGACGCCAGCTTTGCTGAACCATATTACAGGACCAAAAAGGATGGATTGGGGTCTCGATATCAACTGAACAAAAACTGCAATTTCGACTTTCAACATAACCTAATTTACACAAGAAAACATTAGTCGGAAGTATATGATGAAGTATTTTGTATTGGAGCCATTGCAGTTTAGTGTCTCTCGTACATCGAAAAGGCATTCTATTGTATTGGGACCAGTTATCAATTGAGTCATCCGTTAGAATATTCTTTTCCCATTTCGTACAGTGTACATTTTTTGTAGTGACTTCTGAAATTAGTAAGTTGTAGAAGCATTTCGATCCATTTACAAATTTTCGATACATGGGGGTATAATTGGATTTTTGCAACTTGTTCAATTCTTCTAGTTCAACATTACTTCCCTTGAAATAGTGTTTTATAGCCACAATAAGGCCGTTATATAGTAAGAACTTCGTTTTTATCTCGAAAGATTTTGAAAAGTTGTCAAACGACAGAAATTTTCCATCTTTGTCAAGGAGGTCATTTATGAAACGTACCCCCTTTTGATTCCAGGTGCTATAAAAGACGGGCTTATGCCCAATACATATATTACTGTTCAACCAAATATTATCGGCCAGTAAATGATTTGCGTTGTGTTCCAGTTGAGCGTTTAAGTCCCACCAGGCAGTCAAAATATCTTTGTAGTAATTGTTAGGGGTAAGTGGTAGTAGTTTATTTCTTAAGTAGTTACAGTTATGTTCTAATATACTGCCTGCACCTACCGGTAACTTGGGAAGATTAAGATTAAATAGATAACTCCACTTGGATTTCGAAGTAAGAAAGCGTCTTATCATTGATATTTTTTTAGCCTGGATTGTTGCTTTAATGTTAGGGACATTGAACCCTCCGTCCTTTTTTTCACAAATGATTTGGTTTCTCTTAATTTTGTCAGGCTTATTCTTCCAGATAAACTTAAAACAATTTCTTTGAAATGCATTAACAGCATCAGTGTTTGGATTTGGTAGTGAACTGAATAAGTGATGTAGCTTAGGAATAATTAACGATTTTAAAATCGTGTTTCTGCCAAGGGGAGTAAGGTTGCGGGCTGACCAAATAGACATAAACCGTTCACATATTCTAATCTTTTCTGTATAATTTGTTACTATCATATCATCAAGATCCTGGGTAAATGTAATTCCTAGAAGGTCAAAGTCACTTTGGTCCCAACTGAGATTAAGTTGGGGGCATAATTTCATTCTTGAGCGTTTTTTGGATCCAATGCATATGAGACACGTTTTTTCAATGTTAACTTTTAGACCTGAAAATCTGGCAAAGACGTTTAATACATTAAACACAGCAAAAAGACATTGTTCGGAACCGTCTAAAATACATGTTGTATCGTCTGCAAACTGATTGATTAGAAATTCTACATTGTCTATTTTTACCCCTTTGATATTTTTTTTCTTTTTTATCATTATGGCAAGAATCTCTGCACAGAAAATAAATTTGTATGGAGAGAGTGGATCACCCTGACGACATCCCCTTTGTATATCAAACAGGCGAACCATAACCATTTACAAGTACACTGGATTCTATCCCGTTATATAATGTCATGAACCACGAACGTATTGATCGTCCAAAATTGAAAAAGGCTAGTGTCTTATCTATGAAGGACCAGTCAACTGTATCAATTGCCTTTTCAAAGTCGATTAGTAGTAGTACACAATAATGTATGCCTGATGTCTTGAAAGATTGAAAAAATCAAAATGTCAGTGAAATTGACTTTATTCACTTGTCACTGATTTATGTAAATTGAAAGTTCCCAGAGACTCTTGTGTGAAAGATGAAGCCAACATTTATCAAGGAAAATATCTGCTTGTAAAACATCTTTGCTACCATTTGAAAGGTCAATCCTACTGTTCATACATATGAAAGCTATGTTTATTACATTATTTAAATAATGCATTTACAACTTAATTAAGTTTGTTGTCAATATAGATGTAAGCTCACACATTCATAACGTCCAGATTATGGACCAAGGAAATGAAAAATTGATGATTTGCAGCAAATATAAGATGTCATAAAGTCCACTTACATATTTCTTTTTTTATTTGCATTGTTTACGTAATCGGAAAATTATTTTAGAAAGAATTAAAAATAATATGTCTTCACTCCTTTCCCCATAACAGCGGCTGTCCGCTAAGTCACATGAAGAAATTAATACCTATGTTTTCGAAGCTTCATAAGAATAACACGTACGTTCATTTTTTATCTACATGACAGTAACCTCTCTTGAAGTCTTTTTGTTGCTGTAACATACGAATTAAATGGAAAAAATTGGTTTCTAATGACGCTTTCTTGCTGAAATTTGCTACAAGGTTCGTGATTGGTCAAATTTGAGCATGTGACCTGGGGCAGCCAATCAAATTACAGCAATGGTACTGTCCTTGTGTGTGATGAATTTCAGATTTTGACGAAATTTTGTTTGTTAAATTGTGTTATTCTGACCGTTTTAAGTGATCTGTATTAAAAAAATGAAACTTCATGGATGTATCGTGCTAGGTCACGAGCTGTGATAAAGATTTTTCATGCATATATTTTGGCATAAACATCCGAGCCGAGAAATCAAGGCGACAAAAGCAGAGATGTCATTTGACTTACATTACATGCAATCGCACAAAAAGATGGAAATAATAACTTAGCTGTAAGGTTGAGAACTGTTAGATATATTTTTGTTGATTTTTTTATATTACTTTGTATAGTATATTAAAAGATTTGCTCGAAATGTATTTATTTTGCTCTTTGACATGTCCGATGTTACTGGTTGTCAAACTTGAAGTGTGTGTCCAAGAATTTTATTTTTAATAACATTGTAGGAAATAATGACTATTTTTATTAATTTAGCCATAAAAAATGATAAAATGTAATGGAATATGCCTTTCATACATTGTGAAATGCGAGAGATTTAAAAAATGAATGATATGACAGGTAGGTTAATAAAATATTATGCTATTTTGACGTGATTAAGTCTTAGTCGGTCTACTGGCCTGCGGTGTCTGGAGACTCTAGGCTTCTTGGCTGGTGTACCGGCCTACGGTGTTGAAAGAGTTAAATTCCTGATTTTTCCATACTCGCCAAGATATAATTATTTTTAAATAATTTGTTGCATTTCTCAAACTTCACTCGCAAATGCGACCAAATCACTCACAACTTCAAGCCCTGTCTTGTCACCTTAGTTTCTTTCATAATGGTATTACAACAGTTTATTAAATGTGAGAAATTGTAGAACTATATTTTCAATATTGGATCACATAATTCTGCGTTGGATTGCAATGTCTGTCATGATGACACAACTAAGACCAGAAAGGATACCTGTTGTCAGCATGGGCCCTCGACTAAAGAACACAAGAGTCATCAAAAGATGACAAATCCCCCGGCCCCCATAAATAAAGAACAAATCATCTGACTGTTTATTTAAGTCCAACTTGATGAGAGAATTTCTATCTAACCTGTCTATCTGTATACAAGAGTAGTTATTGAACTACAAAAATACATACCAAGGAACTGGGATTAAAACATTGTATTTCTATGCCAAAATCAAACCTATTGCCGTGGAAACAGAAAAAATATGAATTCAAAACATACCTAACTATCTAACCACTAACATGTATGCAGAGGTAACATTGTGCATATAGGTACGATAACATATACCACACAGCCAACTGATGACAGAAACACATCATCATTGAATAAGAAGTTGTTTTCACAAACTTACTGGTTTTGATACTTAATACAGGCATTATCATTCTTGCTAGTGATGGGCTTTGCTAGATAACCACATATACAATGCTGTGAGGCAGTAATTCTTACCATAAGAAGCTTCTGGATTGCAGATACATCGGTATGTGTTCTCCACATGGTCATCTATACACTGGCCACGATTTCCGCATGTAACACCAGCACATTTGTTTCGTCGTGTTTCACACCGGGGACCAACCAACCCAAGGGGGCATTCACATCTGTAGTTGTTCACTTCATCAATGCACGTCCCACCATATAAACAGGGGTTGTCTTTGCAGTCATCTGTAGGCATTGGGTAAGCAATGTTCATAGTGTTACATCCGATTGAACATATAACAAATGCAACAAATGTTGTATTTGGAATTCAGCTTTCTTTGTGCTTGTGATTAGGTGCCTCACTCTGAGAGTGTGGGGTCAAATGCCAAATGGGATTCAACTAAAAAATGTACTAGAATTTGAACTTTACTAAGAAAGTGTAATCCCAAATTTAACATTTGCAGTAAAAGTATAATACCTAATGTAATCCAAAAAGGCATTTTCAATCAAACATAGCATTTAAAAATGTTATCAATTATACACTAAGGTGGGTTCACCCATAAACAAAGAAATATATATACGGGTAGGTCCAGCCTAAATATCAAAAGTAAACATGTATAAATACAAATCAAACTAGATCAAATGAAGATAGTTCAAACCCAGTTTTGTCATGCTTCTTGCTAGTCTTTGAAAGGCATTTGGAAGTGATACACATAGGGAAGAGAATTTATGGATGTCAACTTCTTTATAATGAGGAACACTTGGATGTTACTGCATCATCTCCATGTTGTTGTTGAATCAAGTCTTTGAAAGGCATTTAGAAGTGATACACATAAGGAAGAGAGTTTATAGATGTCAATTTCTTTATTATGAGGAACACTTGGATGTTATGTACTGCATCATCTCCATGTTGTTGTTGAATCAAGTCTTTGAAAGGCATTTAGAAGTGATACACATAAGGAAGCGAGTTTATAGATGTCAACTTCTTTATTATGAGGAACACTTGGATGTTATTTACTGCATCATCTCCATGTTGTTGTTGAATCAAGTCTTTGAAAGGCATTTAGAAGTGATACACATAAGGAAGAGAGTTTATGGATGTCAATTTCTTTATAATGAGGAACACTTGGATGTTATGTACTGCATCATCTCCTTGTTGTTGTTGAATCAAGTCTTTGAAAGGCATTTAGAAGTGATACACATAAGGAAGAGAGTTTATGGATGTCAATTTCTTTATTATGAGGAACACTTGGATGTTACTGCATCATCTCCATGTTGTTGTTGAATCAAGTCTTTGAAAGGCATTTAGAAGTGATACACATAAGGAAGAGAGTTTATGGATGTCAACTTCTTTATTATGAGGAACACTTGGATGTTACTGCATCATCTCCATGTTGTTGTTGAATCAAGTCTTTGAAAGGCATTTAGAAGTGATACACATAAGGAAGAGAGTTTATGGATGTCAACTTCTTTATTATGAGGAACACTTGTATGTTACTGCATCATCTCCATGTTGTTGTTGAATCAAGTCTTTGAAAGGCATTTAGAAGTGATACACATAAGGAAGAGAGTTTATGGATGTCAACTTCTTTATTATGAGGAACACTTGGATGTTACTGCATCATCTCCATGTTGTTGTTGAATCAAGTCTGTGAAAGGCATTTGGAAGTGATACACATAAGGAAGAGCAACTTCTTTATTACGAGGAACACTTGGATGTTACTGCATCATCTCCATGTTGTTGTTGAATCAAGTCTTTGAAAGGCATTTAGAAGTGGTACATAAGGAAGAGAGTTTATGGATGTCAACTTCTTGTTGTCACATTAACATCGTATCTAATATACAACTACCACTTGAAACGGGATACTATAACCTTTTTCAAATTAATAAATCAGGAGGATTATTGCTGTTTTTAGACACTGATACATACCAATGTTAGTCTCGCAATTTTTCCCAGTAAAGCCAGCTACACAAGTGCACTCTCTACGGAATGAGCCGATGGGATTACACACACCATTACCACATGGCAGGAAATCACATATAGGTTTAGGGCTGGTGCATCTGGAATAGACAAGTTGAAAATCTTAGAAAACGACAAACGTGAATATTTCAGCAAGGTTTTCAATTAAATTGAATAATTTCTTTCTCTCTATATTCAGATCTGCTTTCAGTGATGAGGATGTTAACTTTGTGGCATATTTGTCTGAGGCAAGAAACTATTCATTCTCCTAATGAAATTCTATGACAATACGCCAAATCAGTATTATGATACAAAGAATGGAAAATAAATAAAGTATCCTACCACTAAAAGAGAGAATCTTTTGTTAGTTAAGAAATATATGAAACAAGGAAAGCTGATGCTATCTTAGAGAGCCAAAAACACATTTACACAGAGAACACCAGCTTGGAAAAACATAACTGTGTTGATTTCAAAATGATTTTAATTATAAAATGTGTATATTTCTTTCAAAAGTATTTGAGATAATTGTGGGAACAGACAGATAATCTCTCACTATACCATACAACTTTACCTTGGCAAGACCCTAAAACTGTAAAACAATGCATCTATATGCAATGATTGGATTTAATCATTGTTATACCTCAGGTGTTTCATTATTTGGATTATCAGAAAGTGCAAAATTCCATCCCAAAATAATTTCATAATCATCTGTGATTGTTTTTGCAATAACAAACAAAAATAGTACAATGTATGAGTTTTCTGTGTGATGGTATGAAATAGCAAATCTACTTCGTGTTTGGGTATAAACAGAATTCACATGTCAAAGACCTTACTTTCTAACTGTGCAGAAGGCATGGTTACAAAGACTTAAGTAAGACTGGGCTTACTTTGTTGGCTACAACTTGCATGTACTACAGAGGTGTACTGCATGTTTATATGCATGAATGAAAAACAAGGTTTTGATGAATAGCTGGCATATCCTAGACACTACAGTGTGCAGCAATGACTGTTACACCAAAACTCCAGTCAGTCTGATTTTCAGTAGCATGACCTGTGTCATGTTTATGCCAAGCTGTTTTATTATTATGTGTTGATTTAATTATTTGGAGTTATCGAACAAAAGTTATCATTGTTAATAATTCTGAGAATACTAACTCTTTTACATATCTGCCATAAATCCTGTATTTTGGCTTCAATCACACTAACTAAAATTTTCAGATTTTCAACAGACGTCCTCTTTACTGTCAATTACACACAATTAGTTGCCGCCAAGTTGTCTTGTAACTACCATGCCATGATGTCACAATGGCGGCCATATCACTTTTTTCCCTCATCTCCTACTAAAGAATGATGAATTGGGGAGGTTGGAGGGAGTAATTCGTATGTAATAGAGGTAGTATTCTTAGAATTATGAACAATGATAACTATTGTTCGATAATTCTTATGAAACTTCTATCTCTATTACATATCTGCCAGAATATACAAGAGGAACCCCAGTGGGATCTGCCATCTTCTGGAAACCATATTGTACTGATTCTCATCCTACTGAGATAATTTCCTCCGAAATTCCCTTGAGGACTTGAAAATCAGAAAACTATGTCAATAATCCATCAAATATGTGATATTATCACTAGATTTACCATTATATTTGCTGATTTTGACCATAACAAACCTGGATTAATGACCTATAATAACGACGATTACGTCACTTCCGGTTTTGACATCACTTCCGATTATGACATCACTTCCAGTTTGTCCTTCCCCCCTTTTTGGTGGTAATGACATCTCTTTAGGTCTATTTCTACCCCATAGATGTCATTTCCGGGTTAGAAGGGCTTTGTTCAGCTATTTCCAGCTGTTGTAGCAGATCTCGATAAAGTGGTAACTGTATGGGTTCCTCCATTAGCAGCTTTAGTAAGGGGAAGCATACCCTGCTGGGCCATATTGGGGCTATCAGTATTATTACGCAATCCGTTTCCTCCACCGTGTGGATGACTTTGTCGAGGAGAGACAATGGTGGGAATGCATAGCAGAATAGATTCGTCCAATCCATCGAAAGAGCGTCGGGAACTGGACTGAAATATACCGAAAGTTGGTTGTTCTGACGGGTGGCGAATAGATCTATGTCGTGGTATGTCCCTTATCTTGGTTATCCAGATGAAGATCTGTGGATGTAATGTCCATTCTGTTGCCACTATTCTCCCCCGACGTGAGAGGCTGTTGGCCAGTATGTTCAGTTTCCCCGGTATATGTCTCTCTTCCATCTGACAGTTGAAGGAGTCTGCCAAGGCAAACAATCTTGTAGTCTCCGTCATCAGGGAGTTGGATCTGGTGTCTCCCTGCTTCTGAATATATGCCACTATTGTGGTGTTGTCCGTGACTAAGAGAACTGATGATAGGTAAAGCTGTGTTCTCCATTCCAGGATGGCATAATATATGGCCTTCATTTGCCTGTAGTTGATATGAAGGATCTTCTCTTCTGTGCTCCACAATCCCTGTACTGTGAGATCGTCCATATGAGCACCCCAACCCGAATCTGACGTGTCTGTGAATAGATGATGTTATGGCATCGGATAAGTCATCGGGATGCCACTCATCACATGTTCTCTGTGATTCCAACAATGGAGGTCTTGTAGCAAAGTGGGAGGTAACTGGGACTGGAATTCTAGGCCCTTAGATCGTACAGAGTTGACCCATGTCTGTAGAGGACGTAGCCTCAGCCTTCCTCTGAAGGTCATATCATGTAGAGATGTCAAGTTTCCTAGCAGAGACATCCACCACCTCAGCGACTTGCTGGGTTTACTTGTGATTGATTGGATCATTTTTATAGTCGAAACCAGGGGTCCGGAAAATTTAAAATCCCAATCGGACATTTGCATTTAGGCCACGCCCCCTTCAAATAGTGTAATCTTAGTACGACTTTTCACACACATTACAAGTTTACGTATTCATAATATGATGAATTATGAATTGTTTCAATTTAAATTGTTTAATTCACAGGACAATTAATAACAAATAATATCATTTTAGATTTACATGGAAAACATACGTTTGTTTCTGTTATAATAACGATCTGTTAACGTAGTGAACGGTCTAATTAATATTCATGAGTCTGCTCAAGTGTACGCGTTGTAACATTTGGATCGAGACTATTATCCCATATTTGGTTATCACGTGACTTCACGGGAAAAGTTTTTTTTAAACTAAAGATTTTTTTAAAAACAAGACAGATAATTTAATCACAAATACTAAAATATCGTTGATAGCAATAGTTATTTGAATACTTTTTTCATCTGTACTTAATTATTGACCATAAAAAAATTGGATATCGATCGTCCGAGAAAGCAAAATGGCGGTCAATCAAGATTCAATATACGACTAGCTACTGAAAACAATAAAATCTGCAAATCCTCATTGTATGTCAACCAAGTGAAAGTCGTTAGCCACGACTTACAAAATGATCGTCCAGACTTTGAGGGTTTGGCAGATCCGCTCGACTGATCTGCATCGGTCGACTGGCTGTCGTCACGCTTTCGCTTCTTGTCTGAGGTTACGTATCGTAGCATTGTGAGGATAATGAGGTACATCGATGATGCAAGGTATTAATGTACAGTTGTAAACACCTTTCACTCAAATTAACACGATGTTCTCAGTAATTAATCCTCGATTAATCAGTGTCAACTCAGTTTATTGCCTATTACAGTGATTGACCGATTGGACTATCGTGTAGGTACGATGTATTTACAGCAATCAAAACAAACAAAGCTTGTCAGTGTAGTTAATCTTCATTGTGTTGCAACTGCAGACAGAAACTGCTCAGTCCTAACTGTTGATCATGTCCGGTCAAAATTTAAGAATGTCCGGACAATACTTTTTAAAATGTCCGGTAAGCAATATTTTAAAACGGACATTTGAGATTCCCAATCGGACATGTCCGGCGCATATGATGGTTTCCGGACCCCTGGTCGAAACGATCCTCTAGTGGAGATAGATATCACCTTTCTAGGTGGAATCTTGCTATGATGTATATAATATCTTGGACAAGAGCGATCTCTGACTTGGCTGGGTTGACCAGAAAACCTAGTTAGATCATAGGCTGGACCAAGAATATCATGTTCTGATGTAGCTGATCTTTCCCTTGGTCTGCTGATTATAACTAGCTGGCGATGGGCCAACTTGATGACTGGCGCTGTAATCCTGGCGAACAGCCAAGGTGCTATTGCTATCTCGAATGGTACGACTTGGAATGAATTTATATACACAAAGAAAAAAGTTAAGCACACCCTAATATATTTCATTTTTGTTTGGTCCCAATATTTGTCACAGATATAATTATGATATCATGAAAGATATAATTACGGGAAGAATGGTTTTCTCGAGATGATGTAATCAGTCATGCGTGATGAAAGCTCACGTGCCATGCATGGTATGCCCATGGATGGGGGGGGGGTATCTCTCATGATTGCAGGTTGGATTTGGTCACGATAAGGGGCAACTTAACAGGGGCTCAGTACAGCCGGGTCTTGAGGCCAGTCGACGTTCCTCATTTTGTCAACCAGCCTCTTGCTACTCAACCTTAGTACATGGATGACAATGCCAGGCCTCATCGTTTGCATGCAGTCGTGATTTACATGAGGGCCAATGCAAAAATGACTCTACCCTGGCCAGCAATGAGCCCAGATTTGAAACCACTTGAACATGTTTGGGATATTCTGGGGTGGCACATACAGGCACAAGATCCTCCTGTACAAGATTTATGCCAATTGGAAGCAGCATTGCATCCGGAGTGGTTCATCACTCATCAACAGATCCAACGTCTGACTGGAGGCATGAGACGCAGGGTGGAATGCGTCATCGAGGCATGTGGCGGTTATACCCGCTACTGATCTGTTTCATGTGTCATGTCAAGAAGAGACTTTAAGGAACATTTTCACATGTAACATCAAATGTAACTTGTTTACTTAATCCTGCAGCTCCATGCTTTATTGAGGTATTGTCTAAGGTCAAAAACAGTTACCATGATGTTTTTGTAAGTAAATTTCAATCACAGCTCACCAATATCTTCTTTTATTTGTTATCAAATGTTTGTTCTATCCGATGACAGTGGTATCACCCAGCTCCTGTTGTCAGTCATCCCATGCCATGATTTTGGCCATGTGTCATGGTTCAGAAATAGGGGTGTGCTTTCCTTTTTTCTTTGTGTATATATGCAACCGATGCTAAATCCTTGAAACATGATGCTTATAATGTAATGTTCATGTAGGGATTGCGCACTAATTTGTAGAAATCATCATCCAAGTGTTGGAACTCCGGAATTGTAGCATCGTGCGTCTTGTATAACTTCCGTTTCATAGGTGGAAGAGGTAGACGTTCATCGCGCTTGAGTCTATGGATGTTATCCGTCGCTTGGTCTATGACCTTGTCTGTATAGCTCAGCCAAGGTAACGTCTGATGAAAATGCTGAGATGGAGCAGGCGCATGACATTCCCCATATTCCGGCATCTGGGGTGGTGAATCCTCTGACACATGCAGCCAAAGTGAAGGCATAAGGTGGTAAAGCTCTTCAATCAGTTCTACAAAAGTGTAGCCTTTGCTGTAATCTCGTTGGGGAGAGTTGTCAATCTCCTCCAAATCCTCTGATACCGTTCCTGAGTAGCCTTGGGTATCTCCCGTAGGGGGTTGATAATCATATCCCTCAGCTTTTACCAAGTAGGGCTTGTCAACCTCCGGTGACCATGACTCCGGTTTGAAAAGTCTCCGCGTGGCTTGTAGCCCCTGGGTTATGGTAGCCATGACATGGCTGTCCTCACTGGCTGGCTGGGTAATCCGTGATCCGTAATCTGTGCAGCTGGCTTGAGTCCCGTTGGAAGGTCAAACGGTAAGCCGTGCTGGGTAGGCTGGGTAGCCTTGGGTGGCTGGCTCAAGGAGTCCACACGGCAGCCTGTATGGTTTCTTCACGGATGGCTGGCTGGAATGCTTACCCGTCGGCTGGAATGCCGTGGGCAGCAGGCCTTACGGCGTCTGGCTGGTATGGCTGGTTGCCGTGGATGGCCTGTCCCTGGATACCATGTGGCTCCCATACGCTATTGTTCTCTGGTCTAGTGGTGACTTGTCCATGGGTTGGTAACCGGGAACCCATGGCCTGGCTGTGGTACATGGGCTGGCCGTGCTGCGCAGTTTGAAGATCATGTGTAGGCTGGCCCCCGGCCGTGGATGAAGATCTGGTAGTCTTAGCCAGTGCTACTGTCGTGATCTTAGCGTCCATATCTGACAGCTCAGCATCAAGCATTTCTTTCATCATCTCCTGCTGTTCTCTCAGAAGTTGATGGATGAGGCTCAGGGAGAGCAGGAGATGATGGGGTCGCTGGAGAGGGAGACGCTGGAGTAGAAACTGATTTCTCAGTGATGATTTTATCTACCTTCTTCTTCGCCGCCTCCCTCCTATGGTCTTAGTTGTGACCTGTAACATCTTGGAGAATATCACTTCAGATGTGTGGGTGCATTATTCACATTTCTTCTCCAATGTGCAGGTCTTCCCTCTGCACTTCATGCAGTTTACATGAGAATCTCCTGTGATCATAAATCGACCACACTTCTTACACCTGGGGGTGATTGGAGACTGCATGGCAACCTCACACCCAACACCAGCTATACTCATGTGCATGTAGTCTCTTCCAGCAGCACTATTACTTTAATATATTATTTATCTATATATATGTCTGTTGTTATAGCAATCTTATTAGAATTATCTGCTAGATTGTCTCAACTACTATAGTAGGTGTTGACTCTGGCACACACAGGAAAAAAGTGATATGTGACGTCACGCGTGGGTAGTTACGAGACTACTTGGCGGCAACTAATTGTGTGTAATTGAGAGTGAAGAGGACATCTGTTAAAAATCTGAAAATTTTAGTTAGTGTGACTGAAGCCAAAATACTGTTTTTATGGCAGATATGTAATAGAGGTTGACGTTTCGTTAGAATTATGTAATTTTGTTATGGTAGAAGTTTGCTGCAAATGAAGTTGTAACATGACTACAGATTACTTCAAGCATAAGAACATTAATGATATCCATATTTAGCAAGTGATCAATTAATCATACAGGTGCAATGTCTTAAGTAGTAATGTTAGCTTTACATACATAACAAATGTACTAGAACAAAGATAACAACAAAGAGCTTCCTTCCAAAACACTGTCAAATGTTTTCATGAAAGCAGTATATATATCATTGTGTTGGTTAATGAGAAATTGAGTGCTTTATCCAACAATATATTGTATTCTTTTTATTCACTGTATGAGATAGAGGTACACAGAGAATATTACACTCATTCTCGTTAGATACCATTTTTACGAAACGAGTGGACATTATATGGTATCTGACCCAGCTTCGTTCACAAGTTTCGTAAAAATGGTATCTAACGAAAATGAGTGTGGTATTTTATTTATTATCAACGTTAAATATATATTTAAGTGTAAATACATAACAACTTTTGTTGTTGACTGTTGACATTTCTATGCATACGCATTAACAACATGCGCCTGCAGTTGTGTTTGCAAACAAAACAGCACCGATGCTCAAGATCCTTTTGGATTAATTCCTTTAACTTATGGTAATTCAAGCGCCATGTTGTTTAGTAGGCAGGACACCTATAAGAAAATTTGAAAAGTTACATTAGTGCCGCGCTTTGAATATTGGACCAACAGTCAGTCACTCGCACTGCCAGGGTCCCGTCTGTGCAATCAAAATGGTTCGGTTTCCTTGACCTATCAGCTGAATTTATATCATGTCCGTATCATTCTGGAAGAGGGAAATCAGAGTGTTTGCCAAAGACATCCATGTTAACTGTACTAAGGCTTGGACTAACTCGGCTAACTCGGGTACTCGGGTCGGGTGGGTCCTGAGTAGGACCCGGGTACCCACAGGACTACCCGGACCCGTGGTTAGTCACGTGATATATTGTTTAATGACAAAAATTAAGTAAAACTCTATGGTTACACTATAACTCACTAATGTCCCCATTTCTTTCTGACAATGCACCCATTCCTTCTGACTTTTATAAGTTTGAATAAAGATAAAACTTCATGCAGTAAACTTCAGTGTATGCATGACCGGATCGTTTTACACGTGTATCTAAATACAGTTTGCCAGGGCTAAGGTCAAACTGTTCAAAATCAGACGGTCTGTACCGATATCTAAATATCTACAACGAGTACCCGGGTAGGGTTGGGTAATAAGGTGTACCACCCTATACTCAAGACGTGAATATCAACAGACTCAAGTCTGCTTTCATGTCAGTGACAGCTTCGAACAATAGAAGGGCAAGGTCACCATGGGAATAAGATAAGACAGTGTTTTACGCTAGAGATAGGGAATGTTATTGTTCACATTTGGGATATTTTTGGCCACTTTATCAGAAGTCAGGCACACTTCTACAGAGTTTTCAAATGATTTGTATCGGAAATGTTCACTTTGAGTGATCTGACGTGCAGTCGTGAACAAACACCTCCCGAAACAGTGCCACAAAATACGCTTGGAAGGGGACACTGATGGCACAACCAGATCATCCTAAGTAAGTCTAGATATCTGTCCAGATAGTTTAAACTGACTTCATTTCACCACGATTAATCTTTTACGTTAAATCAAATTGAAAGTCGTGAAAGTGGTCGGGTGCGTTACGCTCATTGGGACCCACGCTCAATCGGTAGACATTGCATATGGATATGGCTCGATTAAATAATGTCTGCAATAGCTCTATGCATAACTAATATAGATTGCAAAGCGGATTTAATGTGTGTTACGATCTTGTTTGGTTTAATAAAGTGTGTGTAAATGTCTCTCGTTTTCGTGAGATTCCTTCAGTTCTGCCTTGTAGATGAAAAAGCGAACGATGTCTCGCAATTTTTTATGAATGAAAAAAGTTGTTCCAGTGTGACAGAGGTCACGGTTATCCAATCAAAACAAATAGTACTAGGCCAACCTTGTACGACACATGTGTGACGTACTGATTTAGTATCTTACCATCTGTATCTTCACCACGTTGGTAATACTATTCACTACTTACAATGTTCCTGTGAATCCATCCTTGCAGAGACATTTGAAAGTGTTGATTTGGTCTTGACACATGCCTCCATTCTGACACAATGTGCTTGAAGTACAGTCATTAACATCAGCCTCACATCTCGGACCCCTGGTGCCTAAACACCCAAAGACAGAGCAACAGTCTTTAATATTATCTTCAAAGACAACTGGCAATATATAAACACAGAATTATTGTCTACAGAACAGTCCTTAAAGGGGCACTGAACTCCAGCAATTCCCCAGGACTGGTTGTTGCCTTTGTTATTGTTTTTCCCTTTGAGTACCCGGATGATATCCCAGAAACCTCGACTAGTTCAAGACCTGCTGTGCGCCAACTGTAAACGCATTTGAAATACAGTTTTGTCTTGGAAATTATGAGGAAATGTAGGTATCTTTGGGGCTAGCATCGGTAATGGTGACAAAGTTTTGATGAGTCACTTGAATGGTATTGTGCAATTTTCGTTTACACGATTTTGACTTGTAACACAAACTGAATATTTCACCTGAGCATTGCTTATTTTAATGTGTGTATATGTTATAGTCAATGTGTAAAATGACTCATATTTTCACAGAGGCAATTCATTAAATGCCTAAATATTGCATTACCTTACAAATTGACTGAAAAATCTGTCCATTATTTTATTATGACTATGACTTTTGTTTAATTCATCACCCAGTGACTGAAAATGATAGGATAAAAAGAAAACGAAAGACAAAGTGCATTTCTATATTTTTTGGCTTCTAATCCAGGCATATTAAGTCATTCTTTATGTTATAAGCCCTTTTGAACGTCTTAACAATTTTTAGTCAATCTGTAAATAAATGGATAATTTTTTCAGTCATTTGTAAAATAATTGACATATTTAGACATTTTATAAACTGCCGGAGTGAATCCCATTTTATACACTGACTGTAACATATACCTCCTTAAAAATTAAATGTTCGAGAAAACAACAACTTTGTGTAGTCTGTCTCTCCATTCTCACTTCCTAACGATGTGGAGGAACAAGAATGATTCTGTTCAATGCTGCAGCAAATAAATGAAAACTAAATGCTAATATCGTAATTACAATTGACCAATTATTATATGTTATATGTATAAAAAAAAGGAATTAATTGGTTCGAGGAATGCACTGTGAGTAATCACATAAAGTAACAATATCCCCATCTTCCCAAGGCAAGAGAGTTAACTGACTTTAAAAGTCTAGTTTCCACCCTTGCCGAACTAGGCTGGTATTATGGAGTTACATTTTGGCTGGACTAACGAGTCCAATCAAATTGTGTAACGAAATCGAAATCCGGTTCGTAAACTGTCATGCAGGTTTCGATCGATTGCAGGATTTGCAAAGCATGTGCACTGCCAACACGTTGTCAACAGATATTTTCCTAATCTTTTCATGTTTTTAAATCAAGGTGTACACATGATTTGTGGCACTTCGTGATGTAAGACCCGTTTTATCACAGTATAGATCCTGATTATCGATCAGATCATCTTGACCGTACACTGCCATTTCGTTTGAAGCAAATGCAAGTAACAAGAGAGGTTGAATCTGATCGGTCCATAGGAGATGCATGGAAGGGACATATCTCATCATAACCACTGGTTGTGCTACAATCGAGCCTAGGAATTTTGGCCTAGTTCGGCAAGGGTAGAAACTGGACTTTTGGAGTCAGTTAACTCTCTTGCCTGGGGAAGATACAATATCCCAGACGTCTGCGACCGTACAAAGAAACTTGGGCAATGTCTTTGTAATGTATATTATAATTCTTGTTTGTTTCTCAATTAATCACGTAAGTTTGTTTCAGGTGTTTTACATAGGTGCCAAGTCTCATTGGCCAGCTGAGATAGTACATGTGACAACTCATGATGTCCACAGCTCTTTTAAAACAATCCATTGAGGTAGATAACAATGAGCAATCAATCAACGTATTATCAGCAAATCCTTTGAACAAAGTATGTTGTTTTTACATAGGCACTTCACTCCCAGATATGGGTGTATCCTGTCTGCTTTATTAAACCTATATAAATATACACTTACTTTTGACAAATCCACAGTGATTAATCAATCAACATATTTTCAGTTTATCGTCATCTTCCCGATGCAAGGAAGTTAATTGACTGTAAAAGTCCAGTTTCCGACCTTGCCGAAATAGCTGGAATTTCTGGGATCAATCCTAGCACCACCAGTGGCAATTACGAGTTATGTCCCTTCTATGTGCCTCCTACTAGTAGACCAATCAGATTCCACCTCACATCATTTGCATTTGCTTAAAACAGTCAAGACAATCTGATCGATACCGGGTAATCAAACTCTATGCATAGGACTATGGGAATATAGGGGAAACTGGACTTTTATAGTCAGTTTACCCCTTGCCTTGGATAGATGGGTAATCCAATGATGGTTGTTTTTCTTTAAATTCAACTGATCATTCCACTATTGTTGCGCTGCCACGTTATTATTACATAACATACATTTCAACCCACTTCAAACCTGGATTTAGTTTCAATAATTACCCCAGACAAAAGAAATGCCAAATGGGAACCTTCGTCACGTACTCTGAGTGGTGCTACCACTAATCATACCTGTAATAAATTCAATAACTGAGCATCAAGTGAATGACAACAAATACACAGGTGTATAGGGTTATACCAGGAAACATGGATGACAGCAACATGAGCAAGGGAGTAGCAATTGCATTAACCATGCAATCCACATCCGCAATTGCTTTCACTGCAGGGATATTTGTTTTTATTTCCAAAATTAACAATGACATCCAATGAACTTCGACCGTTCTTTTTGTCTGGTTCGGCTGAAGAAATTAATTAATTATATGCACCCTTTGTTATATAGAAATCTTCACAGATCATGGGTAACCAATCAGAGTTCAGAAATGCATATAGATATTGCCTCAAAGTTTATTTACGCTGTCCTTTAGAAGGTAGCCTAGTCTCTTGACATGCCCAGTTGCGTTAGCAAGCAAATCGACTCACAGCATCTAGTGAGACCTAGCGGGCAGTGTTATACAGCTGGGAAGAAGCCATTTGTGCCCATGTAATACTGTCCTCTCAAATCACTAGTGTCTCAACACAGAAACATGTCTACAGGAGAACAGTTGTTACTATTGTCCTCTCAGACCACTGGTGACTAGGCACAGAAACATCTACCAAGCCAAGACAAGCACTAGAGTTTAGTATATCGGTTACGCGATTTTGCTTGGACTATGCATAGACTTGTTAGTCAAGCCAAAATATAGCTCCATAATTCCAGGCTAGTTTGGTAAGAGTGGAAACTGGACTTTTATAGTCAGTTAACTCCCTTGACTCAGGTTGATGGTTAATCCTTTGATGGATGTTTTTCTTGTAACTCAACTGATCATCCCTCTCTTGCTGCGAGAAAATCGACTGACGGCAGCTAGTGATCCCTAGCGGGCAGTGTTAGACAGCCGGGAAGGAGCCAGCAATTAGTGCCCCTTTGGTACTGTCCTCTCAAATCACTAGTGCCTCAACACAGAAACATGTCTACAGGAGAACAGTCATCCTATTGTCCTCTCAGACCACTAGAGTGTAGTCTATATATTTAGTAAATTGTAGTTTCCCTAACCACCAGTATGCAGTGGATTCTTTATCATAAAGAAGAAAGGGAATTCTGGAATTTGGAGCTGTTTCCTCAAACTGTCTTAGAGTCTTACCTGCTGGGCAGCTGCAGGAATATGTTGTCACATTGAGGATGTTGCATGTCCCGCCATTGTAACATGGACTAGAGGCACAAGGGTTGTCTCCAATCTCACACCGCTGTCCTGAATACCCTGCTCAACAGAAGGATTCTGTATAGAAGCTTGCATCATACACAAATATATATCTTGTACAGTCCATTGAAACTGAGTGTTTCCTACAGAATATCTGGCATAAAATGTTTTTGGCAACAGTGCTTTTCCTTTCTCAGAATCAACTATTGTGTAGGAAATTCCAGTACATAAAGAAATGGCATATTTACTTAAAGCTTGTGCTTTTTGTGTAAACTGAATGTACAGAAGAACCTTTGGGACATAACTACACACTATTGTAGGGGACATCTTACAAGCTAACAGAAACTTATCCCATGCCACCTTTCGTACCTGTATCTTGCAATGTGTATTCGGACAGACAGAGGAAAGGCTACATTGAGCATCCAATCTCAAACATAAGATGAGATCAGATATTACTTCTTTCAACTAAAAGAAATCTTTTAGATGTAATCCTTTACTTTTGACATGACCTACAACAGGCAAGATCAGTCAGATCATAAGGACTGGCAGATGCATTCAATCTCACCTTTTGGACAAGAGCAGGAGGGACTGTGTCGGATAACACTACATGCTCCTCCATTCTGACAGTATTTGTTGCACACTGGAGACAGAGCTGTATATAGGAGACAAACAATCTGGTATGAATGCTGCCATTATCTTGCAATAAATTGTGATATGCTGTGGATACATTTCTGTATATTGATATTTACTGGAAACCTGATGATGAATATGTGCATGGGACATTACTGAGTGAGTGAGTATGGTTTTACGCAGCTTTTAGCAATATTTCAGCAATATCACGGCGGGGAACACCAGAAATGGGCTTCACACATTGTACCCATGTTGGGAATCGAACCCGGGTCTTGGGCGTGACGAGCAAACGCTTTAACCCTAAGGCTACCCGACCACCCACATTACTGATAACCTGACAAAAGGTGTGGCTGCGCTGTTTTTTTCACTGATTTCCCCATACATACTTAGTACTGCTTTGTATATAAAGCTTCAAATAATTTTTTCAGATATGTGTGTTACATAGTCGTAATAACCTAAATCAACCAATTCAGAAAGATAATATTGACAGATATGTTATTGGACAACATGTACTACAATTAGCCAGTGCATAGATTTATTGTTACATCCCCAGGTAAAAGTCTTGTTTATAAATACCTACCTCCGCTAGTGCAGTTCGACTGCGCTGTTGACCCTGGCCCAGCTGTTACTTCATTGGTTGAGCATGCCTTGCAAGTCTTTTGTCCAACTTGGTCCTGGTAAAAGTTTATAGGACACGGTATGCATTCAGCATGACCATCAATAGCATTGTAGGTTCCTGCTCCACACTGGGCTAGAAAGAGGATAAAAATTGCATAAACAAACATTGACAAGCATGAGAGAAACTGGCATTTTTTTTTAATCCCTAATATATGGACCACATCGGATGTGGTGGCCCAGGTGACTGGATCATCTAGTCCTCACCTTTTATTGAATTAACAGGCTGCTGTCATGTCGGTGAAATATTGCTGAGTGCAGAGTTAAAGAAAATCATGCATGCACACATGCACGCACACACACGAGTATGTTCTCACTTTAGGCAACCATCTCGGTGGTCAAGTCCGCAGTGGACTGAGTATCTGCCTAGAGAGTGGAAGGCTGGTGATTTAATCCCTGGCCATATCATACCAAACAATGTTAAAAGATGTTATTTGTTGCTTCCCTGCCTGGCGCTCACCATAAAGAGAAAAAAACAAGGACTGGTTGTCTTGGGGTTAGTATACTGTGTCTGAATGGGGTATCCATGTTAAAACTGCAGTAGTATCTCAGTGGACTAGCACTAGGAATCCGGCATTACTATGGACTGGTACAAACAGTAAAACACAAACAGATACATACTAGTAGTGGGACGATACACTGATGCATTGGTGGATCGTGCCTTTTTACTTCTCGATAAAAGTATCGATCACAATCGCACACAATGTAAAAATTGACACTGCCAACAGTAAATCGTCAGTGTGCCAGGTATTTGGCTATCCTGTCTATGAAAAAGATGGCTTACACACCACTGAAAAGAGCATATGCAAGTATCATGATATGTATAGGATCGCGAGCAAGGTTTCGTAATACGTATCGGATCGCACAGTTGGTGTATTGTCCCAGCCCTAATACATGTATATCACTATACAAGTGCATTTATCTTGCAAGCGACTTTAAAACCCCTTTCACCTCACTTCACCCCACATTGAGCTTACTCACCATGATTTAACTGAAAAAATGTGGAAACTCACTCACTTACTCAATAGGAAATCATACCATTCCCCCTCAATATATAAACTCACCCTTGCACTGACTAGCTTCGGTAGCAGCATAAACACGGGTGATCTCATTGGCGCCACATGAACGACAGTAGGTGCTGTTAACCCAAATTGTATTCAAGGGACACACTTGGCATGGCGGGAGTCTTGTGGAAGAGAATGCGCCAGAACCACACATAGCTGAAATTGTAAGTAAACAATCATGACTAAAAATATGAGTACACATTAGTCAAAATATTGACTACATATATAATTATACTGACATATCCATTGTCAATACCAGTACACCATGTTCCTGATAGAGGAAAGTTGTGTATATAAGCCAAAGTATGGGGAATGTGACCTATTACACAGGTGCGCAGACCCAAATAACCCATAGCAGTTACCTGTCCACAGTCATAACTGCATGATAAGAGTAAAACTAGTTCATGTTTAGTGGCCCATACCTAAACTTTGTTCAGCTAAACAATTTGGGGTATAACCACAACATGTTACCTGATGTTTCAGATAATAGATTGTTACAGCATATGGTATATGAAGGCAAGATATATCCTTCTTACTTTCTAGTCCCAGTATAGTTTTTACTATTAAAAATAAAATACAAAAGATTTCAGATCTGGTAGTGGTAGTGCTTACGTCTACACATGAGGTTAGAGCTAGCCCCAATACTGAATGTCCATTGGCCAGTTGAACAGTCCTTGCAGGTGGTGGCACCCTCTACATCATTGTATTGTCCAAGAGGACAAGCGGTACATGTATTTCCTCCAGAGTTGTAAGTACCCACAGGACATCTCACTAGAAACAAAAATGTTAACATAGAAATAACATCTAAATATAAACAAAATCCACCAAAAATCGTTTTGTTGAGTATTATTATATAGTTCCTAGAAAAAAAATCATCCTTCTTTTGACACAAAATATTGGTCTTGTAATCATTCTATGCACTGATTAAAAGAAAGGTTTGATGTGTTTTCAAAGTTGAGTTTTCCAGTAAAACACCAACAAAGCCTCAATGTAAATTAAACTTTTGATTGGGATACTCAAATGGTTTGTACAATTAAAACACACAGAACCCAACTTCTGGAAATATTTTGTTTTTAAATCATGAAATGAAGATGAAAATATGTCAGTTCAATTACAATATCAACATTATTTGTATGACTTGTGTCAGTCCATGCTGTCAGTCACATGTCATAATGTGGACACTCAGAATAACCAAGAGTTTAGTACTGGGATTATATGTTGGTATTTGGTACATAAACTTTGCTACATTTTCTGCAAGATTATTGACTTGGCCACATTCTGGTCTTATTTATGACTGAGCCTCTTCACTTGGAAAAAACAAGCATGTCAATATTTAACTTTATCCGTCTGGCCATGTCAGTTGTGGAGATATTTACACATGAGACTGACATGTTGGACTATCACATGACAGGCTCAATGAGCTAAAATTGTTTATGAATAAACATGGGATGATTGCTATGAGTTATACAACTGAAGGATAGTAACAGACCTGTGGGTTATGCTTTGAAGGAATACTACGAGTGATACTACTGAAGAAAATAACCTCATACATTAGATATATGTCTGGTACATACAGCAAGCAATTAGGCTTCCCAGAGTAAGTTTCTTTCTGTATGAAGCACAACTGAAATCCCGGAAGGTTTCTATCCCTGGAGACGTGGAGTTGATAGCTGGACAGGAGACAGGAAGCAGCTGACGGGAATACCCTGCAATTGCTTTTGTCTCATCAAAGTTGAAGTTCTTCAGTATTGTGTCCACAAGAGTCGCACAAGATGCCAGCAAGGCTGTGTCTCGCCCCTCATAAATCAGAGTGAGGTCGATTATAACCTGCAGCAAAGAATTAGTCTCATCAGTGTTTGTTTTTGAGGTTTCTATGAAATAAGGCTTAATGAGGCCAGGGGTTCTTAGCAAGCTCATTGTTTCAGAGATTAAACGAAGAAGAAATGCATAAAATAATTAATCAATATGCAAGTAAATGGTCAAATATCCATACTGAACCAACGTTTACATTACTCATCTAAAAAATAAATATCAAACAATAGGTATCATTGTTTATAATTCTAGTACTACCTCTATAATATCATTGTAATAAATAAGGCAGGAAAGCTTCACTTCTTTCCAAGGGGGGAGGCAGACCATCTGATGTAATGGAGCAATGTAGAAGTATTCTTTGAAACATAGAGAATGATAACTATTGTTCTATAATTCTTGTTGATAACATGTCAGTCCTAACTACATTGTGTGATATGTTTACATTCGAGTTTACTGGAAGTAACTTCTGAACTTTATTACAAGTGAGCATGCGTGAGCGGAAGCTCAGGTGTTTTCGATTGGAGAAACGTGCACTGTGTGACTATGAATGGCGGGGATATGACATGAACTGTCAGCTGTGTGAAATGTATGAAGTTGAGGGAAAGAAAGACTAGCAGTGGAAAGGGCCAATAGGTAATAAACATAGGTAGCAGAACAGGATTCAGGAAAACAGAACAAGCAGTATGGCACATGGTTACAAGAATCCCCCGAGGCATGGAAAAATGAACTTGAAATATGGTGTCACATGACAGAAGTTGTAGAGGAAAAATCGGCACTCGCAGTATCACTGGGATCACTTATGAGACAAGCTAGGGCAAAAGCAATGGCAATTGATGTGAAAGACTTCCAAAAACGTGTTTGAAAATTCTTGTCCAAGGACTTGAGGAACTGTCATCGAAGAAAATTGTTGATTTAGCATACACAGCATACAGGGATTATAAATAGTTTCACAAAGGCTGAAGAGATGACAATGTCAGAATTTATCATTGAATATGAACGGCAATATACCCAGAGTAAGAAATATCAGATGGTGTTGCCAGATTCAGTACTCTCATTCAAGTTGCTTGATTCACCAGGATTGACTCAGAAATAGAAACAGTTAGTTTTGACAGCAGCCAAAGAAATAAACTTTGAATCTATGAAATCAGCATTAAAGAGAATATTTGGTGATGTTAAAAGTCATGAATGATGGCGCCATATTTTTGTGACAGGAATCAGCATATTACACTAGAAATAGCCAGAGTGGTTATAGAGGACGTCAACAAGGACTGAGAGATTTGTCTCCAAAACCCAAATCTACTATCAGTTCTGACTGACAAGGCCACCATCGCCTGAGGGTACCATAACAAGTGCAACTGTGGGAAAACATATTTATAATGACAACCAAACACAAAGTAGTTTCAAACATTTATTATGACAAAATAAAAATTATAAGTTTGGCGTATGGGGAATTCTCAGGTATGACTAAGGGTGCCAATGACTGAGCATCAATCATGCCAAGCATTGGAAACAATTTGGCCACTTGCAAATATTAACATGACAAAGTGAAACTGGACGACCAAATCATTGGCACAAGACTAAATGTGTACACGAGCATCATGTTCTGAGCATCAGAGCACAGAGAGTGACTACACCAAACGGTACAAAATGATGCGATAAATGAGGATACAAGTAGCATACAAGTTCGATATGGATTATTGAACTTTAAGGGGAACTATCCAAGCAGGCTGAGTAGGATAGTAAAGCCTGAGAATTCCAAGTTTGAGTATGATATATAAAGTGAGACAAATTTAGATTTAATACAGTATCAGGTATGTATGACCGTAAGGTTAGCTAAGGGAGGAGGTTGGGGAGGTGGTGGAAACTGCTTGTCAATTTTTTACAACTGATAACAATGCTGCTGACATGCACAAACTGTGCATGTAAGGAACCTCGTATCAGCGCATGCTCCTGTCAAACTTCCTTCCTGTCAAAACAAATAGTTAAGACTACGACGGATGTGGCTGTCAAATGCACAAGCCGTTGTCTAAGCAATAAACTGTACAGGTTAAGAGTGCATTTAGAGAAGGGAATTAGATAGCTGGTACAAGCTAGGCCAGCATGACCTGCATAAATATGTATGTAGCAGCAAATTCTGTCGTCACTTATGTAAACGATGTCTGATGGGCAAACTGCTGCTAACCGCAGCATATACACATATACCAACGCAATTAAACATAAGTGAAGTAATACACGCAAGTAGCAAGAACTTTGCATAGTTGTTTTATTGTCATTATAAACATGCTCATAGTACCAAAGAGCTATATTTAATAGCATATTGACATCAAGACAGGCATTCCTCAAAGCTGAAAGTTCTGAAAGATTGAGAAGTGTTCTTAGAAAGCAGATTCGTCCTGTTGCTGGAAATTTTGAGACCGGTGACAAGGTCTACTTCGAGGGGTCAGATGATCCTAAATGGAAGAGTCCAGGAACTGTGCTAGGACAAGATGGTACTGTGGTTTTCGGGAGAAATGGAGGAATTGTAGTGAGGATTCATTGAAGTAGAATGAGGAATTGTGTAGAAAGAGAAATTCTTGAAACTAACAATGAACAAAATGTGAGGCAGTTGAAACAAGGGGAAACTGTTCAAAGATATGATAATGATGAGGAAGACAGTGACCTAGAGATACAAACAAAAAGAACATCAGAACCACAGATAGGAGAATAATCTACCTGTGAACAATCTACAGGAAAGAATATCACAAATATAGTATGGACAGACAATTTCATATGCACATGAAGACACTGGAGATTAATCTGTGCTAAAGTTCTTAGCAGAGCAGCAAAAGCAACAGACAAAAAAAACAGGAGCTGGTTCAACTTAGTTAGTTAGTTATGCCCATCACTCCTCCTGTAGCATAGGCCGTCGACAACAGTCTGCCAGAGTCCTCGTTCCTGGGCTCCTGCCCTCTCTAGTTGTTTCCAGGTGTGTCCCATCTTCTTGCTGTCTGGTTCAACTTAGAATTCACCAATTCTGAAATGCAAGGTATAAGTCAGTCAGTTGATTTGTCCAAGGTAGAAGATTTGCGGATCATCCCCTGTGAAATCATTGAGGAAAACATCATGATGACAGAAGATGTTTCATGGACTAAACCCAAGCTGGCTGAACTTGATAATTGGAAGAAAAATGGGAGTTTACAAAGAAGATGTTGATGATGGACAAAGATGTGTATCAACCAGGCGGGTCTGCACACTTACAGAAATACCAGAGAGAATAATAATACCTAAGGCAAGGTTAGTTGCCCGATGGTTTAAAGAAGGTGAGAATACAGACATTCAAAGAGATTCCCTAACGTGCTAAAGAATCGCTGAAACTTATCTTGGCAGTATTTTGTCAGACAAAATGGAAACCTTATTCGATGAATATTAAAACTGTGTTTCTTCAAGGTTAAGAGACGAAGAGAGATGTTTTCATTAGACCTCCAAAAGAAGCAAACCTACCCCGAAAACTCATCAACGGCATCTTCAGAAGTGTGTCTATGGACTACGTGATGCATCACTACATTGGTATCCGAAAGTCAAGTCAGTCATGTTGAAACTAGGAGCCAAAGTATCGAGAGTTGACCCAGCAGTATTTTTCTGGGAAGGACAAGGTCAATAAACTGTTGGAATATTGGCATGTCATGTTGATAACTTTATTTATGGTTGTTCTGCAGAATTCGGATCAAATGTAATGGAATCTGTGAGATCATACTTCAAGGTTGAAAAAGAAGAAAACCAAGCTTTTCAATATTTGGGAATGGACTTATCTTGCCAGGATGAACACATTTTCTTACATCAACAGAAATATGCAGAAAGCCCGCATGCACTTTGTCCCGATTGATAAATCCAGATCCGCACAGAAATCCTTACCCCTGAACTATATTGAGAAGCATGAACTCAAATCCAAGATAGGACAGATATTGTGGATAGCTAAACAGAGTCGTCCTGATGTTATATTTGATGCTTGCTGACTTGCCACATGTGTGAAGGATGCCAAAGTTGAACATCTTTTGACAAGATGTTTTGGAAGATTAAGTCAGAATGTGTCAACTTGAAGTTTCAGAATGTAGGAAAGGAACTTTCACTTGTAGTTTTCAGTGATGCTTCGTTAGGAAACCTGCCCGATGGAGGCACACAGGGTGGACATATGATTTTCCTCACAGGGAGTACTGGAAAGATGACGCCTTTATGTTGGAACTCGAAGAATATTCGTTGGGTGGTGCGAAGCACACTGGCGATAGCCGATGGTATTGATGCAGGAGTGTACCTATCAATGTTGTTTTGAGAACTGAGTGGTGAGAAAAACAACAGAATGACACTGACCTGTATCACAGACTATAAATCACTGTATGATGCTCTGAAGTCCACTAAACCTGTTGAAGAAAAGAGATGCCACTTTTTGTACCAAAGGAAGTCATTTTCTTCCTTTTGACTTAATTTCCGGTCCATATGACCTCACATCATGTTATGACTTATCCAAGACGATATCCATGATTTCACAACTGCTGTAAAGCCAGATTAAGAGAATCCAGAGGCCTGCATTTTTTTGTGTGATAGCTTCCAGGCGGTTAGATTTAGGTTGGGAAGGTTCTCGTAGACAAGGTCCGATCTGGGTTGACGCAGAAGATCTCTGTGGAAAGGTATTGGGAGAGGATCTTCCATTAGTAGGGCCACGAGTCTCTAAAACAAATTTTTTGGGGCCAGATCCGAGTGATTAGAAAGATGGTAAGTCTGTTAGTTGTCTAGAAGAGACCATGGATAAATTGCATACGCGAATAGGCTGGTCCAGTCCATAGGCAGAGTTTCAATTGGCAGAGCACTTGGATTAGGTACCGGACAGGTAGAATGGGAACTGACGATTTAGACAAATCACTAAACAGATCCAAGTGCGTAGTGTCCCATATCGAAGGGATTCAGGTAAGATGTCCGGATGGAAAGTCCCTTCTATGGAAACGATCCTCCCGTGTCTGGACAGGCTGTCCGCAAGGATGGTC